CGGTTTTCCTGTTTTCAGATCATTAATCACAGCTGTCCTGTTAACCGGCTCACTCATCTGCTGCTAGGAACCACTCCTCCAGTGCTTAGTCACGTCCCAGCAAGGCGCCCATTTGTTTACTCCTCTCGTTTACCATGTTAAGAACGTAAAAAAAAAAGAATGTAAATACTCACCAATCAGAGCAGATTAATTTCTTGATCATATTAGATAACGTTTAATAAAGCCACTAAATGATTGCAAGTCTTTAATCCTGTGAATGATTTCAGGAAATTAAGTTTTAGAATCTAATCTGACTACTTCACCCCACAGGGTCTATAAAGATGTGTTAAAGATATTAAAAATGTCACGTTTGGAGATATTTCACTCAGGAAAGTTTTGTTATGTGTAAAATGAGGAATAATAGCTGTGTCTGCATATAAATATGACTTCAAAGTACCTTAAAATATTTTCCTGAGAGACATTTTCCTCCGTAACTTCGAGCACATCAACATGTCACATTTATAGACTGGTCGTGGCTCTGAGCTGCAATAAACCTCCCTGCCTTCCTTTAACTCTTTCCACTGTTTCAGCTCAGATACACAAAATCAGATGCAGAAACAACATGCCCGTTAAAGCCACTGAACATTTTATTTTCTGATTCAGACGCAGCCCATGTAGGGGATCACATGAATCGCCGGGCATCTTTTTTGTGAAAATCTTTATCTCTGCTGCAATAAATCAGCATATTGGTGTGACTGCTGTTTTTCTATGTGTACTCGCTGCCTTCTCTATTGATTTGCTGTAAGACAAACTGTCCAATGACAGTATATTTTTTGCAAATAAGTTTAATTGAAAGCAACTTGCATTAAAGCACTTTGGGGAGCTTTTAGAGACACAAGCAGCATGTTCTCTGCTCCATGCTGTTGAAGCGGTCTCCTTTTCATGTGCACACAACCCCTCATTAACTTGGGGATGGTTCACTGAGCTGCTCTATAAGCACTTTCGCCGCTACAGGCAGACGGAGACCAGGTCTAATTGGTAACACGGTTATGAACAGCTGGACCGATACGGGTGGCTGGAGCTCCTCGGTAACTTCAAGTGGAGAGGGAGATTCATGTGCAAAGTTGTTGTTTGTGCACGCAAATGAATAGTGGCCTGTTATTACACAGCTCCTGACAGTCGTGCTGATTTTTAACCTTTCAACCATCTGGAAGCTGTTCATTAAATCCTAAAAATTACAGCCGTTCAGAAACCATGGTTGTGCATCCCCAGAAGCATCCATAAATAATGTGGAAATTCACAAATATTAAAAGGAGATAATACAGTGAAGTTTGTTTCAGTTAAAATGAAAACAAAAATCATGTCTTGGCACTTTCTTCCCCCAGAATCCATTTTATATCGGCATAGGTGCATCCAGTTTGCCGAAATTATCTATAAAATGTGTGAAACTTGAAGGAAAGTATCTTTGTGATATAAAAGCAGGACCTTCAAAGAGAAGTTTATTCAAAGTAAGACTAAACAATGTCCAGCTTCACATCCTACTGGTTGAAAACAGAACTACAACTGTTATAAACAAGCCTGCAGTAGGCTGCTGTAGCTAGCGCTAACAATGAGCTAGCACTAACATGAGCCAAGTCTTAGTAAATAAGCCACGAATTAAAAAGATCCACACTGTTGGACAGAAATATTGTTACGTACAAGTCCAGTAGCAACCAAGCCAGGTCATCATCATTATTTCATAGCGTCCTTTAGCTTCAAATTAATGTGTGCCAATGTTCACTTTAGTTTTAGCTCTTTGCTTCTAGCTTGGCCTGCCAGACTCACCCTCCGGCTATTCTACACAGAGGATGAATCTGGATACTTAGAGGCAGAGAGCACCAGCACTAGCCAACTCAAAAATAACCAGTCAGAAAAAAGACGGAAATGACGACTGCATCGCTTGACGCCATAGTTTTTTTAGATGTAGTCCAACATGGCGACTGGCGACAGTGCAAACATCTTTCTTTAGAGGAAAGGCTTTTAGCGCTTCTTCTTGTTGTGGTTTAAAGAAATGTACAAGTCATTTAGAACAGAGTAAAGAGCCACAGCGAACTCCGCTTCTGACGTTTGAAGTTGGTAAAGTTTCTACCAAACTGAATCCAACTTTTAAAGAAAAGTGTCATTTTAAAGGAGCAACATGTAAATATTCTTGTCATTGTGTTGGAAGGAAGGTTACACTGAAACAGAAAGAGGGGCATAAAGTCATTGTTTACAATCAGTGAGTTTGTTAGGTTGCAGAGTCGGGGCTGAGCTAATGCTGCAGCACTTGTGTTTCAACACCGGCCAGCAACAAGCTCCAGAGTTGTTTAAAGAACTGAGGCCAGTAAGTACCTAAAAATCCACAGCATCTTTTTGTAATACTCTAATATCGGGTAAAAAAGGCTAGAGGTTAACATTAGGCTAACGGTGAATAAGAACAAATAGTTGGCTATCTCAAGCTACTTTTTCAACCAACAACTTGATATTAGAGTGAAATGTGTGAAGTTAATAATGAGTCATTTGTGGCATTTTACTTCCTTTAATGAGTCGTTTAGATCTATAACAGCAAGATAACAAACAACACTTCCTCTAATGCCGGAGATATTACCCTAATAAGTGTGGTATGTATGTGCTCCCTACCGTAAAATACCTAAGAGTGCTACCCCCAGATATAACAATGTATGTCTATTTTTGAATTGACTAAGTCATCTTTACTCGTCATCTAGAATCTTCAAGCGCTGATCCGTAACGGAACGGCCATGAAACTCACGGAACCGCGGTGAGAAAGGGACGTTTTGCTTTGAAAAGAAACCCACTGCGATAGCAGGGTGTTATTTCGACTTCATTCTTACATATTTCCCCTTTAATGTTGAGATTAAATACACAGCTTCCTAAAATTAGATCAGATCCAGGTTTATAATCCAGCCAAGGCTAAACATAAAACTTAAAGCTTCAGATGGTTCATCCATCAGATGAACAGCGATAATGAGTTAAAGTAATAAGTTCAAGTGCCTGAAATAAAGTAAATAAATAAATTAAAAATCTGAGTGACAGGAATTAAATATAATGGAGGCTCACCCCAAGCACCTGGAACTAAAGATAAATCAGCTGCTGCCTCAGCTGGTAATTAGCACCCCAGGCCTGGCAGCTATAATGACGAGCCTAACCGGCAGATCCAGCAGGGGTGCCCCCATCACGGCTGAATGAGAAGAGGCCGTCTCATTCCCAACTGTTACGAGAACCAGCTTGACCCACATGTCTGCTGACACCAACTCGACTTGACTTCAGCCTTCAGCTGCATCTCGGTTTTCAGATAAACAAAGCAGAGCTCATACAGACAACTGAATCCAGAGTGTGGCTATGTTTTATCCATGGATTATCAGTGAAGTAGGAAAATTATAATTAAAGAGACGCTAAAGTTTTTCAAATTTAAAAAATCTTTTATTTAGCTAAAATGACTCTTTACAGAGTAATGAAAGGCCACCCAGCTGCTATTGCCCCCTGTGGCCAGAATACTCCACTTGCAACTTCAGAGTGCCAGCCCAGTCTGTTGGACTTGGGAAAAAAATGGAGCAGACATTCCTGGTGCTGCAGTCTGCTTCCTGCACATTCCTGCATGTTTTAGATCATGAACACAGCTGATTTGTTTAATTTAGTGATGAATAACTCCTGTTGACACTAAAGAAGGCTGGTCTAAAGCTGTTGGACTAAGGTGTTTATAGGATGAATGCACAGGTTTTGCTTTTGGTTCTACTAAATGGACACTAGGTGGTGCTAAAAGCAAGCTAAAACTGCCTGGTCTCCCTTTAACCTTTCGATGATGTTTATTGTTGGAGTTGGAGATATAGAGGATTTTCTTAAACTTTTACAGCAAAAAGTTTAGTTTTATTCTCATGCAATAACCACAATATTCAAGAAACATTTTAGTGAACCTCTGATGGATGCCCTCCTTGCCTGGTCTGTGAATTTTGACCATCTTCTGAACTTTCCTTGCACTTCGTTGTCTGGAAACTGGAAACTTTTTTAATTGGGTTGTTTTGCTGTACGTTTTGCTCATATTCACCATTTTGCACTGGTTTGTTTTGTCCTCATTACTTTGACTTTCATGCTGCAACCGTGACTGGCCCTGCCAATGTAACACAAAATGTGAAGTTCAAATAGATGTTTCAGATCAGTTTACCTGATTCTGATAATAAAAATGCCCGTAGGGTGGATGACTGCTCTCCAGAAGCACACAAGTGCAGGGAATTGGAGAGGTGATCCCTAATCAGCGATGCTTAGAAAAATATCTGTTTCTACAGCTTTCTCGATGGACACAGCATGTGTAGAAGTGCTTGACGACATGTGTCTTTGCCAGTGAAACTAAACAGTCGCAGCATTAAAATTGTTTCCATATTGAAAATGGCTGAAGATGCATGCTTTTAGGGTTCGGGCAGTCCTTCTCAGGCCACCAGACAGCTTGCCACCCACACGTCTGCTCTTAAAATTGTTTTCCATGTCCTGTGGGCTTCTTTCTCTTTCTTCTTTTCTGCAATAGATGTGTTACAAACAGTGCTGATTAGATATCTACAATCTACTGGGCTGTGTGAGGAGAGCGGCTCATTATTCTACCCGTTGTGTCTGCTCTGAAGCCACAGCTCCACTCCAGCTATCAGGCGGAGCTGCAGGGACTCTTCGTATGCACACAGCGGGGTGCAACGCAATGATTGCAGAGTTACTGCACGGAACCGGTTGAGTTGTAAGCATCAGTCTGTCGGAGAATGAGCCGTTCTGCAGCCAATCTCTGCCTCCGACTGTGAAAGTACAGAAATACTTCCATCTTATGTGTGATGACATGAATTTAAAAGCACCAAGGTCACCCATGAACGCCAGCCATGCAGCGGGAGGGACCAGCTTCTAGCAGGGAAATCATTTCATTCGTTATGTATTGCTGCTTGAAAGGTGACATTTTCTTTATTTTTTATTTTTGCTTGCAACAATGTCATATTTATGTTGTTTTTCAGGACCTGGTGGGCAGCGCGCCTCCCCAGAGGAACTGGAAGGGAATAGCAATCGCTTTGCTGGTCATCCTGATCATTTGTTCTCTGATCGTCACCTCTGTCATCCTGCTGACTCCTAGTAGGTATCACACATTTAAATGCAAACACCTCATGACTTGAAAAGAGTTTTTTTCTACCAGCCGACATTTTTAGGAAATTATTTAATTTCCTTTGCAGGACGGGACGGTTTAAACATAAGTACTGCTTCAAAGTATTGAAAATTTTTCATTACTTATTTTGCTGTGACTTTTCCCCCATCTGATAATGACATTTTAACAATATAATGTAAATTTTCAGGAATTTAAATTAGGAGTACTCCAATTAAATTCATTCAGACAGTAAAATTTAAGAATTTAAATACATATTTGATTCTATTTTATGGAGACAGAATGTGTTGCTTTTTGAGATCTTTCAGCCTATTTTATGTTGTAAGACAGGTTATGTTGAAGTGATTTTTTTTCATTCTATGGGTCTACGGGTTTTTAATGTGGTTGATCACATTTTATTTATGATTTAAAGGAACTGTCATGCTAATTTAATTATTTCAGAGCTATGATTGGTCCATGTATGGTTAGAATGTCACAGTTGGCACTATGTCATTTGTTCTGACATAAGTTATTTTCTTGAGATATTTTATCAATCAGGAAATAAGACGATTTGGATTTGCTGAAATCCCGCCTCCACCCGTCCCAGAAAAGCATCATGGAAAAATAATGAAAAAGATGAAGAGTAAGCAACAGGCACACCAGAGGAGAAACTGGCCGCTGGGAGACCGGGACAAAATGGCCAACTCCAAAATTTCCGAGTGCAACCCCCACCCCTGAACGCACACACCAATCAGATGGGGGAAAGGCGGCTGGGATGAATTATTGTCCCAGTCGGTCCCTGGTACTTATTCTCAACTCAACTCAGCTTTATTTATAAATTGCTCCTTACAGGCAAAAACATGCCACCAAGGGGCTACACAGACCAAGTAACAACATAAAACATTAGGTTCAGAAAATAAAAACATTGGATCACATGATACAGACAAAAAACACAGTGAATGCACAGATCACTTTAGGTAAAACAAAAACAAAAAACTAGTTGGAAAGATTAAAAGACACATCATAAAAGTAGGTTTTTAGCCTTGCCTTAAAAACCGCCACAGAGGTAGAGGTCCTTATGCTGAGAGGAAGCTCGTTACAAAGCTTAGGACCTGCCACAGAAAAGGCCCTATCACCACGCGTCTTTAGGCGTGATCTTGGGACCGAGAGGAGCATGAGGTTCTCCGAGCGGCGTGACCGTGCAGGGGTGTGCGGTTGAAGCAATGACACAAAGTAAGGAGGGGCCAAACCATTTTACGTTCTAAAAACCAGCAAAAGTATCTTACATCAACGGGCAGCCAATGAAGCGCAGCCAGGACCGGGGTAATGTGATCATACTTGCGCCTGCCCTCTAAAAATCTGCCAGCAGCATTCTGCACCATTAGCAACCTGGCTATCGAGCCTTTGCTCACACCAAATAAAACAGAGTTACAGTAGTCCAATCGCACTGTAATAAAAGCATGGACTACTGTCTCAAGATCATGTTGTGACAGGGAAGGTTGGATCTTTGACAGCCGACGAAGGTGGAAAAAGGAGGAGGAGATCACTCCATTAATGTGGGTGTCAAAACAAAGGGTGCTATCTAGTTCAACACCAAGGTTAGTCACTGAAGCACTCAGCGTAGTCGCCAATTTTTATAATCATTCAGCTAGTAGCTAACAGTTAGCTTTTAGATTTCACTCACCACTCTCCATCGGGTGGATTTAACATTAGAATGGTGCTGGTTTGAAGAAGTAATCCGTCTGAAAACCCACACCAGTACTGGTGGAAGTTTTAACAAGCGGTCACAGAAAAACACATTCTGGCTTGGTTTTTGAGAGCGCCTAAAATCCAACCATAGCTGGTGATTAAACTCGTTCTAAGGAAGACGGAACAAATTCCATCACTTCTTCTTTCTAGGCATTATTTAAAGGGACTTTACAGAGTTTTGAATTTTTATGCTCGCGATTGCCCCCTCAGGCCAAAAGCGTAACGGCAGCTTCAATAGTAGACTCGTGCACGAGGCGCACATGCTGTACATGCACACTCCTTAACGAAAATAACAGCTGAGACAGTCCCGTGTGTGTGTGTGTGTGTGTGTGTGTGTGTGTGTGTGTGTGTGTGTGTGTGTGTGTGTGTGTGGGTGTGGGTGTGGGTGTGTGGGTGTGTGGGTGTGTGTGTGGGGCCCGGAGGACAGAGGACAGGAGAACGCGCAGCTGATTAATTAAATAATTTGGTTCTGTGCCTTTCTCTTCAGCACAGCCGACAAAGGTTTAAGATGGGTCAGTCCTCCTGGAAGATCATTCCCTTCCCTTGCTTGAAAAATTGTTCCAAAATGAAAGTTGAACCCACATCTTATTTATCTGTGAATTCAATGCCGTTCGGCGAGTCTCAAATAAAAATTTGGGCATCTTACTGTGAAAAAATATACCATTAATATAAAAAAGAAACTCTAAATAAACTATGTTCACATGCAGAATCAAACCCAGGTCTTCTGCACGAGAGTCTGACGTCTTACTAGGTGAGCTAAAGCACCAGTGATGTCTTTTAGAATCTGTAACATTTATATACTTGATGAAAGCTGAAACAACATTCAAAGAACGGTTCGGAGTGAAAATGGCTATTTTGTTGCTAATTTGCAGGAAATATCTAGAAGAAAGTTCTACAGAAAGTAGCTAAGGGTCCTCAGATATGTAGCTAGCTTTGTCACTAGGCGTTAGGAACAGCAACAAAGTGGCACTGCCTCTCTCTCTGCTGCTAAAGCTACGGATAGCAAATGCTACGGGCTATGCCTGAGCGTGAACGTGCATGAAGCAGCCTGCTCGACCCGAGCAGCTCTCTTTTACTGTGATTTTACAGAAAAACAGGCAATCACAGTAAAAATGTCAGGGCTCATTCTACAGGACCAGGGCATTGCAGGAGAATGTATGAAGAAGAAATTTATTATTTCTATACATGTTTTGGCTGTCAAACTTCCAAAATGCCCCTTTAAAGTGCAGACTAGATACGAAAAATAAATCCCTTTTTTACAGCTGTGGACATTAATCTCCCTTTTAGCTACTCTTGAGAAACTGGGCGTTAGTCCAGGGGTCTCATTTATCAAACATTGCGTAGAATCCTTACTAAAACCGTACTTAAGTTCAGCAAAAAAAAAAAAAAGTACTTACGCCAAGTAGGTTTGTGATCTATCAAATATGGAGTACGCAAAGCTGCATGCAATCTCCGCTTCATAAATCAGAAACTATCTAGAAAGGTTCTCAGCTGCTTTTTAGTCATATCCCGCCATCAACACGCCCACTTTCTGCCACAAATGGTCGATGCAAAGTGCCTTGTGGACCTCACGCATATACATAAGCCGGCTGTTGCAGCATTTCGATCACAACCGCAGATCAAGGAAGCACCTTTTCACAAGCAGAAGTTGAGGTACTTGTGGGTGAGGTGGAGAAATGAATAGAAGTGCTTTTGCAACACAAATAAGAGAAAATCCACGGAGTGGCACAGCGCTGCTGAAGCTGTCAATGTTGTGAATTCTTCATAGAGATATGTGGCGGATATTAAAAAAATGGTCTGATCAGGATTCGATCCCCAAATTCCCAGGTGAAAGTCATGCATGCTAACCTGTCACCCAAACAGAGATCTCCCTTGTCCAAGTAGCCAGGGTGCATGATCAATCGGGTCACTGTGACAGGACGCTCACACTGTCACAGACGCATGACATTCTGTCTCAATCTGTCGCCCTGCTGATATTCTGCATTCCGTATTCTGTGCTTCAGGCTGTGTGTGTGCGTGTGTGTGTGTGGGGGGGGGGGGGGTCTTGTTCTGTGAGAAAATGAAGCAGTACAAGTGATAATGCTGCAGGATTTCATAATTTTATCCTTCTCAGCAGCAGCACTGCAGGCGCTCTCCATGTCAAAAATGTGCGTAAGCCAGGTCCTTAGTCTAACTTTAAGTTGCTCACATTTTTCCGCTAACTTTTTTCATGAATCCCAAAGTTTGCGTGGAAAGTTGCTTACTCAGTTTTCTGACTCCGCTTTGTGCGTAAGCAAGCTTGATAAATGAGTCCCCTGGGGAAGACGGATGCAGATTCTTCCCTACCTGAATGGGGAGGAGTGATGCATGCTGACAGAAACCTGCTCCATCCATCCGTTTGCAATGGCTGAGCAGATCTGAAGAGAAGCTACAGCTGAGACAGGAAAACGCATGCGTAAAGCCAAACACTTTTTTGGAGGTTTATTTTATTAGAAATTACAATATCAAAAGCTCCAAAAATGGATTTTGCATGATATAGGACCTTCAACAAGAAGGTGACTATGTTTTCAGATAAGGTGAGGATGGTTTGAATAGCTCTTTTCTTTAAATAAGTAAAATCATAATGTTAAAAATGCTTTTCAAAATTTTTATTTTGATCTGAAACAGGCTATGGTTTCATGTTATCCCAAAAGCTGTATTTAATAATATTAATAATTTTATTTTTCTGTCGGATAAACCCACAACAGCAGAAGGAGAACAAACAGAATTGATCGTTTGTGAAAGAGAAACGTACCAAAAAAATGGTTGAATTGATTACATTCACGTCCACAGATGAAGATTTTGGCTTTGTGGAGTTTCTTTGGCCGCATTAAGAAATCAGCTTAGTGCTGATTATAAAGATTGAGTTGTGTGTTTTGGGAATCCCAAATGTAGCAAGTAAAAAAATTTTTTATTATTAATAAACAAGGAAATTTGTGTAATTTTTGAGACAAATGTTCCACCAAATGTAACTGAGGTCTGTTACATTCATGAGGCTCTAATAATCGACCCGTAACCATGGTAACGAGAGAGAAAAGTATCTGCACACATCTGTTTAGCAGCTCTAATACACACAGATCATCCTGCTCCTTCTTGCAGCGTTTTTTTAAATGTTTTTCGCTCATCAGGGCAGCGCACGCTTTTTAAAAGACAACATGGCGTCTTTGGATGGCTGATTTTGAGCCAGAGGTGGGGTCATCGTCTCGCTGGATAATGGGCCTTTTAATGCGTAATGTCATGCATGCCCATTTAATGGGGATGCTGATGCAGTAATAGCTCCAGGCCTGTTGTCAGATCACCGTAGCATCACAGCTACAATCCTCCTGCTGATAAATAGATTTCTCACCCGCCTCGCCAGGACAAGACAATTCCTCGGATTTTTAAGTTGATAAACGTTTGTCTGACAGGGTTTTCACACGCTCTCTGCTCGCACACAACCCAAGTCCTGTCGAGTAATCTAATTGGTGATTTTGTAGGATAAGATCAGACTGTCAGTTCTTGTCATAACTGTTGTTTCTAAGGGTGAAAACATTTATTTTGTTTCCTCAATCAAATCTGAAGTCTCTCTGCTCAAATCCACCTGCTGTTCTGCTGCCAGCTGCAGGGTTGGGAAGAAGTCACCAGCCTGCTGCTGACAAACTCAGCTGGTCAGACCATCGAAGCAGCACGAGGGGTCCATTTCTTGTTTGTGTTTTATTCTAATTTGCTTAGGAACAACTCGAGTATCTGCAGAGAGGAAATTCTCATCTTCCCTTCCTTTCAAAACTGATCAACCTGAAACTTCACCAGGATGTTTGTTTATTTATTTACCCATGTGTGATTCTCTCGACAGGTGAAGATGACAGCCTCGCTCTTAAGAAGAAAGTAACCATCGAAGACGTCTTCGGTCTGGACCTCCACATCCACGATCCAGATGCTAAGTGGCTCAGCGGTATGTTTTGACATTTAAAATCTGACTTCCTTTGTCAAAACACAACAGACGTTCAGGCACTTTGACATTTCTGCTCCTCCCATCACAATAAACCACCGGTATTCAAATCTGACAAGTTTCTTTTAAAAGACGTACACCTCCATGGGCAAACTCACGTCCAGTCCAGTGCACTGGAACTGATAAGTAGACACCGGCAGTGAGATAGCATTCATCTAAAAAATAAAATAAACAACTACATTTAGACCTACGACTCCAAATGCCTCAATTAAAAACTCAAAGTTGCTGAATAAAACATCAAATTCCAACTGTGAAAAATTAGAGATTTCAGTCAGGTAGCCTCGGGGACGTCTAGATCCCTTTAAATTTCATGAATAATTGAAAATAGTTCTGCCGAGTGTGGTGTGCAATTATGGGGTGTCTTCGGTTAAACAGTGTTTGAGCTGTGAAATCAGAGAGGAGAGCTGAGACAGTTAGGAAGCTGCTAGGGTTCAGACAAATGGATGAAAACAAGCAGATGAAAAATAAAAATGAGCTGTTTTCAGCATGAATTAGTTTACATAATAAACAAAGCAGATGAGTGCATTTACTCTGCAGATTCCTCATCCCAATTAAGCTGAAGTGTTTCTTTAACTAACAAAACTGAGAATTTTGTGTTTTAAAAATCAAGCAGATAATAAAACATGAAGATGCATCACACAGCTTGTGTTTCTGCAGCAAACAGATGCAACAGGATGAGGACTTAAGTTAAAAAATGGGCCATTCCCATCTGTACCTGGTCGGCCCGGCCCGGATAGCATTACATATCTTGGTGGCCTGCCTTTTTTCAGGGTGCAATGAGACTGTTTTTCAGCCCTCTTTCTGAGGTGGTCTGCTTCAGGCTGACCAGGGCCAACACACCCACAGCTGACCGATAAGCCGGCTTATCAGTCAGCAAATTCACACCTTCCATTAGAGCAAGCCTCTGATTGGTGAGTAGAATCAGCCCACATGGGCTTAAGGCATGCTCAATTCATCATTCAGCACCTTGGGCTTCCTGGCTTCCTGACAGGGTTGCAGAAGGTGCTTTATAAATAAAGCTTTGATTTGATTTGATCATCATTCGTTATCATGCTGATTACTTAGAAGCTGAAAATGTCTCTGACTGCATTCCTTGCATACCTAAGCAAGGATGTGTGGAATCTACCGGGCCAGGCTGGGGCCGACTGGAGCTGTCCGGGTAGGGCCGACCTGGTACAAATGGGAATGAGGCATTCTGCTTACAACTTCTGCTTGTAAGGTCCTGCTCAGTCACCTGATTCGCGTCAGGTCAGCAACTCAGCGCCCTCTGGTGTCCAGGAGGAGCACAGCTTCACCACTGAACATGCAGCTTCTCTCTCTCTGGGCTCTAACAGATTTTAATGAGTATTTTTTAATTTTACCGTTGAAAGTAAATTATTTTAGTTTTAATGAATAACTTTAATCAAATTAATTGCTTGCAAAGCAATAACAGTGCATTAAATTACATGAAAGTAATAAAGATGTTTGATCTGAGGCAACTTCCAAACTGAGTTAACAACTTTTTGAATCACCGTCTGGAGCTTGGTAATTATTCCAATTCATTAACAAAAATTTCAAGTAAAACTCAGTAAGCGAGAGTTAACACAGTTTGCTTGCTTGCATCCTCACTATGCAAAGGCAGACTTCCTTTACTCTTCTTAATTTATATAAAAAAGTCTTTACATAATGTAAATGTGTCAGATTTATTCATGAAGTCTAATTTCCAGTTTCAGTCATCAGCTTTTTCCATATTGGCGTCACAGGGTGTTGGGGCCTAACCCCTGCAGTCACTGGCAAGAGACTGGGGACAGGTCACCTTCCCAGTCCATCATAGAGACACACAGATATAAAGAAACAGTCAGACACCCACTCACTCACACTCCAGGGACCATTTGGAGTCTTCAATTAACTTGACATGCATGTTTGTGGACTGTGGACGAACATACCTATAAATCCTGCATGCACGAGGAGAACATGCTAATCTTCTTGCTGCACAGTAACAGTGCCATGATGCAGCCCGTTATAGAATAAATTACAACAGATGAACAAAAATCACCTTAGCTGATTGACTGATTAACAGAAAGGAGAAACGCAAAAGATGGATATCATAATTTATATATAATATTATAATATCTAATGTGGCTACGACTCATTGATGGCTCTCAGTTGCAGGGCAGAATCTACAGTTGTCTTTCAAACTGTCTCCACGTTCTATTGGACACCAAACAACGTGACATAATCTCCACTACGAATGTCAGTCAACGGGGCAGTCCACCATACACCATCAAAGAAGACGCAAATACATCCTTCTTCTAAATGGAGGACTTGAGTACCTCTGTCTGCTCAGAAAATCCCAAGTTTATATATATAGTCCAAAGTTAATGTCAAAGCAACGAACCGTCACCATCTTAGTTTCACTCAGTCACAGTAACATCCCACCCACCAAACTGATAGAGGGCTGTGATTGGCCCACCACCCGAATGGTCAGGGCTGAGGAGGTTCCAATGGGGCGTGGCTAGACCTACATGCACAGCAGAATCATTTAGCTACAGCTGCTGTTCATCTAGATTTCTAGGCTAAGAATATGATCTGTGTTTGAAATTCAGTGAGACAAACTATAAAACACCTTGTGCTGCTTTAATTATGATTTCCAAGGGGAAAGAAATGCACGAGTTAAAGTTTTTGTCCAATAGTTTCAGGGCTTGTTTGATTTGAGCTTCGTGATCTTTACTTCACGTCTCGGCTGCACCAACAAAAGGACAAAAGACAGCAGAACTCCACTGAGTGCTTCTGGAAAAGATGTTTTGTAACTTTGCAAAAAGATTTTTCATGTGAATAGCCAAACTGTTAAGGATTCTTATATCTTTAGAAGCAGAGAAAGTTAGAGTTAGCAAATTTTTCTAGGGGTAACCGGACACCTAAAGCTCCAGAAAACATCCTATTACAATGTAGAATTATACTTTTTTTTGAATATTTGTCACAATTTTTGAGGCTGAATTACAGAAATATGGGTTCTCTTAAGTTATTTAATTGCTATAAATTGACAGTAAATGTCACATAAAGACTTTCTTGCAGCTTCTTCACAAAAACTCCCATTTCTGCTCATCTGATTGCAGCCATTGGTGTCGTGCACCGAAACATTACGACCTTACATCTGTCCTCGTGTTCTGCTGCTGCAGATTGAGCCTCTGATTACTTACATTACCAGCTTATTATCATATAACTAATTACATTCTTGTCTGTGCCCTTCATTTACAAACCTGATGAAAGCGCCTTCTGCACCTGACGAAACTCCACCAATCAATTGTGTGACATTGCACTTGTCAGTTAAGTTAATGCAATCAAAGTGCCGCTCGTGGCTAATGACCTTCTGATAGATAAACCCAATGGGACAACCTCACACTCGAGCGGCTCTCATCAATATTTTGTGGGCTTCACTCACAGCCGTGTGTGTGTGTAATTGATCCTCGTTACTCTTTGATCACATCTTGCTTCAGCGGTCTGCAGAGACAAAGCTCCAACCTTCACATTGATTTCAAAGACAAATTGGCGCCACGGTCCGTATTTTTGATATAACAGAACATACAACCAGGGCTAGGCCCTCGCTGGTTTAGAATCTTATAAGTTAGATCTAAATTCTGCCAATTTTCTTGCTTTACTCCAGCTTCCATGAAGAATAAAAACATTAGATTGCAACAAAGATCATTTGAATAATTCATTTTAAGAAAACCAAGTTCCTTCATGAAAATATTTAATATTTAAGCTCCATTATTTTGAAGACAGATTCAGTCCTTGGGCAGGGAAAAACCTGTGGGTGCTCCTTGAACGCTCTGAGAGTTTTTGTTTTTCATTCAGCTTTCAGAATATTTAGAGAGAGCAATTTGGGTTCATGGACAGAAAAAAAAGCTGCATTTTTTTGTTACTTTTTCAACACAAAATCTCTTATTTTTCCAGTAAAAAAGATTTAATGTCAGTGTTGAAAAACCCATGCCTTCTCTTTGCACACTGCATACAGCATTTTGCACAAAAACTTTATTATTTTGTCCAAATCTATATAAAAATTTGGAATTTTAATGCTTAAAGTCACATATGAATGAAACTAAAGGTTTCTTATAATAAAGACACGTCCACCTAATATGACTGTATGAATAAATATGACCTTCTGAGAATTCAGAGACGTGCACAAACTAGATTTAAAACAATCTAAGGTGCTCTTATGTTCTTTTCACATTTTGCTGATGATGTTACTGCATACAGAACCGTCCTGTTATAGGTTATATTTAGTGGGCTGAGTGTTATAAGAAGGGGACACAGCTGCAAGATTAAAGTCCAAGAGGTTCTCCTGCAGATGGGAGTCAAACAAGTGTAGCAGGAGGAATGTTATCAAACTTAAAAGCCCCAAATCGATCCGAATTATAAAGAAAAAGAAATTCTGATACATTTAAGCTCTGAAATAGAAAATCTCTGATTAATTAAAAACATTGGAGCATGTGCACTGAGTGAATGATGGTTTTTGGGGAGATGGGAGCGAATGGAGTTCGACCCGCACCCACTGAAAGCACCGCCCGGGCAGTGACCTCACAGACTGGGACGTTGCTCGAGGTGAATCGTAAGCTGGACAATGTCCTTGCTGCGTTACCGGTATTAGTGCGCAAAATGGATGTCATCTCGGAGAGGGTCACCGAACGGTGTGGGGATGATTAGTACCTAAATTGGTTTCACTGGAGGACTTGAATGATCAATAGACTTCAAGGCAGAGAGGAAAATTATCTCTGCCTGACCCAAACAAAGTCTTGTTATCCAATTCTGACACCAAGGCAGCCTTGAGTTGCTAACAACAACCCCCACGAAGGAAGGAATGCAGACAGATGTTGTGAAAACCCGTCCTACTCCCCCGCCTTCAAATTGTGGACTTCTACCTAGCGAGGTCATCAACCTGCAGGAACTCAAATGTGCTCTGCGCTCCTCCAAGATCTCCCTCCCTCCTGTGGATACAGCTGGCTGAGCGTCACACAGCGCCCCCCCCCCCCCCCCGCCTCCCTATCGGAGTCTCATGTTGTGAACTGTGATGTTCGTGCTTATATGTTTGAGGCGTTTTTTTTTTTTGCATAATAAAGCTACGCCCTGCCGGGAGGAACTCTGGTATGCCTTTTTTTTCCCCTCCCCCAATTTATCCTCATGTAATTCCCTTTTCATCTTTTAAGGTAGCGTGACTCGTGTTGCGAAGGACCACAGTCACCAATTCTTGTCATGCGTCTTGCCCTGTATGTCTGATCTCTTGAGTATGTCTTGCACATGTGGTAGAATTGACAATAAAACTGACTTTGACTTTTTTTAAGTGGAACAAACCAGGAAAATACAATAAGAACTCATTTCAAAATAAAACAGGAAGTGTGTGTGTGCTGAAAATTTCTAAAATATAAAGAAATACACAGACCATCACAGGACTTTGTGGGGAAGAAACCCCTGCAGGTTCGCAACAAAACAAGAAATGAGATAAACCAATGTAAACGAGGTATAGAACATGTTTGAAATAGACAATACAATGTTTTTTTTTCTCGTTGACATTTACAGACAATGAACTGCTGTTTCGATCGAGGGATGGAGATGTTGTTGAGCTGAATTTTGACACAAACAAGTCGAGGCTCATCGTACCTGATCAGCTGTTTGTGAGTATGATTCACATGAAGATAAAAACAATGAGTTGTTCAGATTTTATAATCATATTATAAGTTGAACAAATGTTTTCTTTATAAAATCCCAAAAAGTGTATTTTTTTAAAGGAGCAATATGTAAGAATCTTACAGTGAAATAGTCACAAAACAGTCTCAATCATGTTGGAAGGAAGGTTACATAGAAACGGATTATTCTCAGCTGGCTGGGGGGTTGTCCTGCCTCAAGTGGAGGAGTTGAAGTATCTCGGGGTCCTGTTGGATTGGGAGATCAATAGACGGATTGGTGCTTCATCTGCAGTGATGCGAGTGTTGTACCGATCTGTCGTGGTCAGCCGGAAGGCGAAGCTCTCGATTTACATCCATCTACGTTCCTACCTTTACCAATGGTTTTGAGCTTTGGGTAGTGACGAGTAACGAGATCGCGGATACAAGCGGCTGAAATGAGTTTTCTCCCCAGGGTGGCTGGGCTCTACCTTAGAGATGGGATGAGAAGCTTGGTCATCCAGGATGGGCTTGAAGTAGATCTGCTGCTGGCCCAAGTGGCTCAGGAGAGGGAAGTCTGGGCCTCCCTACTTAGGCTGCTGCACCTGCGACCTGAAAAAAATATATGTAAAAAATATTACTGTAATAAGTGTAGTAAGTCCTTCCTACCATAAAACACCAAAAGTGCTAACACTAGATAAGACAATATAGTTGTCTAGTTACCAACTTATCTACGATTTGTGTTTACTTGTCATCTACAATCTTCTGGCGCTGATCTGTAAATGGCAACGGTCATGAAACTCGTGAACGATGGTGAGAAAATAAGTTTTTCCGTAGAAAAATAGCCTGTAGTAACCACATTTGACAACAGGATGTCGTTATTACATCATTCTTACATATTGCATCTGTACATAGAAGTTTTCCATTATCCTATGTGTCAAATTGTAAGTGTTGGCACTTCATGCACATTGTGTACCAGTTTTGATTCTTTTGAGAGAACTCTTTAATGTGAGTTCCAAAAAGGCTGGATTTTATGTAACCTGCACAAAAAGACTAGTTCATGTGATGAAAATAGCAAAAACACTCAGCTTTATCAAAACTACAAAAGCCTCGCCTACTGTGTTAAAGCAGAGCTGTTATATAATCCTAATAATCAATGAAAAACAAGCACTTTTATGCTCAGAAGGGTCTGATACAACAGATAAATAACACATTTGCAATAAAAAAATATTCCTATGACCTTTTCTAAATAACAAAGCAGTTCTGAGTGTGTACTTGCTGTGATGTTTGTGTCGTCCTTATTTCAACCCCATCCAGTACCGATCCAGAGCTGCCAAGTATCAGGTGTCTCCAGACATGCAGCATGTCTTGTTTGCCTTTGATCTAAAACCGGTAAACAAATCCACCTTTCTAGGAACAGTTATTTCATTTAAAAGCTTTGCCCCTCTGTGACGGTGATGCCGCTCCTTTCCACAGATCTACCAGCACTCCTACATGGCCAAGTACATCATTTACAGCCTCATAACACAGTAAGAGCTTCTCTTTCTCCTCACAGATCCGTGATCAGATTTTCTGTCCTTACTCTGACCTTATGTCGTCAGTTCACTGACGTCACATCAGTGCCATGTGTCTGACTTTTAGGAAAGGCTTACCATTCGGTTTATTCTTATGGTCCGTCTTCTTCCTGACCAGTTTTCAGCTCTTAATCCATCTGTATCTATTTATTTTGACACTGTTGTACAGTATATGCCTGATCAAATGTTAGGAGCATTGTTTTAAAATGTGTTTTATTCATTTTTCCACAGGGAAACTTGGTCTTTGAATCCCCCCGAGGTGCATGAAGCTGTGCTGCAGTTTGCTGGATGGGGACCTCAGGGCCAGCAGCTGGTAAGCAGGCTGAACCCCCAGATTACGCAGAACACTCAGATTTCTCAGATCTGCAGGAATGATGTGACACAGTGGATTTAAGAGGTAATAATAGGTTTATTCTCTCGTTATAGCAGGATTAGGAGTTGTAGTTGCAACTTGATTTGCTCTGACCTTCATCAAAGATGGCTGAATTCAATATCTCAGGAGCTGATTGTGGCAGATGGCGCCTCAGCGGGTTGGACGGTCTGAAGATACCGGGAGTTCAAAAATAGAGCAGGGACTAACTTGTCTGTGCTCTTCTGACTCAAAAAAGACCCGTCTGAGTCATCATAAACTAATACATTTTGGGGAAACCAGGACAAGTTGGCTTTTTGATTCAACTTCAAGGAGCTATTCAATGTCTAAAGCTTAGTTTCAGAAATCTAGTGCACAAAATTTAAATTAAATCAGGTAATTTATGTCAAATAATAATGCAAGACCCAAAGAAGTGTGCAAAAGGAAACATCCAAATGAAAAATGTATTTATTTCAGTGTGCTGTAAAAGTGTTTTCAGCTAAAACTGCATAAAGCTAAAGGACTGCCAGTGTTTAATTATGTGTGTGTAGGGTTTTACGGCTACGAACCTTAAAATTATCTTGCATTTATTGGTTTAACTAACAATTACATGAGATTTTGCTCTAAAACACCCACAGAATGCTCTGTAAAACCTACGAGTATTTTACTGAGGTGGAATACAGTTCAGAAACGAGGAGAAGTGTCTTAGCTTTCAAGGACAATAAATCCTGCAGAAAACCACCAAATATTCTAAGTTACCACATTTGGAATAATGTTGGGGTAGTCAAATGATAAGTAAAACATTTACGAAAATAATGCAGCAAAATGAAGAAGATAAATCCTCTGGAATTTGCTTCATCCCGAATAATTCTTCCCAGCAGAAGCTGCAGAGCTGTGATGCAAATATGTCACCGGATAAAGTTGTGAACCAGAACCTGAACCACCTAGTAATTACCCAGAATGCTTTATACACACTTTCACTGTTGACTTCATTCTCATTTATTCCTGAATGGCTCTGGCTAGGTTTAGACTCACACAGTTTAGTTGCTCTAACCCAGGTGTGCAGCCCACCACATGAGTCACTCAGGTAACTTATTTTTTTATACAACCGAACTTGAGATTTTTGCTGCAGTTTTAGTTGACGTTAGAAAAACACAGTCCAGCATGGTGGTGGTAGTGTCATGGTCTGGGGCTGCTTTGCTGCTTCAGGACCTGGACCGCCTGCTGTAAATGATGCAATCATAAATCCTGCTCTATAGCAACTAATCCTGAATGAAAATGTCTGACCTTTGACCTTAAACAGGCTGTTTGTGCGGGATAAACACTCCGACATGGCAGAATTGTTGCAAAGAAAAGTGGGGCAAAATCCTAATGACTCATTACCTGTTTTCACAAAGACTTGTTTTGCAGCCTGATTTTGACATTTAAGTGTCAAAACAGCAAAAACAAAAGAATTCTCCAAGGACACAAATCTTATTTTGATGGTGCTCTATACCTTAGTGTCATTTTTGATTTAATTTAGGTTCCAATAGGTTTCATATTTTTCTAAAACTAAATCTTATAGTTTTAGTTTTTTTTACAGAAGTATCAGTTGCATTTAAAGGCACACTTGGCAATTTTGTCTTGCTTTTAGAACCCCCTAGTGTTCATTTAGTATAGCCAAAAGCAAAACTTATCTATTCACTGTACTTTCATCTTTTTTGCACTTTAATCTGAAGCCTAGTTTATGCTTCTGCGTCAGCTCCACCAGGGAGACACGCATTGACTCCATCACCTGCGGAGTGTTGCTTAGCAATTCCCCGCCAGGACAACAGAGAGCGTAACGCTTTTCTGGGGTATCCTGTCATGTATCCAGACTAAAACTGTGCATTTACGATTGTGTTTCTACAGTGCTTTTTGTATTTCAGATACTTTTAAACCCAGACAATTTTGTCCCTCATTCTTCTCCACCTCTTCATGTGCTCACCACCTCTAAACCTTTGGCTGCATGGTAGCGCAGTGGTTAGCACTGTTGCCTCGCAGCATGAAGGTTGCAGGTTCGAAACTCGGCTGTGGCCTTTCTGCATGGAGTTTCGTGTTCTCCCCATGCATGCGTGGTTTCCTCCGGGTACTCCGGTTTCCCCCACAGATCACAACATGCCCTATAGGTTATAAATTGTAAGTCACGTTGGATAAAAGCGTCCGCTAAACAAATAAACATAAACATAAATAAACATAAACCCATGTTTTCCCTCATTTCCATCCACGAATAAAACGCTTGCTGTGTATCATTACAATTCTCCAGTTACGGGTGAATAAAAGGTTCTTAATTTTAGAGTTTTTTCGTGAGGTGTTCTTCAAGCTGTTCCGTGTTGTCTTCGGCTCTTCGGCTCTGTTTTTATTTCTTTGAGGGGGCAATGGCAGTCCTATTGACAAATTTAAAGAGCAAGCACCCCCTGCCAGAGTCTTACTCCACTCGCACTTCCTGTTTGAAAAACACAACAAATGCTGTTGCCTGGCAGAATGAGAAGGCAGAGCCACTAACAAATACACACACACAGGCTCACAATGACATTTTGACACCATAATGTACCAGCTTACATCATAGGGTACCTTCTTAGCCAATAGTGATAGCAAAATTAAATTACTAAAACTGACAGTTTTAGGCAGAATGTTAAAATTTTAATTAAGATGCACTAAAGTGCCAAATTATTGACTGCATGTGTCTGCAGCACGATTAGACACTCGTTTATATAGTGTATCAGCAAAAACAAGTTGATGTGGGGGTTACTTGCTCTTTAAGGTAAGCAGCGTCCTGGCCAATCACAAGCTTGCACTCTCCGTCTCGTCCGATGTATGTTTAAAATAGTGGGCTCAAAGATGACAGATAAGGGTGTTGCGTGTCTCCATACTGATGCAGAAGCAGAAGAATTAAAAGACTTAATTGAAATGTCTCCCCAGCCTTCATTAGTCTCTACAGAAGTGATTCTTCACTAAATCAAACAAATTGGTGGTGTTCATGATCTAAAACATGCAGCTAACGTGCTGGAAACAGAATGCAGTGCCAGGCATGTCCGCTCAATTTTTTCTAAGTCCAACAGGTGGTGGCCTGCCACTCTGAAGTTGTAAGTGCAGTATGCTGGGCAAAGAGGGCGGTAGGAGTCAGAGTGACATTTCATTAACCATGTAAAGGGTCATTTTAGCACATACTGGCTCCAGAAAATGAATATAAAATAAGAACAAGTTGCATTGTATAGATTTAAATTCTCCAGCATATTGTGGTTAATGTGAAGGAGCAGGATCTAAACCAAAGCAAAGAAATCGAACCAAAAATTCAATGTTTGTGTGTCTCTTCACCCCAAATAAATAATCTAAAGCACGTTAGACTGAACACAAATGTCTGTGTGCAACATTAGGGCACTGAGTTCAGTTTGATTTGATAAAACTCTATCATCAACCTTGAACTGTTTAGAGTTTATTACTGAATGAATTTTGATAAACATTCACCCAGAAGCCCTTGAAACCAAGAGGGAGTTCTTTCTATCACAAAAGTGTCTCTTTGTTTAATTTCAAATCATTTTCAGAAAATAGTTTTTGTATGTTTCCCAAAAAACGTAGAGAATCTAATAAAACACTCATATAATAAAAGAGGCTCTGAAGAACCAGAGAGGAGGGTCTGTTACAGGTTTGTAAAGGAGATTAAGAAAGAAAACATGAGCTTGGCGCAAGACTTCTTTTGGCCAGTCTGCTCTTTTTGTAAAAGGGAACTGTGGAACTCCCTACCTACCGAGCTACAATTAGAAAATGACAGTAAAGTTTTTAACAAAGGACTCAAAAAATGGCCAAAGTCTAAACAACAATGTCCACATGAATAGTTTTAAACTTGTTTAATCTGCTGCTTAAAATGCTTTTTATTTTCTATTTTTGAAAATTGTAATTTTTATATATTTCTTTGATTTCTTTGATTTGTTTGTATCTTATATGTTCTACTTCTTAGAAAAGGTGCCTATGGACAAATTAGTACTTGTGCTAACACACTGAAACAATGCATCTGGTTTGTCCAACGTAATTGTTGTGTCCATGTCAAATAATCATCATCATCATCATCATCATCATCATCATCATCATAATCATATTTTTAGATGGATTGACTGAAAATCAAGACAATAAATCCTGAAAACCAGATATTTAATCCTGTAAATGAAATCTTCATATGTTTGATTTGTTTATTTTGTCTGTGGCTCTGCCGCTTTAGTTTCTCCATCACGATCACAAAGAATGAAGGAGTGTAGTTAGAACAAACTCAGCGTTTCCTCTTGTTTGCACCATTTCAGCTTGTCTCTTCTCAAACAGCAGATAAACTAAATTGTCTCTGGATGACAGAAACTAAACTACCCATTTATACGTTTTGGTGGAAGAAAAAAAGCAATTGATTCGAGCACCTAATAACCTCTTATGTGATTCTTTTGTTTACTCCCTTTTTCCCCCTTGTTCTCTGGAAATGAGTTTCTGTTTAGATTGTGGAGCTCAGAACACCAACATGCCCGTGTTTCATCATCTAGGTCTTCAGAGCTCTGTCTCTTCTCCCGTGATTGCTCTCGTTGTATAATTACTCAGATAATAGGTTCATTTGTGGGAGAAAATACTAAGATTTTGAGCTGGTGTTGAGACCTTGCCAGGCGAGGGGAGACAGCAGATTCATTTACATATGGTAATTGTATACCTGATTGTTTCTTTTTGCAGAAGCGTAGCTGCAGCTCTTGATTTAATGGACCTCGGAGCTAGTGCATGAAAATAGAGACGAGCTCTCATCTTTTGTCTCTTAGAGATGTCGGGATGTGTTCCTTTTCTCTTTTATTATTGCTTCAGTGTGTGTAATATTTTTAATCATCAGAATTGGAGTGAGTTATCATTAATCACTGCATCAGCGCGTGTGTGCAGTCGAGCGTCGCGTGTACACCGAGAGGAGATGAGTCCTGCAGCCTTCTCCTCATTAAACTACAAGCAATTACTCCACCATGACAGTGCAATCAGCCCGACTGGGTCAACGCTCCAACACTCACCTATGAGAGAGGTCTTTTTGGCACAACGGTATGGAGGGAGAAAAAGAGGCCTAACGTGAAGAATGTTTGACAAAACTGAACATATTATAAGCGAGCTGAGAGATGCACAAACATCAGTCAAAAGTCTCCGCTGTGAGCTCCACGGGCCTCTCTGATGGTGCTACTTTCATCTCTGAGCCATTTTGAACTGACTCTTCTAGCCTTTCACTCACTCTCTTTGGTCTCTTGTTCCCTTCAATATTTAAAAATCACAGAGTAAGTGTGAAACAAATTAATGGATTTCACACATTTCATTGTTCACTATTAAACTCTGTGAAGCATACGATTTTTAGCAATGGATAATTAAAACTAGGTTTGTTATTGCTTTTTAGCATTTTTAGTGTGTGGTTTCTCCCCTGATATTTATTCTTCCCAACAATTTGAAAGTTTTCCAGTCACTCCAGCACAGATCCTTAACTCAGACGCCAATCAGCTCCGCATTCATCATCCTCTAACTGGCAGCAGGTGGAGCACTAAAAATACTCAGCTGAGCATTTATGGGCTCATCTGCTAGCTGTGTCTTTGTTCCTTTAAATGTGGCAGCATTTTCAGTCTGAAAGTTGGCACCAGGATTTGCATCGATGTCCGAGAAAATGCTTGCATGTTTGCCAAGCTTTATGTGGATTTGCCGTACACACATTGATCGTTGGCAAACAGCAACGATTGATTGATGATCACCACTTGGTTTGTCTTTGCCCAGATCTTCATATTTGAAAACAACATCTACTACAGAGCAACAGTGGAGAGCCGATCGATCCGCCTGGTTTCCTCTGGAAAAGAAGGGGTCATCTTTAATGGTCTGGCTGACTGGTTATATGAAGGTGAGACACGTTTCTCTGCTTTTCACAACCAAAGTCTGCACATTTGGTTTGTGGTGCTTAAAGGCCTCCTCAACCTGCACAAAGCCATGATGCTTTTTAGAGCATGTTTTAAAGGTGCATTTTGTAAGAATGACATCCTGTGGTCAAACGTGGGTACTGCAGTCCATTTTATTTAAGCAAAAACATCTCCCATTCCTGTTCCACGGGTTTCATGGCTGTTGCTAGTTACGTATCAGCACCAGAATATTCTAGATGAGTGAGTGTTATACAGTAGGGATCACTTTCAATACTTATTATGATAGTTGGTTTGTGGCGTTACAGCGAGTGTTGTTTGCCATCTTGCTATTAGCTTGCTGTTATAGTGCTATTACGTAAAAGGCCTCATTTGACTCATTATTCACTTCACACTCACATTTCACTGTAATATTGAGCTGTTGATATTTGCAAAAGTAGCTAGAGATATTTTAGAGCCAACTATTTGTTTCTGATTCACCATTAGCATTGTTAGCTCAATGCTAGCCTCCAGTCTGATTCATCCAATTATAGAGTAATCCAAAAAGATGCTGTGGCTTCTTAGGGGTACTAGAAGCAACTTCTGCGTCACTCCTGTTTACTGGCTTTGGTTCTTTAAACAACTCTGGAGCTTTTTGCGTGCTGCTGTCAAATTACAAATGCCTGCACTGCTGCGTTAGCTCACAGAAGATTCTGCAACTTCACAAACTCAGCTTTCTATCATAAAGTATATTTTTCTTTTTTGTTGTTTTTTCGAAAGGAGAAAATATAACAACTTCCCAGCTGGCTGAGAATGAATCTGTGCCAGTATTACCTTCCTTCTAACATGACTGAGACGTGGACTGTTCTGTGATCATTTCACAGTAGACTTCTTACAAACTGCACTTTTAACGATAACAACATTATTCACTTTTTACTGCCAGTGGCTTCTAGGGATGCACCGATCAGGTTTTTTGCTGCCGATCACCGATACCGATATCAAAGAATGCTGATCACCGATACCGATCACGTGGATTGGCCAGAAATTTTCTACAACATTATAATGAGTGCTACAAACTACATAATCTGGGAATAAAGGAAATGTAACCTGATCTAAAATGGTCTGATCGGTCTGCTTTGATCTATTTTGAAGACTCCGATCAAAACCGATAGGGGCGCTATCGGCCAACTGGGATCAAATGCCAATCCATCGGTGCATCCCTGGTGGCTTCAGTAGCCTGTGAAAGATCCATATTTAGTCACAACAGTTGAGCTCTGCCCCCTTATAAGCTGTAACCATGATGATGCTGTGGAATGGCATCCCAGTCAACACCTAGAAAAAATTCTGGGTTTTCATTTCGATTTTTTTCATGAAAATGTCCCATTAGTTAACATGAAAAGGAGTGTGGCAACAAAAAACATACTGTTCCTGTGTCTAATTATTTTGTGTAGATTCTCAGTCACCCAGGTTGTTTTCATTTAAAACTCTCAATATCATGTTAGTTGTTCTGACAGCTAAATCATTCACTTTTAGAAGCTGAAGGATAAGCTGTTGAAGTGATACACATTACTACAAACATGGTATCTACAATCCAACACAGCACTGTTATCCCACCATGTTAGAAAATACCTAACTCAGGGGATGACTTTATAAAAATCCTAAAAAGTTCACGAGTCTCCAAAAAGTGTTGTAGAAATTCTGTAAATCTGCTTAAATATGATTTTTTTTTAAACCTTTTTAATGGTTAAGCCTAAATCTAGACTATATTACAGTGTTTTTGCTTCTTTTATTTAATTAGGAATTAAAAACAACATTGTGGCTCGGAATTTATAATAAATTCTAGAACCTCTTTAACAGGATTAGTATTTTCCTCGAAAAACTTATTGTTCAGAATCCATTATGTACATTTATCTCCCCCTAGTGGAGGACTTAGATACTACAGGTGGCAAGTGCCTAATGTTTTAATTGTTGACATTTCATCACATAATTACAAATCTACTAAATGTATAATTATTGTAAGTCTATGATCTATTAAACAGTTAAAAGTAGGTTTTCATATTTTTTCTGTCCAAGCTGTTAAAGTGATCAGATTTTTCGTCAATCAGCTATTTTTATCAGAAACCTGTTCGACCACAATCCAAATACGTGTTAGCAAACAATTTAAATGCTTATAATTAATTTTAAAACAGCTCTTATTAAGTCTTCTATGTACTCCCAATCAGCAACCAGTCCCTTAAGTCAGCTGCACAGCTGGCTCTGTCTCAATGCACCTCCTCTTCACCTCCCATCACTCGTCTTTGTGTTCAAGCACTTTTTAATTAATTCATGTGAGCCTCAGTCTCGCTCAGCAGATGTTGAAGCGTTAGGATTCATGTAACGTGATGTGAGACACATTCTGATTGCAGCATATGTGGGGCAGACATCCTAATCATGCACCACTTTGATGTGAGTTTGTTTACAAAATGAACAGAGAACAGTTGTGTCTCCTCAGTCGTTTCTAATGAAGTTTATAGGAATTATTTTCTTCTTCCAGTTCTGATTCCAGCATTGTCATAATTATTAGTAGCTGATTTATTCAAAGAGAGGCTCTGTGTGATGATTGCGTAGGAAATGTAATTACAAATGCCAGTTATTTTGAGGGAAATTTTGCTCTAGCGTGTGAACTGTGTCACGGATGGCTCTAATGGGTTTTGTGTTAATGGGATTATTCCTTTGTAGCAGAAATGCAACATGACATGATAGGAGTAATCCATTTTTCTATGTTGGAATAAAAATGTCCGATTCTGTCTTTTCCTTTAATTTAATGATCTGAGGGGTTCATTCATTCATTCATTCATTCATTCATTTATTTTTGGGTGAGCGATGCGCAATCAAAGCAAGTGGATATTTTACACGTGATTCTGTTTTAGCAGAGCAAAAATCGCTGTTTACTCAGATTACTGCAGGGTGCAGCCATAGTTTATACTTTCTTCAAATGTGTGTCCCCTGTCCTTCAGGTGTAGGTGGACTGCAGTCTTGACCCATTTCTATCAAATGTGAAAAATCTACATTACACAGAGGAGGCCTCAGGTTTCACCTTTCTAGCACCTACAATGCAGCTCTAAACAGTTTCAGTTTCAGTCAAGGTCACGCCCTCTTGCATCTAATCAGAACGACCATCCTAACGCAATAGGACCTAATGACCTGGACAACTCCTCGAGGGTAGGGAGCATGGGTATTCATAGGTAGTTTCAGCTCAATAAGCAACAGACATCTATAGTTTATAAACGTGACTCTTCCATATTCCAGTCAGAACTGACAAAGCTCCTTCGGATGAGAAGTGAAATGTCTTCAAGAAACCAAGGAAGTCCAGTTGTCTTTATCTGAACCCCTTGAGATAAATTTAGTCCGATTTCCAGCTTTCATGTTTGGAAAGCTGCGTGTTTCTGAAATTGGTGATATTTCATCACAAAGGAGCAAAACTTTAAAAGCACAGCAAAAACTAAAGTCATGAGCCTCTGTAGACAGCTACTTGACTCATGTAAAGGAAAGGCCTTCAAAGAATAACCTCTAACAGAGAATTTACAGAATTCTGAGTAATTGACAAATAGAGTGGATTTTCTTTTGATGCCAGCCTTGAAGGTCCTGCTGAACGCCAACACTCAACTTGGAGAACTCAATCAAATGATTACGAATGAACAATCTTGACTTTGCTGTGCAAGAGCGTTGGTGGTATAGTGGTTAGCATAGCTGCCTTCCAAGCAGTTGACCCGGGTTCGATTCCCGGCCAACGCAGTGTTTTAGTGTGTTTTAAAGTCAAAAATAACAACAGCTCAGGCTGTGCAGAACCAGTACCGTTATAACATTAAACTTGGTTAACATAAAAAAAGGTAGAAAAAAATGCTTCAACAAAGAAAACAACATGCTTCTGGGCTGCATGGTGGAACAGTGGTTAGCACTGTTGCCTCGCAGCACTAAGATTGCAGGTTTGAAACTCGGCTCGGCTGCTGCCTTTCTGAGTGGAGTTGCGTGTTCTCCCCATGTGTGCGTGGGTTTCCTCCGGGTACTCCGGTTTCCCCCACAGATCACAACATGCCCTATAGATTATAAATTATAAGTCGCTTTGGATAAAAGCGTCTCCTAAATGAAAAAAACATAAACATCTCTGAATTACCAACAGAAATGTTTATAACCTAATGACAAACAGAGCCGGGATGTCTTGCTCAAGGTTAATCAGATCTTTGTACAGGGAAGAGGTTTTTGTTTGGGTCACCTCTTGCATGAGAATTCTTGTTCAAAGAGCTCTTCTGCCCCCTGCTGGAGAAAGTAAGCTCAGTTTATGTGTGTTTTGCTTAAAAAAGACCCCCACCCCCACCCCACACCCAAAAAATGTTTTGGAAGTTCTTTTGTTCTAATTGAGCATTGTTGTCTGAACAGAGGAGATCTTGCAGACCCACATTGCCCACTGGTGGTCACCTGATGGGCTGCGTTTGGCCTACATGACCATAAATGACACGCTGGTCCCTAAAATGGAAGTCCCATTTTTCACTGGAACACCGTACCCCACCAGCCTGGACTATCATTACCCTAAGGTAAATCTGCAGTCCTGACCATCACAGCAGCTCAGCAAACACAGGGTGCATTTATATTGCTATTTATATTATATTATATTATATTATATTATATTATTCTAAAATCAAAGGATATAAACAATGATAGAAAGCTGAAGTTTGGGTTTTAACATTAAAACAGCTTTTCTCTACAGTCTGGAGTATAAGAGAAAGAAAATCTACCATTCCCAAAATTAATTTTGTTTAATAATCTTTTTTGCAAGTTTACTACAGGAAAGACACACAATCGTTTTCCTCAAGTGTCTATAGATTTGTTCCACAGGATGCAGAAACCTGTTTTATTTTAATGTTAATTTGCAGGCAGGTGAAGAAAACCCTGCAGTGCACCTGTCAGTGGTGAGCCTCCACGGGCCCTTGCACACGGTGGTGATGAAGAAACCCGAAGACCCACGAATAGGGTGAGCAGCAGACTGTCAGCGCCTCGCCGTGCACCGAGCTCAAAAGATATCCCTGCAGGATTTTCTTTGAGGCGCAGCTCGTCAGAGGTGTGATAGATTCTCACGCTCTGTTGTTTTAGGAGGGAGTATTACATCACCATGGTGAAATGGGCCACCAACACCAAACTGGCAGTCAACTGGCTGAACAGAGCTCAGAACAACTCCATCCTCACACTGTGTGAGGCCACTACTGGAGTCTGTATCAAGGTGGGCATTTGTTCCTTAGGGTTGATTCTGTGGTTTATTTTCCATTTTCTGCAGCAAAAAAACAGTAAAACCTTCACTGCACATGTGAAAGTAGCTCCTAAAAAGTGCTATTGTACATTTTGTGCAGTAAATGATGGGGTCCTGCAGTTTAAAAAAAGAAAAATTACTTTTATTCTAGGGGTGGGAATTTAATGCATCAATCAATTAGTTTGAAAAAAAAAACATCTTAAAGATTTACCCTTTGACCCCAAGCACCATCCAATTGGGGTCTGGAGATGTTTTGCATCATAATTTATGCCCTATATGTCAGTAAATTTCATCAGGCTGCACCTCGAACAAAACTGCAGAGCCTGGGCTACGACACCATATAAACCTTTTTAATGTGCTCCAAACACAATTAAATGAATCACAATGACTCGCTCTTTGTGAAGAAAAGAATGGGAGAAAAAATGTACTTTCATGTTTTCTCGTTGGTAGAAACAGGCAGGCAGAAACTTTATCCATATGAACTTCATTACAGCAGGAGGGACAAGCATACATGCAGCATTCATCTTGTAACCCTCAGCAGAACTTCCCCTGAACTCTACACTACACCTCTATGTATGTTAGCAGTGCTCTGCTGCCACCTAGTGTTCAGTTCAGTGCACAACATTTACAATGTTCCACGTCTATTTATGCTTAATTAATAACGCACATACTAATATTTACTAATCCCAACAAATCCCACAATGGTTACCTTTATAATGAGTTTTCAAATAGACCTTGTGGTTACAGAAATATTAAAGTGTGGGTAAGCCATCTGTGCCTCACTTACATTATTTTTGATTTAAAAAAGTTTTCTTTGGTGTAAATCACCATGAACAATTAAAATGTGATTAATCAAAATGTATTCATTACTAAGCCTCCGATTAATTAGATTATTTTTTGACTGAGTCCCCATCCCTATTTTATTCTTCATTAAGGATGTAGCTACCTCCAAAACACATTTTTTCTTTTTCTTTATGTCTCTAAAATGTTTATTCGGGGGGGGGGGGGGGGGGGTCTTTATTGATCTACAGATTGTGTTTATGTTTTGGAGAAATTTCTTTTTAAATTTCCATTTCTTTTATGTTCAGCTAAACTAGCTGATTGTTGTGTTGTCATCATGAAAACTCCTCTGAGACCTTCATTGCACAACAATAAAAATTAGTATTTAAAACTATTTTAAAGTGGCTCATAAACCATCTTGTGCATGCATTTTGTTTTAAAGTGCTTGGATTTTTTTCTTTCTTTTCAGAAACACGAAGATGAGAGTGAAAGCTGGTTGCATCGGCAGGTATGTGACATCAATCAGCTGGTTATAAAACAGGGTTCTTGCTCCGTGTCTAAACAAGTGAGGGACAGGGGAAGAAAAAGCCCTGTGGGCATGTTTTAGGAACAACATGCATTTATTTTTTCCTCCTTTTCTCTTTTCAGAATGAACCACCACTCTTTTCCAAAGACGGCCACAAGTTCTTTTTCACCAGGGCGATCCCTCAGGGTGGCAGAGGGAAGTTTTTCCACATCTCCATGTCCACCTCACTGGTGCGTGCTAACAGAAAACCCCTTTTTATATTTGCACTTTTAGATATTCTGCATTAAATGGGTGGTTGTTTTCCAGCCCAACTCCAGCAGAGACATCCTTCAGTCCCTGACTTCCGGAGACTGGGACGTTACCAGCATCTTGGCGTACAATCACGTCAAGAATCTCATGTAAGTGATGAGTTCAAGTTCACATTTCATGTTTTACAAGCAAGTGCTGCAAAATCTTCATCTTTTGTTACGTTCGGATGATTCTCAGATACTTTCTGAGCACAGAGGACGACCCAAAGCGACGACACTTGTACAGGTAGGTGCTTCTGAGACTTCTTCAAGAGCTTTTTGATGAAGATATTTACAGAGTATCCTCTTGCAGCGCTGACACAATCCATCATTTTAACCGCTGCTGCCTGTCCTGTGACTTCAAGTGTGGCTATGTGGACGTTTCATTCAGCCACAACATGAAGTACTTCCTGCTCAGCTGCAAGGGTGAGCATCATTTTACCTGCAACCTCCACGTGACAACATTCGGGGGAGCAGCAAAAGGTTTTAATATCACACTGAGAGCTGATGTCATGCTGAGAGTTAGGAGACAGCCTACAGCTGATGCTAGATCCTCCTGATTAGCTACAGGGATAATTTGGACCCTAAACAACATCCTGGTTTCTAAGGAATCTAATTTAATTAGGGGGCCAAAGGCACTCATTAATTAGATTTTTAGAGAGCAGCTCTGCTGTGACATAAAAAGCTTCTCTGTGATAGGATAGACTTTTAGACATGAAGCAGACGATTCAAGGTCAGCTAGTTTTCATGTCTTGCATTTTTTGAGACAAAAACATTTTGATAATATCCTGTTTACAACCTGATTACCTTTCTTTTATTAGGCCCAGATATACCAAGTGTGGCTGTTTACAGAACTGAGGACAAACAGAGTGAGTTTCAAGCTCCTTTATCACTGCAAGCAACCAGTTAGTCGAATTTGACGGCATTTCTCCGAGAGCCTTCTAACAGATTTCCCTCCTGATCCACAGAGATGTTTGACGTGGAGTTGAACGAGAACGTAAACGCCACGTACAACAATATGCAGATGCCAAAAGTGGAGAACAAGACCATCACCATTGATGATTACAGTATGTGTCCATGCATGCAAAGTACACAGTTTGATGTCCAATTCAGAAGATGGGGAAAGGAGGAAGACGGATGAATTTTATTCATCCCTCGGTAAAGGTTCCTTTGGGAAATTCTGTTTCCAGCAGGAGTAGCAGTAACACATCTAACAGTAATTAATAGGTAAATATAAGGGAAAGGGCATATGGGAGGAGCTAAAGGAAGAGAGAAAAAGGAAAAAGAGATTATCAATTTATCTTGAGGCATTGATGGTAATATTGGACATAAGGTATTGTCCACCCACAGAGGTCTTCTTTGCTGTGTAGTGTGCCAACTTCTGAATGTGGCATGTTTTGTATGGGGTGAAGAAAAAGGGGAAAAACACGGTTCCTTGTGGTGCTCCGGTGTTACTGGTCACAGTACCACAGATTCCTTCAATCTTACTGTAGCCTAAAAGTGAGTTAGTTAAGAGATACAAATGGAGGTTAACTCTCATTAGAGAACTGCTGGAAAAGGATACTGGTATATGAGCTGTCTGAAAACTAACTCCAGGTTTGTGGTATTTCTTAAACCACCTGGTCTGATGGTTGACAACTTCTAATCCCTGATACCTTTCCATCCTTGCATTTTGGGGTAACGGTGGCAGTGAATCAAGTGTCCGCTCTTTCATCGGATAATTGCAGGCTCGATCCCCGATCAGCCCGTCACTGTTGTTGTGATCATGCCGAACGCTTCTTTCAGTCTCCTCAGACCGAATGATGTCCATAAATGGACTAAATGTCAATTCAGGGAGATGTACTGTTTAAACATATTTTCATGTTTTTTGTTGCAGCTCTGACGATGCAGATTCTGAAGCCAGCAGGATTCGTAAACACAGCCCTCTACCCACTGCTGCTCATAGTGTGAGTGTGAAGCTTCTTCACGTTGAAGTTCTTAATGGTTTTGAAATTGCAGCCATTGTTCAACAAAGTACATCCGCTTATTGTTTTACACATCTGGAGTTTAATGCCAGCAACATTTTCCTTAATGCAACACAATATTGTTTGCTATGAGGCACCTGTTTTTTATAAGACCTCATCTTTTCACATTGTTCCAGAAACGATGCAACAAAAGCACCCTAACACAAGGCAAGGCAGCTTTATTTGTATAGCACATTTTAAACACAAAGGCAATTCAAAGTGCTTTACAGAAGCAAGAACAGCAAACACAGTAAATCAAACAAAGAAATGTAGATTAATTTCAGATTCAAAAACAGATAAAAGGAATGGTCAAAAGGGTAGCAGTTACAGTGCCGAAAGTGCAGCATAAGAAATATTTATTCAAAGGCTGATGAATACATGAAGACTTTTAATTTTGATTTAAAAGTTACTAGAGTTGGGACACATTTGAGGTCATGAGGAAGCTGATTCCATTTGTGTGCAGCATAGTAGCTTAAAACGGCTTCACCCTGTTTGGTTGTGACCCGAGGTTCTACCAGCTGACTGTTTGCCAAGGATCTAAGAGCCCTGCTGGGTGTATATACTGGAAGGAGATCCAACACGAACTTTGGCCCCATGCCACTGAGTGATTTATTAACTAGTAGAAGCACTTTGAAGTCGATTCTGTAGTTTACTGGTAACCACTGTAGAGATTTAGGAACAGGAGTGATGTGCTCGGTTCTCTTGGTTCTTGTTAAGACTAGCAGTGGCATTCTGAATATCTGCATCTGCTTTACAGCTGTTTTGGGAAAACCAGTTAGATGACCATTGCAATAGTCCAGCCTGCTGGAGCGCATGGATTAGTTTCTTTAGGTCTTGTTTTGACATGAGAACTTTATGTCTTGCTAATTGAAGTACAAGATAAAACGCTGATTTAGTTAGCTTTAATGTGAGCAGTGAAGCTCAGGTCTGAATCAATGGTAACATCAATATTTCTAACCTGAGGCTTTGTCTTTATTCCTTTGGAGCTAAGTTGAGATATAACTTCCATTCTATCCGTCTTATTTCCAAAGACAATAACTTCAGTCTTGTCTTTGTTTAACTGAAGGAAGCTTGATTGCATCCAGTCATTAACCAGCTCTAAGCACTGACAGAGTGAGTCTAGAAGGCCACAGTCACTAGGTGATAGAGTTAGGAAGATCTGGGTGTCGTCTGCATAACTATGATAGGCGATGTTGTTATTGTTTATGACCTGACCCAGTGGGTGCAAGTAGAGATTGAAAAGCAGTGGTCCAAGAATGGAGCCTTGGGGGACACCGCATGTCAAGGCGATTTGCTTTGATTTGTGTTCACCAATGGAAACAACATAATTCCTGTCTGCGACGTGTGATTGGAACCAATGGTTCAGGATTATTGTTCAGAATCAAAATAAAGAAAACAGACTGCTCTTTGAGTTACGTTATTAAAGCTGTAGATTTTAGCTATTAGATAAATCACTGGGAAACAATAAATTTGTCCTACCTTAATGTTTTCTTCATCTTGGTCATTGGGTCTTTTTCAGGGACGGGACACCTGGTGGACAAATGGTGACGGAGCAGTTCCAGGTGGACTGGGCCACTGTTCTGGTCAGCAGCTTCAGCACCATCGTGATACGGTTTGACGGTCACGGCAGCGGCTTTCAGGGCACCAACTTCCTCCACAAGGTCCGAAGGAAACTGGGGAAGCTGGAGGAGATGGACCAGCTGGAGGCGCTCAGGTCCAACCTTCACTACAGCTTCAATCTGGATAGAAACTTGAAGCTCTGACAGTTTCTAAACAATCTGTTTCCTTTACTTTTAGATTCATATCCAAAGAGCCGTACATCGACAAAACTCGAATGGGAGTTTATGGAAAGGTAATGATTCAATTAGAAGAACAGGGGTGTTAATCTGAGGATTAAAGCTCACAGTGTGTCCTTTTCTTTGTAGGCTTATGGCGGATATTTGGCTACACTGCTTTTGAGCGCTGAAGAGTTCAGTCTGCTCAAATGTGGAGCTGCTGTCTCGCCCATCACAGATTTTGAGCTTTATGGTAAAACTTTACTTTTGTTTGTTTTGAATAGTTTACCATAATAATAATAATGATAATAAAGGATAGCAATGTAAGATGCATATTGATACACTGAAATATCACAGCATTTTGCGTTATGGTACTGAATTGATATTTAAAAGCAGTGCATCTGTCTTTTATTGAGAGCTTACATGCAAACATTTACTGTATCTCTTGTTGTGGTGCAATTCTAACTTCGACTGCTAGGTGGCAGCAGTTTTTAGCACCTATGTTCTGATGGAACAACGGGAGCTTGCGATAACACTGGATATGTCTTGGAAGTGTCTGCCCTGAGTTTTTCTAATAAATTCACTCTTAAAAATTGCAAATATCGCGATAAATCGTACTGTGTTCCCTATACTGTGATATTTGTTGTTACATTGTCATTATTATTGCCAGATTCTTGCCAATACAAAACCTTATCAAAGCAGAATCTAAAGGCACTTGTTTATCTCTGTGTTTTTGTTCTTCCGATTACAGCATCTGCTTTTTCAGAGCGATACCTAGGTCCAAAGACAGATTCTAGAGTATACACGGTAACGCGTTCTGTTTATTTGAATCATCTATAGAGACGTTATCATTCGTCATTCGGCTAATAACACTGATTGTAAATTTTGCTTTTTCTCTGTTTTCTAGATGGCAAATTTAGCTCACAGAGCGGGTCTGCTCCCGGAGAAACAATACTTAATAATACACCCAACAGCTGATGGTGCAAAACAGTTTTTATTTCATTATTTGATTTTTGTCCTTATTGTGCATTGTATTTGATTTTTGTCCTTATTGTGCATTGTATTTGATTTTTGTCCTTATTGTGCATTGAATGAAAAGATCACATCCTCTTTGTCTTCTAGAAAAGGTTCACTTTCAGCACACAGCCAAATTTATCAACCATTTAATCAGCGAGAAGGCCAATTACACTCTACAGGTGAGCTCAAATGAAATAGCTTTGAGATGGTGGAAAATGTTTAAAATTGCAACTGCGATTAAACCTTCATTTGTTTACGTAGATCTACCCAGACGAGGGACACTTTCTACACAGCGAGGGCACACGGCAGCACCTGAGTCAATCTCTGGTTAACTTCTTTGAGGAGTGTTTCCGGAAGCCAGAGCTGCAGTCAGAAGAGGAGGATGAGGTGGAGGAAGACAGCTAAACCAGAGCAACACTGGCCAGCTATAGTACCACAGCACATCAACCCAAATCTACGCTGCCCTCCCCTCTCCTGTTTAATCCGAGTATATCTCTAATCTGAAGCACCTGCATGTGCACACAGGGCATCTGCCTGCATCCCCTCTGCTCGCCTCATGCTGGCTGTTGTCGTGGAAACCAGCCCAACGAGGCTGAATCGACCTCAGGTGTGAACAGCTGCATCTCTCTACAGATATTTGGACTAGTTCTCCATCTGGTGGACAAATAAAGGATCAACACAACCTCCTTTAAGCAAAGCGCCTCTGTCCCTAAACCGGCACCTTAGCAAGTGCTTTGCAGAATATCCCCCCTGTGAAGATAAGCTCATTAAACTGACGTTTGACTCTTAATAGGCTGCCAGTTTCTGATAAACTTGCCAACTAACTTGCTGATTATTGTGTTCATGATTACTGCAAGTTGTTTTTTTTTCAGATTCTCTGTTTGGTGTCGTGTGTGTGTCAGAGAGAGAGAGAGTGTGTGTGTGTGTGGCTGCATCAGTCTCAGAAATCAAAGGCACAATGTTTAACTTGTTTTAAAGTGTAATTTTATTATTTGTTCCCACACTTCTGAGATGAACTCGTTTTTAGTCGCTGTGCCTTATTGTGGGTGAGATGTTCACACTATGAGCCCACGACACAGAAAATTAGTCGAACTTTGTCCAAATCGAGCATCAGAGGTATTTGGAGCAAAGATTTGACTTTTTTTTTTTTTGTTCTTCACAACAAATGGAAAAGTTTAATGTAAAATACTCAAAGCGTCTCAGAAAACAATGTACTGACCCATGAAGCTGTTTAGTTTCCTGTCTCCATGTTTTCTGTCTATATTGGTGACTTGAACTATGCTATTTTTTTAATTTTGTGGTAAATTTCTTTTGTGTGCTCTTGACTCTTTCCTCGAGTCACTTCTGTTCGTACAGTCTGTTTGTACAAAGTGTATAAAACAGAAATTTGTCTTTGTTGTATGTGCAACTTGTACATAAAGCATTTTGAAATGTATTTTTTCAACTTTGCAGTTTTTACTTTTAGCACCCCCTAGTGTCGGTTTGTAGAACAGAAACATAGGTTATACGATATTCCACTGTTCCTTGATCAAATGGGGATGAACACTCACACAATGAAGTCAAAACGCAGTATCTGCCATTGATAAAATTTATTTCCAGTGTTTCAGGAGTCTGTGCACATCCTCCAGAATCAGAGGAACACTGAAAAGTGTCCCTGTCCTAAAGCAATCCTTTCTCCAGACGTACCAAACTGCCCACAACACCCAATCAGGTCTCATGAGCATCCCCATCGTCGTTTCACAATACTATACTTAGTCCTGCAATCTGATGGAAAAGCAACACAAAGCCACCAAAACATGGCATCCGTATGTACATTTAAATTACTTTTTTACAACGAATATTTAAAATTCAAGTTCTGTTCAAATCAAGAGATGTGGAAAAAACAAGGATAAAAGATGTATAAAACATTAAGACCCGAGTGAAATGCCAACAGAATGGAAGCTTGGCATTCACGTTACCAGTAGAACGACTTGAGTCGGCAATAAAAAAAAAAGTCATTCACAGTAACATCTTCTTGTGTCTACAAAGACAGTATGGCACCCTTTACATTTCTATGAGGCACTTTCTTTTGTGAAGTAGCATTTTCTTTGATCTGATCGATACGTTTTTTTTTCTTTCCGATAACTTTTCATCTAAATCCACCGCCAATCACTTGGAAAAAAGAGAATGCTGAACATCAGATGGATGTTCGCTGATTTTTAAACCATATAGCAGGGATGGATATGGACCACACACACTCCACTTGCATAACTCCAGTGTCTCCTTGTCCTGTTTACACCTTTGGAAAGGCCCCTTTATGACAGCAGAGCTTGTAGGCAGTCACACACAGGCTGTACCAAAAACAATTCAAGTACACAGAAAAATAGGGATATGTACACTTTAGAATGAAACAAGCATGTAAAGCTTTGAGTCAGTGTTACAGCAAGCATGTCTGTACATTCTTCATTTGGTTACCGACAGCCTCAGACTTTTAAACAAGAATAATTCCTCTATATGCTTAAAAAAAGAAGTAAAATAAACTTTCCTACTTCCTATAATTCTAAGTTAGGTCAAGTTCCTTAAAGCCACTTAGCTAAACATTTAGAACAATCTAGTGTTCGCACGTCCTCGATCATACGTCAGTGTTTCGTGAGTGAGAGGTCCTTTTCAGCATAACAAATTCCTTATGGGAGGAACTCCTCCTTGCTGATATATTAGTAATAAAATAAAAACAAAGTTAAAAATACAAACGTTTTGTTCCATGCCTTATAAACGGGCAAGAATAACAATTCCTGTACGCAGAAACACTCAGTTAACACGCACTCACGCGCACGCACACACACACACACGCATGCTAGACGAGCTCCAGACGACTTCTGTAAACATGCTCAGTCACTAATATTGGTCACACGTTAAAAAATTGTGACAAATTCCAGAACACACAGTTAATGCACCATCCCCCCCCCCCCCTCTCTCTCACACACACACACACACACACACACACACACACACACACACACACACACACACACACACACACACACACACACACACACACACACACACACACACACACACACACACTGTCACAGGTACTGATAGAAGCGCGAATGGACCACCTGGGCACCAGTGAGTTTATGTGGGTGGGCGGTGGCTGAAAGGCTCAGATTTTTACTCTGGGACATTTCCCCGTTTAGTGCCTTAGCTGGACGATGTGAAAGTTCGGAAGAAGACGATGAGGCTCTGGGGTTCTTGATGCACAGCGCCCCCTGCTGCTCAGAGAGGTCCAGGCCGACCTCAGGATTACTGGTGCGGTGGCGTTCTCGAGCAATCCAGTCCCCAATGGAGAAATCCTGAGAGCTACACTTTGGTTTTAGCCGGTCCACAGCGGACAGCTCTGAACGCGAGCCGGAACCGATGCCAACCGGCTGAGACCAGTCTCCCAAAATGGACAGCTCTGCAAAGTCTCTCTGGCCACCCATGGTGTGTCTGCGCCTGATGTTCTTTTTCTTACTGCGACCCTCAGGAGACCGACTCCTCTGGCTGCCAACGCCAAACATGTCATCTGCAGACGTTCTCAGACGTACCTTGAGCCGATCTGTGATCTTCAGCCGCCATGCCGGCTCCGTTTTGTCCAGCTCGCTCCGGGATGATGAGCTGAGGTTTCCGGAGGAAAGTCCTTTTGCTGAACCTACAACCTGTGACAATCGGTTGGTATCTTTTTCCACACGGGATCCATCCAGCGAGGACTCACTGTTGGTTTTGAGTTGGCCGGATTTCTTTCTGGAAAGCGTATCACAATCGATGAGTCTGTGTGAGGCGAGGGGTCGAGGAGCTTCCTGTGGCTCTCTCGGCTCTGCTCTCCCGATAGTGAACACCGACAGGTCACTCTCACTGTCCGTCTCCGTTTGCCTTCCTTCACTGATGAGTTCACTCCTTTCATCGTCCGCGTCGTCTCCTCCCCGGCTCTCGGACACAGACTGTACTTCAGGGCTGAGCGTGTTAAGTTCAGCTCCAGTCACAAAGGTCATGGAGGATGTGGTGGAGTAGTCTGAGGTGATGGAGCAGACTTCTGCTCCCAGACCGCTGGGACACGCCTCTGGACCCAGAGCCGCAGTCTTACCTGGCCTCGCTCTAGGCACAGAAGCCCGAGAGCTGGTACTGTTCATCGTACCGAGGTCCGACACTGTATCATCGTAGTTTGAGGGTGGGTCTGAGAGAGAAGACTGGTGAATAGGAGGCATGCGATAGCTGAGGTTTGGAGAATGAGGTGGAGAGGTGTCATTGGAACCAGATTGAAGTGTGGAGGAGATTAGGTCTGGAGGTGAGGAGGGAATGGACTGAGACTCTTTTCTGATGGAGTTTTCCAGCCGTTTCTCTGAGCTCCTCTTGTGTTTCTCTTTTTCGGCTCCATCTTTATCTTCCTTGTCCTCAGTCTGGCTGTCCTGAGACCACTGCTGCTGGTCCCCCTCTGGGAGATCCTTTTTAGTAAAAGTATGATCCAGGTCATCATCTGAACTGCTGGGTTGAACCCTGTCCTTGGACTTGTTGCGCTTGCGGTTGACAAAGAAGGAGGAGCGCAGCATTTCTTTGCAACACGGATCCTTCCCTGACACCCACAAGCCCTGATGATTCAGAAAACTGTTAGACTTGTTCGAGCGCAATTTCATACAAAAATTAATTATGTTGCAGAAAAACATAAGAGACAGTTACCTTTGATTTGGTGGAGTCACTACATGCCGATTCTGTATTTAGAAAAAAAAAAAGACAAGCACAAGTAAATATAAGACAACTATATGGCAAGGAGGCTGGCTTCCATGTTTAAAAGTTGCAGGTATGATGGGAACAATGAGAGCAACAAGACAAAGGCATTTCTGATCGGAGACAAAGACACAGGAAGACCAGTAACCACATGAAGCGGTGTGTGTGCAAAACTGGAGAAACGGCAGAAGGTGCCTGAGATGAAGAGTGAGAGGAGAAGAGGCAAAACCCCGGCAGTAAACCAAGACAAGAAGCAGCTCATGCTCATGTATCGATGGAACGAAAGGCACATCAAGGACAAAGACAGCAGTCACTGAGCATCACATGTAGCCAACCAGCTGTAGGCATTCTTTCCCAACTCAAGACGTCACAGAGGAGACGGAGTGATGAGTTTGATCTGACAGAGATTTGAGGGGGCCTGAGTGCAACAGATCAGTGAGGGTGTGTTGTGGTTGATACAGCTGAGCTAAGGCAGGAGACTTTAACAGAGATCCCTCTTTAACAGGGACTATGAGCAACATAAGCTAAATGAGGCTTCACTAAATCCAAACGCTGGCTAACCATGCAAAGACGACTAAAAACTTTTTTTTCATGAAGAAAAACACAAAGGACCAAATTCTAATTTTGTTTCTAAATTGCATCCAAAGGTAGAAAAATAGTCTCTCTGAGTCTTTGTTTTGTTTCTTAAAATCAAACACAAAACTTGCAAAATGTTGAATAAAAAGGAAAAATGGAAGGAAAAGAAAATCCTGTTCTTAAAGTAGATTATATGAGAGTGAACTTAACTCATTTGTTCTACCCATAAAAACAGAATGTGCTCGTTTTTGGTGACAAATAACCTCCATTGGTGTCACTAAAGGGATGAATGAAGCTACAGACCCTTTGCACGTGACGTCACGCTACTCATGGGAACGCCTTCTTCACCATGACAAACATCAAAGAACTGGTAGAGTCCAAAACGAGCCAGTTCGTAACCTTAAATCGCTTTAATTTTGTAGACTTTACTGTAAAATGGTAATAGCTTGCTGCATGGTTGGAGACAAGGACGTAAACTCAAATTGTCTTTATTTTTATGGCAGCTTCCAACCAGACAGACTGGCAGGCCTCAATGTATTTGCAGACTTTCAGGTAGCACTTTTTACCAGATAAGATAAATGTACTCATATTACATGGGGAAGACAGGGACTGACTCTGATTGACCACTGTCCACTACAGTGAAACGCTGAATACTAATAAAACTGTTCCGATGTAAGATGTGTATGAAAATCATGTTATTATCTCACCTCCGCGGTGTGAGAGTAGCAGCGACTAAGACTGGTAGAGATAAGGACGCTTGTAGACTTTCTGAATCAGCTCCGGTTTAAAGTGAAACACTGTTTATAACGTAATATAAACGGTGTGGGGTAAATCCAAGCTAATTTGAACACTTTATCAAATCGGTGAACAAAGCAGCAGAAAGAAGGCAAGTCTATCCAAGCTAGCTGAAGCTAGCTAACCTTTGTAGCTAACTCTGAGCCCCAATTAGGTGATGCATCTTCTGACAACTGAACCGGGCTATAACTAGTGGAGGCCAGGCTAAACTCACCAAAAAATAAATAAATTATTTATCTCATTCACCAATTCAATTCTCCTAGAACTCACTTTTGACGTAAACCATTATGGATATGTGATCAGGTAACGTAAGTGCAAAGGGTCAAAACAAATGAGCCAAACAGGACCAATAAAGCCACTTACACACTAGCATCGGCTCCACTCAACTCCGCTTCGCCCGCCCCAGCCCGGCCGCCTTCGTTCCACACTGCCTTAGGAATGCAGACGTGGTTGAGCACAAGGGCAGTCTGTGGCCTGTGATATCACGAGCACATCTCTGAGCACGGAGAAGTCCGCGGTGTCTCCATTATTGAACAAAAGCGGCCTGAGCAGTCTTGCTCTCTGACTCTGATTTTGCATCCTGCTTTGCTGTGTCTGGCAGCACTGTGTGTGTGCGTGCGTGCGTGTGTGTGTGTGTGCGTGCCTCCCCACAGCAGTGAGGGAGAAAACAGCTTCAGTCAGAGGTTCTACAGCATCCAGAATGATAATGAAACACGCATGCGGGATGCCCCTGTGGGCTGATTCTACCCACCAATCGGAAGCTCCCCCTAATGGTATGTGTGATTTTGAGCCGGTCATTCAGCCGGCAGTGAGTGTGCTGGCCCTGTTTGGTTCCTGGCGGACCGCCGGGGGAAGAGGGCTGAAAAGACATCCGGTTGCATGTGGGCTAAATGAGAACACTCCCAACCTGGTCCAGGCGGGGCGGAGCAGAGCCGATGTTAGTGTGTAAGTGCGGTAAGTAACATTTAACCCTGTGAACAGGTTCAGACCGCTTCAGTAGCTGCTGTCAGTGAAAATGACCACTAGGCTATTTAAAGTTCCTCCTGTAGAATTCAGCTTTTTTTCTTTCACGGTTTTTGTTGCGTTTGTCTGCAGGTGTGAGTGCAAGAAGCCGGGTTGTACAACATTACGGTGAGCCATTGATGTGGATGTCAGGAGTTATGTAGCAGAGGGAGATGAGCAACTGTGTTTATGTTTAGATTTGACAATGCAACATTTTAAAATGTAAAATAAAAGACAAAGACCTCTGCAATAGTCATGGCAAAGACAGCAAATTAAAAAAACGAGAAGAAAAGAACACAAAAGGCAAAAGTTGATACAAGAATCCTGGAAAATTAAACTAAATGTTGCAACAAATTTGTCTGAACGTTGATGCTAAAAGGGTTTTCCTGCTCACCTCTACTTCTGTACCTCACTAAACTCTTACTGGGTGGGAATTTAGTTGTGTGAGTGCATGGTTAGCGTGTCGGCGCGTGTGTGTCGGGGAACATCCAGCTCAGTCCCCACCCTCAGACATCATGACAGATTATGCCACATGACCGGAAGAGAAACCTGAGGTTGACCGTACCATGCTACTTGTCCTTGCGATCAGCTTAAAAGACAACAAGAGACAGCAGAAGGGCTTTCAGAGAAAGTGCAGCAGCATGGCTCTGTATCCCCTCAATTTAGGGTATTGGTTTAAATATGAGATGTGCACAGCACAGGAACAATGACAAACATCGACTTCTCTTTCTTTCTGTATCTTTTTTCCTCCTTTTCGGCCAAATTTAAAAGAGTTGCGGGTTTCTGCAGACTAGGCAGCTACACTGGGCGCAACACTCGTCCTTCTTCCTACAGTCCCAGCTGTCCATCACTGACAAAACAGAGTCCATCAGTGACATCATCGAGTGATAGACGCCGCCCACTTGGCCTGTGTCAAGATTGGGTAACGTGTGAGTGCTGGACAGGGATAAGGGAGGAGAAAACAACACACTACACACAGAAGGGCACAGGTCAGAAGGGTTAAAACTGCCACTGTTTTCGTTTCATCGTTCTACGATTTTCTTTGGGAAAGAACATGCCGGGATTATGTGAGAAATGAGGAGGAGGGGAAGAAAGGAACTGAAAGAAAAGGAGTCATCATCCCAACATAGACAAAGCACTGGGAGGAAAATAAATAAATATATAAATAAATAAAAAAGTTAAGTGTAAAGCAAAAAAAATAAACAAATTAAACATAGACGGTTTTACATTTGGGCAAACAAAACAAAATATAAACAAACAAATAATCGATGACGAAATTAAACAGATAAATATTTACGGAAAAAAACACAGCAAGGTATTTTTCTACTGATTTCCAGCGAATAAGCCAGAATATTGTTTACAATGGAAAATGACTGAAAATAGCTTGATGGAACAAAACTACAAAAACAAAGATGGTGTTTTTGTTCTTGCCATTTAATATAAATGAATGAAGATTGGTGCTTAATAACGTAGCATTAGCAGCACAAGCCATTGTTACATCCCACAGTAAAACTTCATACTTCTCTATTATAAATTACTGATGCTAAGAAAAAATATCAGTTGTGTTGGGATTCTGCAGGAAAAACCGGATCTGGCGTTACCTGAGACTTCACCTGGTGAGGCTGCGATCCGCTCGATGTTGGAGAGCAGGTGGTTTATGTTGGGCACAGGCTGAGACTGAACTGTGCTCTCCTGCTCAGCCGCAGTCTGGAGCAGCAACAGGAGAAAAAGAAAACAGAAAATATTGCAAAGAGAAGATCGGAAATTAAACAAACATAAAGGATATGGAAGCAGGAAGTCAAAATGAACCTGCGACTTACAGCAGGGTCCTCGCTACAGTCTTCAGTGAAGAACCAGTCGAACTGCTGGATGAGGTTTTCAACTATCTTGCACTGGTCTGGCATGTGATTCACCATGTTGGTCATGTTGTCCTCAGAGGTTCTGACCAGAGTGGGACCAAACACGATCGCCAGGTTACGGGGCTCCATCTACAAGGGACCAGATTACAGGTAAAACAAAGACTGGACAGTTATAACTATTATCTGTGAATACACTGAACGGGTTCCGGGAAATTTCTGGGAAGGGGAAAGATGAGAGAGAAAACACGGCGACTTGGTCCTCTCAGCCTTTTAACAAAATTGGGTCTTTATGGAATTTGTTGAAATGTAAGCATATCGCGATCATTTTGGCAGAGAGTGATGCCACTGATCAGAGTAAAAGGTGCCCATGGCCATTAATGATTAAAACTTCCGCAGAATGCTTCAGTATTAGAAGATTAGAAATGCGATTTTAAGGAGGCGTCAATGCTGCTTAATTCTTTACCTTTCATTTTGCTTCACAAGCACTTTTCCAATTTTATAAATGACAACTAGCGACATCTGCCGATATCGTATCCCACTGAGTTACAACCAATCAGCATGAATTGACTACAAGTCCCACCCAGCACCTCTACCAGGTCATGTCCTAGTGCAGACCCCTAGGCAGCTACATGGTTGGTCCCTGAAATAACCTGGAAAACTGTCCTTTCAGGCCTATCCACTATAATGGACACATGCACACTGTGGAGGCCCCGTAAATGTATCCAGAAGATGGAGGAACTGACTATTATATACACTAGGGCTGCAGCCATAGAATATTTTAATATTTGAATACTCTATTGAATCTTTTGTTGATTAAACGAATATTCTATTTGACGAAGTTTCAAGTGAAACGAGACCGCTGCTAAAAATATGAAAACAACAAAATTGTACAAGGTTCAATAATATGTATTAAATTGGTGTTGTCTAGTTGCCTCTTTCCCATCTGATATTTATAGTTAATAAATATTTAATGGAAAATTTTTGACCTAAAATGAACATTTAAGGTTTGTTTTAAAGGTGCATTATGTAGAAATGAAGTAAAAATAACTTCCCGTGGTAAAATTTGGTTACTGCAACCACTTTAAACAATTCTGGAGCTTTTTGCCGGCCATCGTCAAATTACAACTGTCGTTGCTGCAGTGTTAGCTCACAGGAGACGCGGCAACCCCACACTCACAGTTGGTAAACAGTTACATGCCTCCTTCCTTTGTTTTGAAAGGAGAAAAACTGGCAATCCCCACAGCCAGCTGAACATGAAATATGTTTCAGCATAAATGGATTTTCTCACTGTAAAATTCTCACTATATTCTTACATACTGCACCGTCAACATCATCCGTCCAAGTCAAAGTAGCATATCTAAATATATCCATCTACGGTCAGTAAAACTCAATTATTTCATTAACATGTGCAATAGTAAGCTACTAGAAATGCTAATAACATTTAATTTCTACTGGTAATGTAATGGAGGCCTATCTATTTTATTATGTAGGGGTTGGCAACATAATCCAGTCTAAACTGTGTTAAATATAGAAGTGTTAGTGAATTACATGCTACAATGACTAGCCAAAGCCCTGCTGCGGTGTGTGGAGCAGGGTTGTAGCAACAACCAGACTCCAGGTATCTGCTGTCATTCTGCTCCATACCGCTGCAGCTGCAGACACGCCCAGATAAACGGGATGGTGGGGAGCTTTCTTCCACTTCTAAAGTTTAATCAACTAAACTTTAGTTTTGTTTTTCCGGAATCCCACTTGATCATGAGCTTGCTACCTGCTAGCATTAGCCACTCTGCCAGTGGTTTAAATCTTGGGAGTCTTTGGACCCTTTCTGCCTGGTTTCTCCATTTTCTTCCACAGCACCCAGATTATCATGTAGCGTGCCAGTAAAATGTGTTCAGACTGTGGTGCACACGTTTAACAAAACTTCAAATCAGTAAAAAATTATTCGAGGAATTTAATGATCGTACCATTCGGTGACTCGTAATTTACGCACTATTTACTCTGACAGGCCATACCTTGTTCTTTTCACAGTTGTCAGAAACCATCTTGAGATGAGCACAAAGGAACTTCAGAGTTTCAAAGTGGTGAGCAGGTAGCTCATAGACCTGAAATAAAAATGAGAAAAGATTCAGCATTACGCGTTTGTTCAGTTTTTGTGCACTTCTCATGTCAGATTCTACTCACCAGCCTCTTCAGCTCCTTTAATCTCTCCACTGAATCTTCTGTTCTGCTAGCTTCAATAAATTTATCATACTTTTCTGAAAACAAAAGCAGAGCAACAGGAACCTTAAAGAGAAAAGAGACCAATTTGCTCCGGGACTGTCCAGGTTTGTAATCTTACCGTTTGTAAACAGGGGTTCTGGAAGTTTTCGAAAAAACGACTTCAACAAACTACTGATGACATTAAGATCCCGCCATTTCTGTGGATGAGTAGCAGGTTGATACGTTAAAACTATGCTTACAGTACAAATCAATCCAGTTCCAGGAGGCTCTGCTGGCTGAAGCCTGACAGTCACTCACGTCTTCCTGGACGTCGATGTCAGTCATGCCTTTGCTGTTGAGTTCCTCCTGCATGCTGGAGATGGCAGCGTTGTTTCCGGGAACCCTGTAGATTCCTGTGTACTCTAGTCCTCGCTCCTCCACAACCTTGCAGCACACCTCCACGATGAGGGGAACAAACTGCAAGATGCACAGTGAGAAGACAATAGGTAGCATGAGCCTCCAAGCATGACCAGGTCTGTCTGAGCAACCTCCTTCATTTTAATGCTGATACTAAAAGACAGAGTAAACTCACACTGTTAGTTTGAGCAGGAGGACAATCTTCAAGCCGAACACCAAATGTGATACCAGCTGGAGTCTTCTTTTCGAAGGGCTTCCTCATGATCCCTGCTATCCCAATTTTCCAAGCACCCCTGTCCCGAGGAGGACTGGACTCATCTGAGAATGTTTACACACACAAATTAGCCACCCGACCAAAATAATGATGTATATCACCACATCAGAGCTGGTGTTACCTTTCAGTGCCTTTCGTTCCTCTCCTGGTTTAGGCGAATGAGAGCTGTAGGTCTTGCTGTCCGTTCTAGCTCCCAGAAAAGCTTGTCTGATGCTGAGCGGCTGCCGAGATGCTTTAGGGGAAGGTTCTGATCTGCTGCTGGGAGCACTGATGAAAATATTGAAAACGGTTTGCTTTAGCTAGGCACTGTCGCAGTTTAAATGGGGCGACATGGTATCCTGCATACCTCATCATGTTGTATTCTTTGATTTTTCGACTGATCAGATCCTGGCTTGTGACTGCAGCATTCTGTAGGGACAGCAGACACACAAGTGATCAATCAGACATTAAATATGTGAACAATGTAACATTTTCTTCATCAAATGATAATTTTGATTTCTGATTGGTCGATGAATCAACGGGAAAATATTTAAATAAATAAATGTAATAAAGAGTAAATTGAGAGGCTTTCACCTGTCTAACAGACTGATTAAAAATAAAAGATCTAAAAAGAAAATACGAGACATGCAGGTGAAATTCACTTTTCAAATGCATATTTTGAAATTTTAAAAGCATGAAAATATATCAGAAGAGCATAAGAATTAGTGCACGTCGTGCATGTGACCAAATTTAATAGAAAGAATCAATGAAAGAATGACCTGCAGCACCTTTGTAAGGCAAACTGTAATAAGAGACTTTATCCCCCAACAGTTCCTGTTAAAAGATGCTTTTCTCATCTGATGAGCGCATCATCATGTTTTCCTTTCACACACCAACAAGTGTTTTTGTTCCTCTCTGGTTAAACAGGTTTTGAATGGCTTCTTATTTTTGCCATTATGTTTTATGAAACACGTCTGGGATCGTTTCTGGGTCACTCAAAAGCTCATTGTAAGTTATTCAAAGGCTTCGGTCCAGGGGTTGCAATCTCCCTGGGTGTGCCCGTGCTTCCTTTCATAACTGTATTGTTGGACGGTTTAAACTTGCTAGTTTTTCCTGTATGTTTACAACAAATGAGTTGTGACAATCCTGACCTGGCTACCACACACCTCCTCATTACGGTTACTGTTCTCCTGAATGACTCTGATCCACGACAGCATGTCGTCTCTCCCTTCTGCCTGGAACAAATACTCGCAGTCGGAGGTGGTCAACCGCAGAACGTTTTTGCGTCTCGTTTCACTGTAGGAGATGTCAATCAGACAGGCCTTGATGCTAATTTGAAATGGGTCTTCATCAGATTGGGCTGAAGCATGAGACAGGGCATCCTTCTTGTCTTTGAAGAGGGTCAGAGTGTGACCTTGTAAAACGGCATACATCTGCTTCCAGGATCTCATGCCTCCACCAACGCGCTGTGTGAGAAAAAAGAAATTCCTGCACATCTGAATGCTAATAAATTATGGCTGTCAATTGAGGAGATGGGTGTTAAAACATACCTTGTTTTTATCTGTGCTAAGGTGCCTAAAGTTAAGAAAGCCTTCTTTGGAGGAGTCAGAGAAGATGTCTGTGGAAGAGTCCCTGCGAGACCCAGAATCCCCGGATGATTTATGCCCATCCAGAGCCTGCGAGGAGAAACGAGTGACATTTTTTCTGGCGTTATTAGATGACAGCAGTGTGTGACATGAAAAACGGAGAGTGTGTGCGGAGAGGATGACATGCAACAAAGATCTGCAGAAGAAAACAGATGGAGGATGTCACAGTTACATGAACACGACATCCCAAAATCTGAAATATACACTTCCCACGTGAATTGAAAGAGGATACCAAAGTATGTGTGTCAAAGCTAGTCTAAACACACATGTGAGAAAGAACTCGAATTGTTCTATTTTTTTTAACTCATTCACTGCCAATGATGACTAAAGTCATCATAATATTCTTGGTTTACGTAAAAAAAAATTTTGGGAAAGCTTATCTGCAGTATATACCTAAATTATAAGTATTTTTTCCAATTTATGTAAAAAATCAAACTAATTGACACATTCTGTTTACTCTTCAGCAGCTCAAGTGATACAACACCTGTGATCATCTTGATCATCTTGTTTATCATCATTCCTCATCCAATATTAAAGTTTTGTTGCGTCCAGATAGGAGTGTCTAACGATCATCTAATAGAACAAATTTTTGTTCATAGGATTACTGAAACTTTATACAACTAAATAAACGACAAAATATCACCTAAAAACATAATCATAATTTTTTCTCACCCTTCTAAGGCCCTTGAAACTTGGCAAATGTCTTGTGGAAGACCTAAAAGAAGACAGAGTATAGTTAGTAGGAATGGAAAGATGCCCTAAAATCAATTTTGCAATGCATTTTGAAGCATGTGTGTTAACGATGCATATCGTGATATTGATTTTCTTCAGTTTACACGTCAAAAATGATTTTTGAACATTCTCATAAACCAGATGAATTGCAGCAGAACAAATACTTCTAAAAAGTTTAGAATGCCATTTAAATAACATTAAACATTCAAAACCTATTTTAAAAAAATACAAACAATCTTAGATCCTTTTTATGTTGTAGGACTCTTCTCTAAATGATGCAAAACAAAAATTCTCATAAAATGCAGCAGCAGCAGCATCCAGTGCTATCGCAACATTCATGCACAATCGCGGAGTCAAAATCTCTATCGGTGGCTAAATTTATATCATAACTGTTTATCTTTTATATCATGCATGACTAATAGTTAGATTAAATATAAATACGTAAAATACACCTTGGTGTATACGATAAACTCACCCCCTATCTCCTTCTCGATACTCATCCAGACCCTCATCGTAGGACTTGGACCGCTCGGTTTTACTGGCTGAGTCTGAGTCCAACAAAGCACTTCTCAGGGACTCTATACATTCATAACAAAAATAGAAATTTATTTTTAAAATATAATTAACACTCCAAGTGTTCATGAAAGTTACATTAGGCTGTGACATCAATGATGAAGGCTGATTTATGGCAAACCCTCTTCATAATGACATCTACACCAGCCAACCCAAGGCTAGTTACCTTGGTCATGTGACAGCTGGCGGCGAATGGGTGGACCCGGTGAGCCTCGACTGGAGGGTGCTGTAGCTATGGATGGTGCAACAGATATGACAGCAGAGGGAGGAATAGGAGCAGCCTCTCTGTCAACACTGGGGCTGACGGGCTCATCTGTGAGGACGAGAACATATCCAGTATCACTGCATTTTTATAAAGCATCTCTGTATAACAAACCAGTGGATCTAGGGTTAGAGTCAAAGTTACTTTTATTGGCCTTTCTTGTGAAAAACTTTGAAAACAAAAAACAACAATAGTCAGGAGTGGAAAACAGAATGTTGTTGGTGTATTTAAGGAAAAAAAGTAAACAACTTCCCACTCCGGGCATTGCAAGCTCGAAACAGCTCAGAGTACAAAGCTGCTCTCTGCAGCCAAGGGGCTTTTGGATCTAAATTTAAAAGCTACTGCCCTACATCCAGCCTGTACCCAACTTTGAAACTGGGCAAAGATAAAAAAAGGATACAAGCATCTCCCTTGAATAAACACCTTTAGGTTGTATATCTTGCAGTGAGACAAGATTGTATCCAAAAGACTGATCATTATTTTGGAAGGAATCCCAAGTAGTCGCAAAGGGCCAGGCCAGAAACTGTCAAATGTCCTTAAGAGTTAGAGAAATGTATAGCTGTGTATCTAACCATCTAGCAAAAATATAAAGTCCTGCGTAAAAGAGATATGGGCTGAGTTAAATTTCAGGGCAGATTACAGTGATGCAACAACAGCTATCCAAATTTGAAGCCTCCTCTAAATGTGGTCCACAGATGTGTCCTCCATTTCTCTCAGGGCCAACTTTTACCCATGATTCCTTGAGGGCTCAATTGTAGATTTTCATTCCATTAATGGAACAATAGCGGACAAAGTAAGAGAAGATTTCAGTTTAAAATGCAAGTATATTAAAAGCCAATGGTACAAAAATGAAAACCTTACAGTGGTTGTGTTGTGAGGCGTTAGTTCTCATGGTTGCTAAACGACAGAACATATGTTGAGTAAAGGGCGGGAACAAAACTGAAGGTTAAACCGTCCAATTTTACTAATGCTCACTTCCAGTCTCCGCAATGGGTGAAGGACCTGGCTTTAATTGACCGGGTAAGCCAGGTTCTTTGAAGGATATAGCCCCTGAGTTTCAGGGTATCTGCAGGTTTAGGGGAACCTAATTTAAGACTTTTTAAGACCTTTTTTTAAGGCCACTTTGACCAAATTTAAGCTATTTAAGTAGGGCAGCAGTAGCTCAACAGGTTGAGCGGGTTGTCCAGTAATCGCAAGGTTGCAGGTTCGATCCCGGCTCCGGACAGATAATTCTGCTGTTGTGTCCTTGGGCAAGACACTTAGCCCACCTTGCCTGCTGGTGGTGGTCGGAGGGACCGGTGGCGCCAGTGCTCGGAAGCCTCGACTCTGTCAGTGCGCCCCAGGGCAGCTGTGGCTACATCGTAGCTCATCACCATCAGTGTCTGAATGTGTGTGCGAATGTATCAATGATACACTGTAGTGTAAAGCACTTTGGGGTCCTTACTCTGAGAGGCACTATACAAGTATGGGTCATTTATCATTTTGAAAAATTAAATTTAAGGTATAATTTCCAGCTATTGCCTGGAACCGGTGCTAACCACGCAGCGATCGTGGGATTAGACATCCAGTTACCATTAAACTTGCACTTCCCCATGGCGCAAACTCCCACTAGCTTAAACAGCTAACGTGCTCATCTAAAAATAGCCCCCTTACACAACCAACTGAATGTGTACGGTTCTGCTTATGCCAATATCATAAACAAAAAATGCTGAACACTAACTAGAAATTCACGAAAATTTTATAGAAATAAAAGAATCTTGTTTATTGGGTCTTTGGTAATTTAAGACCTCTGGAAACTGTATTTAAGGATTATTTGTCAATTTTAAGGATTTTTAAGGCCTTAAATTTGGAAAAGCTAATTTAAGACTGCAAGGCCCAAATCATTCACATTCACTGTCAAGGTACGTTACGGCAACATACCCTGACGAGGTCTGTCAAGTTTTTTTTTTTCATCTGAATGTATCTGCCTAAACTAAACAAGCTTTTTTGATTCTTGCTCAAATGCATAATCCCAGAAACAATAGTCACTATTCTGCTGAACTAGGGTCCAAATCCCAGAAAAGACCAGACTTTGTCAGCGCTTGGACTGCCAGACCGCCTTATCAATCCAAATTACATCAACCAGGAAAGGAACAGCAAAACAAACCTGGTAATGTACATTTCTGAGATAAGAGACTTAAGAGGAATATTGATGTCATTTTTTTTCTTGTCCTACATTTAGTAAATTTTTCCTGCACCTTCAGAGACCAAGATTTGAACCTGATACTCAAGTTTCCTCCTAAAGCCTGGTTCATGCTTCTCCGTCAGCTCCGCAAGGGTCAGACACGCACGGATTGACGGAAGCGTTTTGCTCTCATGCTTCTCCGTCTCCTGGGGAGTGTTGCAAAGCAATTGCCCGGCAGGACAACAGCGGGCGTAGCGCTGGTTTGTGGTATCCTGTCATGTATCGGTCCAAGATAGTGTGTTTATGTTGTTTTTTTTTTTTTTGTATATAAGAGACTTTTTAACACGGACATATTTGTCTCTCATTCTCCTCCACCTCTTCATGCGCTCACCACCTCTAAACCCACGTTTCCTGTCATTTCCGTCCACAAATAAAACGCTTGCTGCGCATCTTTTCAGTCCTCCAGTCACGGGGGAATTAAACATTCATGTTTTTAGAGTTTTTTCGCGAGGTATTCTTCAAGCTTCTCCGTGTCTGCCGCTTGTTATCCTCGGCTCTCTTTATGTTTTTGAGGGCGCAATGGCGCCGCTGTTGTCTACAGCGGCGTCCTGACCAATCACAAGCTTGCGTTGTACGTCTCGACTAACGGATGTTTAGAAAAGAGAGCTCGACTCCGTCCGTCCTTGCGGAGCTCTCCGGCAGGCCCGCAAGGACGTTGTGTGTCTCCGCACTGACGCAGACGGAGAAGCATGAATCAGGCTTAAGAACCAAACTAAAAACACTCACTGCCTGTGACTTACTTACTTCTCATGAGCTACCGGCAAAATATTAAACATAGCATTCCCATCAGTATCTGTAAAACTAAACAAGACTGTCTTTTTCTCAAATGAAATCATCATAATTACTCAAAAAGCAAATTTGAGATTTACTTCTACTGTAGAAGTTCTACAAGTTTAATTACCAGCAAATTATCAAAGTGAAGGAAAGAAAGGGTTAAAAAAACTAACTCAGTTTCAGCCTTCCAGTCTGTCCTCTCTGATCAAACTGCTTTTTAACAGTTTACTACATTATGTGCCATTACAAAACTATTCAAGGCAGACAGATGAATAGCCAGAAACCCAGACATCCATTATACATTTGAATTAATGGAGGAAGATAAAGAGGACAATTTACCGTATTTTCCGGACTATAAGCAGCTACTTTTTCCCACGCTTTGAACCATGCGGCTTATTCTCGTCTGCTTATTCTCAAAGCATTACAAACTTTCAATTCACAGTCACACGCCACAATAGTTAATGCATTTCTCCATTACTCAGCTAATAAAAAAGGAAAGTGTAAAAACAAGATTAAATCAGTATAACTCCATCAGATTTAGACATGCATTGCTAACACTTGATACTGTGTGTGAAAGGAGAGTTATTTCTGAGATGTCAACAGTTTAATGACCACAACATCCATTATGATCCAGCTCCACCATAATGTGATTCCCTCAGAAGAGACTTTAACCAAGAAAGCAATAAATATAAAGGAGAAACTCAATATATCCAAGGCCTATTTTAGATCTGGTCAGGTTCATTTAAAAATCTCCAAAACAATCTCAAAATGCATCAGAACTGGATCAATGATATATTCCAATTTGGTTTCTGCTAAAGCTTGTAGTGCTAATGCAGACCCAGCCCCCCCACCCCCCCTTTTTTTCTTTCTCCATGAGCTATAGTAATACAACTGCCTCCAAGTGTTGTCATGATGTAATGACCTCACAGTTTCTAATTTTCTTACCTATGAATGGAATAGAATCCAGAGAATCATCCAAGTTGCTGGAGCATGAGGTGTGACGTTGTTCCTCAAGGCGACGCATGTGTATCTCTCGACGTGCATCATTTGGAAGCCAGCACGCCACCACGTCTGCTGATGAGTCTGCTCCTTCATCATTCACAGCCAAGATGTACGAGGGGTGCCGTAAGGGGCTGGGGTTTTTCCCAGCATGCGATTTCTCTCTCAAAACCACTCCAGAATCTGTGGGGCTTTGACCATTGACCTGACTCTGAGGATCTTCCTGCGGAGTACAGAGGACACTAGGCCTCTGGGGCAACTCTTTTGGAGTAGAACATGATGCAGATCTGAGTCCTACTGCCACTGAATCTCTGCTGGACTCAGTGGGCTGCAGGGTTTCTGCACGCATCCTACCCTGGCCTTGTTGGTTAGTGTTGCTTGAATGGTGCCTTTTAACTGAAAGTCTTTGGTCAATGAAAGAATGTTCAGCACTTGTGCTTTTTGCAAAATGTGAGGGCCTGTGAGGAATTTTGGGTGAGGAGCATGTTTGAAGGGAGTCTGGTACTTTATAGTAGAAAGAAGGGTTTGGTGCTACTCTCATGCCACCACTGTATCCAGTAGACGACCTGAAAGACATAGCATTTCTGGGAATGGACTGCCTACTGGGCCTCGTACCTTGGTCTGACCTTGGATACACTCCTCTCATCTCACTGTGCCGCGCCAGCTCTACAGGTTCAACGTAGTCAATGGAGCGTGCTCGAGCTTTCAGAACAAGGCCATCTTGGGAAACACTCCGAGGGGGCCAGTTCCTTGCATGGCTTATCCTCTCTGAATTGGTCATACGGTCCTGTGAGGCACTGCGTGGGGCAATCTGAAAGTGGGGTGGAGGACCATGATATGATCGTTCATGAGAGACACTCCTGGGTCGTTTCCCTTTAGGTGTCCAGTCACCTGGAGGAATGTGATGAGTATTGGCAAAAGAGGCCTGACCAGCAGTTCGCAAATTGTCCAGCCTCTCCTGGATGGTCCGACTAGCATGGGAATGGATGCCTTTGTTGTCAATGTACTCCCTATATGTTTGGTAAGTGCGCCAATCAATGTTTTGATGGTTTCCTGAAAAGTTGGGTACCTGACCCTCAAAATGAATTATTCCCAGACTACTGGGATAGAAGTCAGCCTTTCGAGGGTGAGGATATTGGGCAAGGGATCCAGGTCTGCCCTTCACAAAGACAGGGTCTACAAAATCAATTCTTTGAGTTGGAGTGATGCGCCCAATATGCGCTGAATTAGGTGGAACCACCACAGTCCTAACACTGTCATTACGCATACAGACTGCTGTTTGACTCTTAGGATAGGATTGATGAGAGGCAGATGGAGGCTTGTTGATTTCCTTGCGATATCCATAGTCAAGGGGGGCTGTTGGTGCCCGGCAGACCTGCCCTGCCAAGTCTTCTGCCTGGGCCATGCCCGTAGGCTTAAAGTCTACTCTGGAGTAACATACTTGAGGTGGATCAGGGATGTGACAGGCATTTCCACTGTAGCTACTGTGGCCACGGAGGTAGGCATCCTGGGAATAGGCCTGGAGGCAAAGCAAAATAAAGCAAATTTACAAAAGAGTACAACAAACCACATGTGTGTGTAATATTCAGCAGTGGAGCACTAGATTCTTACAGAGAAGTCAAGTGTGATGCTGCAAATGTTACAGAATGCATGTGTGTGGGCAGTGCATGTTGCAGTACGAATGAGTGGAGGCGTTTCAAACAGCTGAGGGGTGTCAATGTTCTTCATCAGCTCCTTATTTAGACTTCTTATGGTAATAAATGAGGACATTGCAAACCAACAATGGCACATTTTCATGATTAGAAAAAAAGTTCTCAACAATAGATCCATTACCAAAAGTGTTTTATTCAAGAGATACTTTTTAGACAATTCATTTCTACTGTGCTTTGATTATTTAGCTTAGATTGACTGTTCCTGCTTATGTCTTTCTTCAATAAATACACAGATTAACGATATAGACATCCACAAAAGCAATTAAAACAGACATAAAAAGAACATACTTTGAAAGGTAACCAACATCAACATTTACCTGTCTCCAAGTGACATACTGTGACCTCTTAAAGACAGTAGGCTGCCCATGCTTCATTGTAAAAGTGCTACATTTAACCAGCCTCGCCAACATCAAATGATAAAAAGCCTAAAAATGTTTCTTGTGATTGTAAGAAGTATAAATTTAAAGTTACTGGTAGAGCTTTTTCTAGTACGCTCATACAAACTATACACGCAACAAGCAAGAGACAAGTGAATGCATGAGGACTTTGGCCCCACAACAACACGGCGTTAGATTAAGATCTTACATAAAACCGCGTGTGTCACAGCAATCAGTGCACAGACTCAGTTCCTCCCTGTGCAAGCATAACTGTATGAAAAAGTTCAGGGGTCAGTGGCCTTTGTCACACTGAGGACATCTGACAGGGGATGAAGAAGAAGGGGCGAGGTCTTGCTGAATCCAGCTGGCTGCTAACTGGAGCCCTAAATCTAACAAGTATTGCAGGGACAGAGAGCATCGGCCATTTCTGCAGTCTGAACATTTGACTCATGTGTTGCCATTAAAATGCACACCCACTCTGCTGTGTGTGCAAGCTAAAGACCACCTCACGCACCACAATGACACGCATGACACATGAAAACTGACACAGCTGGTACAACACGTAAAAATCAAGCAGCTACACTGTGTACCGTTTGCTTACCAGATTAGTTGTTTCCCCAGAGAAAGGCTGCCATTACAGCATGTGAAAACAAGAGCATTAAGCAATCATGGAAGAGAGATTGGAAGAAAAAAGAGGACAGAAGAGGAAATTGCACATATTGAAACAAAAACAATCCCAGAAGCAGAAAAGGATGAATCAGCCATAGCGATCCCAGGGATTGTCATGCTAAAAATACTCTAGAGTGGAACATGAGGATGAGAAAGCAAAGAGGTAGCCATGGTTGCCATGTTACAACCTGCCTGTGACACTCTGTCCTGGGTGAGGTGACAAGAGCAGAAGCTTGCTTCTCATGTTGCCGTTAGTTCTTCATGGCTCCACCCATCTTCAAACAGATTATTACACTAACTGAACAAGGTGTCTCCAGTCTATGTCTCTCCTTCTCCCTCTCTTTCCCTCCCTGCTACTGCTCACATGACAGAAGCAGCAGCTGCTGATTATACATTCAGCTGTGATGGTACAGCTCCCCCTCCCACTCCTCTCCCTCTCTCTTTTTACTAAGCACCAACCTGTTCAAAACACAGAGCAGTCAGCTGATTTTAGCCGCTGGTTTAAGCTCATTGTTCATGCCGCTCCATCTATTTTGCCCTGCTAAATGTTTCCTCTGCTTTCATGGTGCAACGTTCCCTCCCTTTTCTGCTCCTTGAACGTTCGGTCTCTCCTCCTCTTTGCTAAGCAACTGCTGCCCGTCTCCAAGCACTCCGAGCATGCTGCCTCCTACAGTGTCATGTCTCTCTGCTAAAATCACCAATATCCTCTGATTCTGATCAACAGATCTAACTTTACGTGCCTACACTATAGATATTTTAGTGCTGCTGCTTTTTGTTTGCAATGCAGCAACGTGGGAAGAGAGTGGATTATAAAGGCACACAACTATTGAATAAAAAAAAAAAACAAGAAGCAAGTAAATGGGAGAACTTGCAGCGAACAAAGTCGAGAAAAGTGAAGCTGCTACTGGAAAGTGAAAATGACAAATATTTATACTTACATTGACAACAAAATATATATTGGTATTGCAATTGTAAAATAAATTGCCAGTTGAATAAACTATTAAATTTATTGATCCTTGGGGGCTAAAAAGAGCCCTTGGGGGTAAAATCGTCCATAAGCAAAATACAGCTGCTGTTACTGTATAAATCATACATAACCTGAGATAATGAAATGCCCATAAGAGGGGCGTACTGTATATCCCAGGAAAGCATCTAGGATGGATATGCTTAAGACAACAGATGAGTGCACCTCAGTCTTGCTCAGAATGTGCATAATCAATAATAGCTACCCACAGCATGCATAAAGTGTTGATTGTGAAGTTCAAGTGCGTAAAGATGAGGGTTACCTCTAAACATAATCTATGAAGTATGAACCTTTGCAACAAACAACATGTAAACAATGTGCAGTTTTATGATAGCAGATCTGAATACTAAACTACAATGAATCTAAATCATTTAGATTTTTTTTTTTACGGAATTTCATTGGATGATTGTGTTACAGATGAATCTTATAACAGATGCATTAATTTAAAATTCATCAAATCAGGCTGCTATTTCAGAATTTTTGTAGAACTTTTATAATGTTTATTTCTTCTTCCTGCATTAGCTGCAAATAGAAAACATCACATCACACTAAATTTGTATTCATTGATTCACCTATCTTGGCTCATGACAAGGAAGTGTGTATTAATTTAGCGTCCAGGAAACGCACAGCAGAGTACGGCTTAGCTAGCAGAAGCTAACCATTAGCATTAGCAACGATTATTTGTGGAGATAAAACATCAACATTGCAAAGCAAATGGAGTCAGTGGAAGAGTTGTGTTGCTGTTAGACAATCAGAGGAGAGATGTTTGACTGTCATGAAAAACGAGTAAAACTCCAAATCCTGCTGTTTTATGCTCCCTCTCCTTCGGCTAACATCTACTTCCTGAAGTAGGAGCGTCAGAGCTTTTTTTCTTACTCATTTATTAATTTAGAACAGTGAAAATGTGTTGGAAAAATATTTAACTTGGTCTTTTTTTTAAGTTGTTTTAGGACCCCTTTGACCTTCACTCAGATCTACAACTGGGTTTTTTTATTTAAATTTTTTAACCATGTTCAGCTGACTATTAAGTTTAATAAATGTATTATATTTTGATAAAAACTTTGAGGCTTTGCTTCTGCAGCTCGGCTTTTACGACTTTAATGTTGTGTGGGTTTGAAGTGATGCTTACGCACAACTTTTCTTCACTCACAGAGCTGAGATTATAAAAAGAAGTTTGGTGAAAACAATACTCAGAACAGACATTAATGATTAAAAAACTGTTTATATGTGACATGAATGTGAAACTAATCATTATGGAAAAAAAAAACAGCAATTAATTCCAGTTTTTATGGTAGTAGAACATAAAGTATGTACAAGTATTGATAAATAAGTTTTAGTTACCCAGCTTAGCAAATATTTGTACATGTGTTAGATTTGTTTTTGTAGCTATTGAAAACACCTTGCACAAAAAAGAGCCTCTACATCTTTAGAACAAAACTTAACATCAAAGAGATGGGGTTGAATATTTTATTCCTTATTAATATGTCTCCCTGGGTATTTTTGGTGATGCTTGCTCTTGCAGTAAATTTAGGCCATTCCAACACTGATGTCAGCAGCTGTTCTGGAGGACAGAGAGACTGTTCTGGCCTGATTCGGAGGCCCAGATAGAGTGCTGATGGGATAGGCTGGCTACCTGAATCTCACGACTACTGTCCCAACATAAAAACCCGAAACTGGAACAGGTCGGGGATTCATCTAGTTTTCCTTTGAAAAACTACAAAGCTATCAAGGTGCCATTACTTTAAATGTGTTCTTACCAGTTGCAGTATATCTTCATCTTTTGGCATCACACAAAGTTCAAGAAAGTCACCACTATAGAAAGCCATGAAACAAAAAAATAAAAAACATGTAAATTCCTTAAACGAGCTACCATTCAAATACCTTTAGCCTTACCTCTCTTGGATCAATGATATCACCTCAGAATAAGCTTTCCCAATGATGCTCGCTCCATTTACCTTCACTATTCGGTCTCCTAATCAACAAAAAACAAACCAAAAAGGGCGTCAGTGACGGCTAAATCACTCAAACCGCAGCAGTTTACTAGCCTACAAATCTAGACTGACAGAAGGAGCAAAATTATTTTGCTCCACATGTTGGTCTAGCCACGCTCCACTGGAATCTCTGCAGCCAGTCTGGTGGCAAGCGAATCACAGTTAGTTTGATGGGCAGAATGTCACTGCGACCAAGCAAAACTAAAATGGCGATGGTTCGTTTGAAACGGCTTTGGCATCAACTTTGGACTTTTTAGACTTGGGCTTTTCTTTGAGTAAAGAGCAGATAGATGTACTTCAGCTTATTTAGAAAAAGTACATATTTGCGTACTCTTGGTCAGTGTATGGCGGACTGCCCTGTTGATTGACATCCGTAGCGGCAAGCACGTCATGTTGTTTGTTGTCCAATAGCATGCAGAGACAGTTTGAAAGAAAACCATAGGTCCCACCCCATGACCGAGCTCTGTCAGTGGGTCGTGGCCGGACCATTATTCATATATACAGGATGGGTTGACATGCTAGCAGTTTACTGGCAGTGTGGTAATTGATTAAACTATCTGGCTTATGCATTTAAAATGCTACATAAAATCTACAGCACACATCATTACTGGCTAATTTTGCACAGAGGAAATGTTCCCCAGCTAGTAAATAATACTTTCTAATATCTTAATATATGTTTGATTTCTGTAAAAATAATAAAATAAATAAATACAAATAGGTTGTCAAGTGGTTGTTACCTGTACAAAGCCCAGCTCCATGAGCAGGGCCACATTCCTTGACTTGTTTCACAAAAATTGTGTCCATAGGTTCAAGTCTGTTCCGCAGCCTCCCTGGTAAAAGTACACAAAACAAAATCAACAATTCCAATCTAACAAACAAAAAAAGTCATTTTATTTAAAAAACATCAACAGCAAAAAAGAAAAAGATAAAAATAAACAATCTCAGCAAATATTTAAGAAGTTTTTATTCTGAGACACCGGCATCCTCAAAAAGAGGAAATGTGTGTTTTAAAGGACGTGGATCAGTGTTATAAAGGACAAGAAAACCTGTTTGCACATTCTGCCCTCATCTCCTAGCAGCTGCATAGTGGCCACAAAAAAAAAAGAGGAAAGAAAAGAGATGGGAGTGAAAAGGAGAGACTTAAGACGAAGAGTGTTCATGTGCTCAGCTGCACACCTCCCACTCCTTCCTTACAAACTGAGAAATGGCTGTAGGCGCAGCCAAAGGAGTGGAAGAAATACTTCCCCGGTAGTTGACATTCTGGTGGTGAGTCAGCACACATTACCTCGCTAACGGGAGTTCACGGGAAGTCCAGCGTGAGATCACATGTGATTGTTTGTGATGGCACAATTTAAAAACTATGGCACACTCACAGTTTTCCATAACTTAGGCAAAAAAAAAAAAAACATATAAACTAATTTCTTCTGGTGACTGAAAGCTGAACAGGATGCAGCCTAAAACTTTTTATCCTTCACAACAAACTATTTTTCTAAGCCAAAAATTCTAAAAACCTGCCGACCGGAGAAACGGACACTGTTGTGATCTCATTTTCTCTCCTTTTAACTCCAGATTACTCATGCAGGAGCACATTATGAGGGCCGTGTATTACATAATACAGTACAATAGTCTCTTACAACTACAGCAGGAAGACCTTCCCCCTCTAGTGGCAGGAAGTGGGTCTGCATCTTCATTTGCTCAATGGAGCTGTTCATAGACCCAGACGAGAACACTGCTTTTGTTTGTTACTATGAATAGCTCTAATCTAGGAAGACACGAGCAATGAAAGTATTATATGCAATCAAAACTCTGTGTTTTTACACAAAAGCAGAAAAGTTTGTGAGGAATGACAATTTATCAGACCTTTTACCTAAAACAATCAAAAAAAGGTTTGTTTATATTAAATACTTATGTAAAAGTCATCTGATACGGATGTGAACAGACTTTTTTTAAGCGATGTTTACAAGCGATGTACCGAAACGTGGTTCTAGGGTGATGAAAGACGAGCTCTGTCCTGGAGGTATCGGAGCGAAACACATTTAGACAACCGACTGTAGCGTGACAGTGTGGAGGCACGTAAACAGGAAACCAAAAACTGATGTTTCCAGACAAATCCACACAGAATCATCAACTATGCAAGTTATCTGGGTCAAAATGTGCATTAAATAGTTCATTTTAAATAATTGTCCTTGGATTTTAGTAATTTAATAATAAATCAGCCTGCTTTCACTTTAAACAGTGCTTATGAAACACAGATTCATGAATAAATTAACAGAAATTTAAAAACTATTGTGTTAGGTATGACAACATGGGCGTTTCTTCCCACTTCATTGCCAGAATTGGTGTGAGACAGCATTTCCTCCTTTCCTTTGCTACGACTACTCATCCTGTGACGACTGATATGATTCTAGGTTGGTCCTTTCCTCTTTAGTTGTGGCGTGCTGACAGCAAGATCCTGTGTGCGAATAATCAAAAGCCAGCCAGGATCTTTTTTTAATATTCACCAGCTTACTCATAAAAAGTAGCAACACTCCTGACAAACAAAATGAGTCACCATCTGAGTAGAATTTTCCATCCATTTCTAATGTAGCTTAAAAATTGGCAAAACACAAATAGCTGTACTTGGCTACACCCAAAATCTCATTTCAGTTAAATATTTTATGTAGCATAAGGAAATAATTGCCATAACCCTACTGTGATCCTTTATTCTTTTATATTCCAGGAGGAAAACCTGGGGCCTTATTTATCAACCGTACTTACACACAGATCTGGGTGTATTTCATGTGTAGGAACTAATAAGCATTATGTGGTATTCCTCGTTTTGTACTTGTGCGTGGAAATTGTTCCTAAATATAAGAAAACGATTATGTATGAACAAATTTGTAAGAACAGCATTTAGTGGTAGAACGGAGGAATCATGGTACTGAAGGTCTCAGGCGTCCACTGGTTCACCATCCACAAATAATTTTACTCAATTATTTATTTCGGTGGAAAAATAGCTTTTTCGCATAATTGGTGCTAAAACCAATACGACATGAGACCGACGAGAACCTCACATTGTATAATGGTTGATCTTTTGTTATTGGGAGGATTTGGCAGAGCGTGCACTCTGGGGGAAACTCGTCCTCCGTGAGTGCACTGATCTCCCTGAAGGAGATCCTTCTGGAGCTATGTTGTGATTTGTAACCCTTTGTGAAGCAGCAGATAAACCGCACAAATCCAGTTCCAGTCCAGGTTCAATTATTGACAACTACGAGAACCCCCTGAACCGTCCTCTGCTTGAGACGACTCTTGTCGTGATTTGGCGCTATACCATACCATATTTATTTATAAAGCACCATTTCAAAATAGCATGGCAGCTAACCAAAGTGCTGTACATAAAAAAGCCAAATGCTTGACCAAGAAACACAATAAGAACAGGCAAAATACATAAGAACAAAGCATAAATTTAATCACTTTCCCTCTAGGATTAATAAAGTATTTTTGAATTGAAATGAATTTGAATTGAATTGAATAAATAGTCAGAGATAAAAATTCCTACTAAAAACAATAAAATAGGAGAACAGTTAACAGCACTATAAAATAAAATAATGCGACGAATGATAAAAACATTTGAAATTGCACAAATAAAACGAAATAAAATACCAGATGGTGCGAGGTGCCAAAAGTGAGCAACTAAATCATAAAAATGAAATTAAAAGCTCAAATCCGCTAAACAGGACTGAACTGAAAAAGAATATTTTCATGCTTTTCAGGGGGACAGCAAAAAAAAAAAAAAAAGACGATTAAAAAAACATCATATTTAAAAAAAACTGCATTTTGGAGGGATTTCTGTTGCATTTTTCTGTGTTGGGAGTTTAGAAACTGCGATTTTAAAGACACGTAAGGCTGCTCTTTTTCTTTTCATTCTATTACACTTCAATTCTTCCAAAGGCCACATCTTAGCAAAGTCTACAGAGATCTTTACTCAATGAGTTACAACCAATCAGCACAAAAGATCAGCAGTGAAAACCGGCCCTTTGACTTGGTGTTTTCTGCTGGCTTTTACTTTGAGACCTGATTAACCCCTTAAATTTCCAGGTTTAATGAACACAATGGGGTTTCGTCCCATGGGGTTAAAGCTCGACTGTGCATAAAAGAGGAATCTGCACAAACTACTGATTGAGTGTGCTGATTTCAATTCATGGCTTCTATTCTGCCAAATAGAAAGTGGATTTATGCTGTAGATGAAAGGTCACTATGCTGGTTAATATATAGGTGAAAATAGACCCTTTAGGACGTTACAAAATGTATAGCTTGTTTTGCTTTGAACCAATTTGTGTGGCAAGTTGAAGCAGGTCTGATTTGAAAAGAGAACATTTTGTGTGAGGAACAGAGTGAAGCAAACCCCTAATGTGGACTAGTGAAGAAAGTCTGAGCCAAATGATATATACTTAAGTATTTGACAAAACACCACATCTTATTAAAATGTTAGACAATTGTCTACTTGTGTACTTGTGATTTATTTATTTGGTGGGGGAGAGGATGTACTGACTGCTTGCTTTATCCAGTCATATTCCACTTGAATATAAGTATTAAGTGTAATGAGACCAGTGGAACTTATGGCCCTTTTCATGTGTTACTAAAAGAAAAAGATGTCTTGTACATGGTTTTATTTCCCCAGAATGAGTATGAAGAAATGCCAAACTACTTATTATCCACAAGGAAGCCAAAACATCTCACAACAATACCGTATTTTCCGCACCATAAGGCGTTATTAAAAACCTTTTATCTTCCCCTGAACCGGCAGTGCGCCTTTTATACATGTATTAAGGTAACTCAGGTCCAGCGCGGTACCCCCGCTCCAGCCGTGCCTGCGTGTAAAAATGGGACTTTTGTTTGTTAAACAGCCATATGTCTGATTGTTCATTCTTGCTTCTTAAAGAATCTGTGCAAAAACTTACACTGACAAATACGAAATTGTTATTTTTATTGTGAATGAGAGGAACAAAGTTTGATTTTGATCTAACTCCTTCGTTTGGCTTATTGTACCAATTACGCACTGCTAGGTGGAGTAAGACTTCTCTGCTCGGCTCCCGGGTCATTACAGCCACACAGTGGCCGCACATAATGCTTCATCTCCGGCCGACTCGGCCCCTCTGTCCTGCAGCGGTAAGAGGGGCTTAGTGCTGCGTTCAGTCAGTCATGCCGTTACCAGAGTTTAAATCTTCATTCTTGCTGCTAAAAGCATCCGTGCATTAAATTGGGACTAAATGTTACTTTAATAATGAGAAATTTATTTTTTAGTATAGATAATGAGTGGAGTAACGTTTGACTTTGATCTAATTGCTCAATATGCCTTAATTGTGCCGACCGGGACGCTCGTTTGATTTTCTGGGTGCATGTTTTGATCCAGTGAGCCTTATGTGTGGACCAAACCTTTAACTAGGACGCTGATTGGCTGTGCGCCGTATAATCAGGTGAGCCTCATGGTGCGGAAAATACAGTACTCCTGAGACCCAACATTGTGGAGGTTAAACAGCAATAAAAAAAGAGTGAATACTCTCAGACAGCTGAGTAAAGCCCCAGAATAAAATCCATTTTTACTTTATGACTTTAGAAATCAAAGTTTTTGCTTAACTAAACTAAAAACACCATATTAAACCGTCACCACCACTGGGCTTCGACGAGATGCCTTTTGGCTCTACAGTGTGAAAAACCAGCTTAAGCGTGGAGAGATTAGGAGTTATTAGAAGTCAGTGACACCGGTCTGATTATCATGTGGATGGACAGGAATGAGGAAAAACAGCGGAGTTCCTCTGCTTACCTCTGCGGCCACACTCTTCCTCCTGTCAAGACACAAACACACTCTGGTGAATGCTTCGACGTTGCTTGTTACAGAATTCAGAGTTACGTCTGTTTGTTTTTGCACAATGGTTATAAGCGAATGCCCTCTTGAAATTTACCAGGAAGTAGTGTGCGCTCGACTCCGGCGGGTACACGATGAAGTGCCGCAAAGTGAATCCGAAGCCTTGAGATGTTCGGCGTAAACGCACGGTTTTTGGCCTCGGCCATGAAAACGGCTCATCCTCCGTCGGGTACGGTGCTGCAGGGAAATCAGCCAAACTTCTCTCAGGAGCGTCATTCTGACCAAAAGGAAACACAAAATGATTCATTCAAATAAAAAACACAAAACTAGGAAAATCTATAGATTCACATTCCGAGTACAGGTGTGACTTTCAGGAACACCTCTGTATTTTTCCCCTGCTTCCAGAGCTCCCCTCCCCCTCCCCCACAGACCTTACCCCACAATGTGAGGAATTTGATGAGCTTGCATTAACAAAGGCTCTGCCTCTGCTAATATGTTGAGTAAAAATGAAACAAAACAGAATTGCATTACGTGCGTGTCAGCACAGCTTTGTGAGTAAGCAGATAACCGGCAGGAACTATTTGTGAACATTAAATAATCTGCATGAGCTTGTTTTTGGCACATCAGCTTCGGCAGCACTCCCACCTGTGCCTGCTGTTACGTGGGGCACAAATCGAGCCAACTGCGTTTAAAGTTTGAGCACAAAAACTTGAGAGAATGAACAATAATTCTCACACTCAGAGGCTCAGTACAGAGTGTGCCTGAAGGTCTGAATCATGTTAAAGCTTGTTTTATGGGCTCGTTTTCAACAGTAACGTTGCAAAAAATAAAAATAAATATTTTGGGATTAAAGCTTATTAAAAAGTGGTAACTTGAGTAGTCACGAATCTACAAGTTTGCAAACTGTGGAAAAGAAAAACAAGGAAACACAGGAAAAGAGCTACAGGTGCAGCTGACACCCATGCAATTTGATGAAACTAGCAAAACAGGTTTTATTATGCACAGGCAAGCAAAGACTATCCATTACCAGCATTTTGATAATTCACTTTGAGCTCGTGTGATCCCCGTGTGCCTTCAAAATAATGGAAAATTTTAAAATCTGCACACAAAACTGTGCTTCAGACTTGAAACAAACAGGATGTTTGAAATGCTAGCGTATTGATGCCTTTGTGGCTCTGAGGCAAGTCCGTCCTAGTCTAGCAGGCAGACAGGGCCCATTCCCAAGCCTCTGATCTTTAGACGTGGACAACAGACGGGTGTGTTGGGCCCCCCCCTCACAGACACATGCCTCCCAGTGTTAGCATTGCCACTTGAAGAGTTAATACTGTTATGGCATTCCAGGTCAATAAATTCCAGACCCACATTGCTTTCATGTTTCCCCTATTGTAAAATGAAGTGAGACAAATGGCTACGGGACAGAACAGATTGCAGGGAACGACTGATGAAAGCAGACTGACACCAGGTCAAGGGGAAATTGTAAAAAAAAAAAAAGAAGAAGAAGATTTTGTAAAGAAAACGGGACTAAAATGAACGCCCACATCAAAGCACACTCCACTCCTTCCCTGCCCACAACCGAATGCTGCTTATGAATCACCAGCATGCCAGACTGATATCTGCGCGGGGCGAGGCAGCTGGGAAAAGATTTTCAGACAGCATTTGTTCCTCAGCTGGGTGGCTCTTGGAAATGAAAAGTGACCGAGCTCAACAGATGGCGGTTCAACACTAAACACATTCCCTCCAAGAAAAGACTTGCATGCAAACTTATACCTTTTGTTCCACACACACACACGTCTATTCCTGTCAAACACAGGAAGGACGCCAGAAATACAAGTGCTGCATCTTTTTGCATTCCCATGAACATCAAACAGAGCTCCTGCAAGCTAAGAATACCAAAAAGACGCCAGTGAACCCACAGCTTTATGCTTAAACCTCACTTACAGTTTGGGAAACTACAGTACTAATGAATGTTTAAAACTCCCCCTGGTTTGGGTGAACAGGGTTAGACAAGCTGCAAAGTTTTCATCATTATTGAAGAATTAATTTGATCTTTCTTCACAATTCGGTTGAAGTCTAACCTTAACTGCTTGCAAAAGCAACAGTGATAGTGTTGCACAAGAGCTGGTGTATGTTTAAGCCTTACATTATTTATATATGTCAAGCATTCAAGCAAACATTTTCTTACATTTACATCATCTGTGGCATCAGACTAAAACCCTAATCTAATTAGATCCAACTCGTCTGCTGAGCTCTTTAAACTTTATCCTAACATTTAAATGCATGATAAAAGCTTTTAAAAGTTAATACTCTGACAAACAACTCATCCAAGCCTTTTCCTGCATGTGCACAGCTGTTTACACCCTCCACGTGTTCATGTGTAAATACTAGAAACCAGAATTTCCATCTGTTCCACTCAACAAATTTCTTAAAACCACAATGTATGCCGTACGTGGTAAAAATTTTTCCTGCTGATATCATAAAAATAACACATTACAAGCCTCACGTCACATCAGCACTAAGAATGCCACAGGAACACACAACTTTAAAATGTGTGTAAACCCGGTTCTCTGTGGGCTGCTACATTCTACGCCACATCCCAGTTAAACCAAGCACCGTGCTGTGAAAAGCCTGCGATAATGATATGGGGTCAGTGTCGAGTCCTTGGAGTTCCGGCCTTGTAGCTCAACAGTATCATTATTTCTCAAGTGTCAGACACTTGGTGGGGCTTGTGCACGCCACACTTTTTGCACAGAAAGCTTGTTTTTGATCACTTTTTATATGTGGGAAATATTTCCTTGCACTGCTAAACCTGAACAATAATCCATAGGAACATTGCTTCACAAAAATCCAGCAAATTTACAACTTATGACAAAGTATAGAATGAATAAACTCAATAGAAACTAGGGATGCACCGATACGATACTGGTATCGGTAAAAGTTAACCGATACCAATGCAGTTGCTTGAAAATAGCTTCACTGTAACTTGTCATTTCTGTTCACCTAATATTTTAGTTTTGTGATGATTTTTATTCATAGATTTTACTTTTTATCTACCTCACAGTATTTTCCTGTTGAAAGCAGAGAAGAAAATAAAATCTTTATTCCAAATCATTGCATTTTTTTTGTGTGTGGTAGAAGTATAGGTATCGGTAATCGGTATCGGCGAGTATTCAGATCCAAATATCTGTATCGTATCGGTTTGGAAAAAAGTGGTATCGTTGCATCCCTAATAGAAACACTGCTTCCATTCAGTAAAGCTCTTCTGATGCACCAGTTCTGCTTGTATTAGCAGGTAACAAAGACAAAGGTGAACATTAGGCTGAGCTGAGCACTTGGGACCGCAAAATAAATGTGTAGACTTTATCTCCAGTCTCCAACAGTAAAGTTTATATTTCCCCTGCCACACGTAAAATTAGAAAATTATTTGAGTAGCGGCAGATGGCTGCTCATAGTCAGCCATGTTCTGCTGCAGGTTTCTTCCTGTTAAAGGGGAGTTTTCCTCTCTACTGTCGCTACGTGCTTGCTTAGTATGGGAACTGCTGTAAAGTCAGTGGCAACAAGTCAGTGTGTTTCCATGTAAGTCGATCTAGGTCAATCTAAAGTTATAAACTGGGAGCCTTTATCCTAGTTTATATATACACACACACACATTAGAAAACCAAACTTTCAGATGACGTTTGCTCCACTCTGGTACAGTAGGTGATGACATGTGCCTTTTTTGTGTCGGCATTCTTCCTGTTAGCTTATAGACCCTTTTACTACCTAGTCTACGTCATCAAAAGTTGCGCGCGCAGCCTGGCAACGAGAGTGAAGGCTTCCTCATTCACACTCGATACTAAAACAGCGTTTTAAACCCTTTTGTTTTGAAGTTCTAAGCACATAAAAATGTCGGGTTCTTGCGTGTATGGATGCCAGAATCGCTTCTCTTCAAGCAGTGGACTGAAACTTTACAGAATTCCGAAGGGAGCACATCCATTTCAACAAAATCGGAGGCGTCTGTGGCTGCAGGCCATCAAAAGGGTTGATGAAAACTGGACTGAAAACACGATCCGAAATGCTCGAGTTTGTAGCGCCCATTTTATATCAGGTAAGGTAATTATGTACTAAGATTACACCAGAAAGCTGGTTCACCTGTGTTCTATTAAATAAAGTAAGTTGCGTTTGCTGGTTTGCTTTTAAGCAGTCTATTTATTTACAGGCGAGCTTTTCTGTTTTTCCCATCCTAACACAAAGCTCAACTTTGAATAAAATTGCTGCTGCGTGGCTGCAGCATGACCCAAGTCTGGAACATCAAAATTACAGAATTAAACAAATTTATACGCTTTATTTCATGCTTCAAATTAACATTTCATTCTAATTCATCTGTATTTTCCCACTGCATATTAGTATAAACTGTATTTCTCTAAAATTAACACGATTGTACTCTGAGCACGCTAAAAAAAGAAACCTATGCTATACTCACCCTGCCATGCAGGTACAGTTGGCTGTGAAGACGTAGTTCTCTGGTTTGTTTACTATGACCCAAGCCTCGTACATAGCAGTCTTGTGTCCTTGTCTTTGGCTAGGAAGGACTTCTGCCTTCAAGACGCAAAACTCAGAGTCTATGTCGTGATATTTTACTTTCTGTACGTGGCCACAGACAACATAGTTGTATGCTGCTAACGATTTGTATGCCCGTAGCTTCTCACGTGTGTACTTACTGGGCCTCTCCACTAAAAACGTATATATATCGGGCCACTGCGTGATATCTGGCCACGCACCTACATCTTCCACCCATTCCGTAATGCCACAGGGATCCGGGAGTCTGTTGCCATTCGTTAAAGTGAGTTTAATAATACAACATTCAAGATTTGCCGGTGATAACCCCGCAGCGTAGCTTGATAAAGCCTGACACAACGCCATTCTCTGTTGCCAAGCTGCGCGCGCATTCTCGCTGACGTCATATTGTTTACAAACAGTAAAAGGGTCTATAGCAACACAAATAGTAAACAAATGCTGGCGGGAGTGAAGCAGAAAGCTAAAACAGGATATGCCCAATGGCCAAAGAAATGGACAACAAGGCAGCAGCACGGCTTATTTGGTACGCACTGTACTGTTTGATGGTGTTACGCGTGTTACATACTGGTAATGACATTATCAGAAACCGCTTCCGTGGTCTTGTCACTTCCGGAAGTAACCGTTATCAGCATGACAGAGCCGTTTGCATGCTTTAGCAGAATTAGAACCAGTTTGTTTTCAGCAAGACTAACGCGTTTACATGCAGTAGCTCAGGAAGTTGAGTGGGTTGTCCAGTAGTCAGAAGGTTGCGGGTTCGGACAGAGAACTCAACCCGCCTTGCCTGCTGGTGGTGGTGGGAGGGACTGGTGGCGCCTGTGCTCGACAGCCTCGCCTCGGACGGTGTGCCCCAGGGTAGCTGTGGCTAGATTGTAGCTCATCACCATCAGCATATGAATGTGTGTGTGAATGGATGAATGATACACTGTAGTGTACAGCGCTTTGGAGTCCTGACTCTAAATGGCACTATACAAGTGTGGGTCATTTATTATTAAATAAAAAACAACATCAGTCTACTTAGGGCAATGGTTTGGTTTTCTGAGTGAGTCAAAGTCTGTTGGGTTCCTTACATAGGAAACATAACTAACTGGAACAATGAAATGAAATCAGTGCACTGATAAGTGGGTTCAATTGGAACGTTTACTTTGTAAAGTGCCTTGAGATGATTCTTGTTGTGATTTGGCGTTATAAAAGTAAACTGAAATGAACAGAATTTAAATTCTCAACATATTAAAACTTGCATCATTCAGCTCTAATGAAAGGCAAGTCTGGTGCTAAATTTAAAAAATGCAGCAGAGACTATAAGACAATTACTGCTCGACTGTGACACACAATCTGAAAGATTATCTGTGAAGTGTGCACGTTACCTTTATAAGCAACCAAATAAGTCCAACAAGACGTGAACATCAACAGTTTTGCAAGTCAACCATTTTGGCGTGAGAGAAACTCTTTCACAAACAGAAAATCACTGTGAGCTTTTTGTTAATTCATCACTAATGAGTCACCGCCGTTCACGCCTTTATGACTTATTTAAACAAGATGAGAAAGAAAAGCTGTACGCATGCGTTTCCTTTCAAAGAGCTGGCACAGTGAGGGAAAAACTGAATCACAAAGCCCATCTCTTTTTGTTTGTTTCCTCCAGACAAAGCAGACATGACCATAAAACACAACAGGAAGTAACAGACGACTTCTATCAAATTGAAGGTCAATTTTCCTTTCCGATTGCCATCAGTTAGCCATATGATGGCTGCACGGAGGGCTCTGTGAAAAGGCAGCCGTTCCAAATGAGATAAACAATGAGCTTTAATTAAGCCAAGATTGCAGTGGGGGTCAATGACCCTCCTGCAGATCTAAATATGGACTCTTGCTTCCTAATTCAAGTAATTATTTTCACTCCATGCTGATTTCTTTTGTTCAAATGGAGAATAGAATGCGGGTAAAAGTCAACAAAGACAACGCTTTTCTTTCCATCAAAATGCTTTAAAATAAACTATAAAACCTGTTCATTCAATGCCAGAATTCAGGACAAACTAGAAAACCCCAAACAAATAATATATGAGATACTAACTCAATATCCAAACTGAGGAACCCAAGATAAGGCAGGAATCTGACATTAGGATTCAACAGCTTTGTTTAAATACCAGGCACTAATCAGCTGATGGTGCAAGACTCATTCCAGCTTGAAGGGAAAAATAAGGATTACCACAAGCAAAGCTCAAAGACAATCTAGACACTTTTTGGTCACGGAAGAAAGCCAAATTTGGAAAGTTATTAAACTAAAAGCACGTTTGACTTTAGTGCGTATGCAGGATCCTGCATCAATGACTTTTTAGGACCTCTATAACATAGCAGCAGCAGTAGCTCAGGAGGTAGAGTGGGTTGTCCAGTAATCGGAGAGTTGTGGGGTTGATCCCAATGCTGCTACATCCTTGGGAAAGACATTTGCCTGCTGGTGGTGGTCAGAGGGACTGGTGATGCCCGTGCTCACCAGACTCGCCTCTGTCAGCGTGCCCCAGGGCAGCTGTGGCCACATTGTAGCTCATCACCACCAGTGTGTGAGTGGATGAATGATTCACTGTAGTGTAAAGCACTTTGGAGTCCTCTGGCTCTGAAAGGTGCAATACAAGTGCGGGTCATTTATTAAAAATCCTAAAGGTCGGGTTTAAGACTCAGCATGTTGGCTTTGCTTCGTCTCAGACAATATGCAGTCCCTGCTGCTTGATTACACCAGAGGCAAAAACAGGCTTTCTTTGAGTAAAAGCAGGTGCATGTCTCAACATAACTGATCATAATCAACCATGGGTACACTTCAAAACTGGGAGAAAAAAAAAACACAATGTCACTTTCCTGAGAACCGCTAAACTAGAATCCAGAGGTGGTTTCCACCTCAAAATTAGCACATGAATTAGTTTGTGTGGTATTCTGATTAAAAGACGGTGAAAAGATGGTTTTCCACTTGTAGTCTCGCTCCACATTCCCGCTAACAGCTGTTACTCAAAACATGTTAACTGTAAAAACATCTTCACTGAAACAAAATGGTTATTTGAACATGTATAGATCAAGATTTACATTTACTTAAATTAAATTGCAATAGCAAATACTACAGACTTTTGTAATTTTTGTTGCAACAAGAAATGGGGAAAAAACATGAACATAACACTAGCTAGCCCTACTAATTAAGATTCAGAACGGAGCGTTGTCATCCCGGATCACTCACTAGGGCATAATGTATAAAACAAAGATCTTCTCTTAGCTGACACACTTTTAGAGCAGCAGATGGCATCCCAGTCTGGTATTACAGGGGTCACAGCTTAAAATTTGAGACAGGACACGAATAAGCACTTCAGAACCATTGTCTCCTGTAACTAGGGTTGTCACGGTATGAAAATTTAACCTCATGGTTATTGTGACCAAAATTATCACGGTTTTCGGTATTATCGCGGTATTTTTTAAACGGTGTTGCATATGTTCAGAAAGCATTGATAGTCCTGTTCTACACAAACTGAAATAGTTTTGAAAATGTTTAACAGTGTTTATTAAACCTAAAATAACACAAAGCCTTAGCAAAAGTGCAACTTTTCACAAGTAAAGGAACAAATAGCTTATTTTTCTGGAACATGTTACAGTAGTCAGTGCAGGTTTAAATTATACAAATCCAAACATTCAAAACATAAACAATATGTAAACAAATCAAAGAAACACCACTTGTTTTCTCATATACTTGTTTTCTTCATTATCAAAATGAAAATCTAAAACTCCAGTCCACACTTGACTTGAGCACTGTACAAGTCAACCTTAAAAAATATGTATTTAAAATAAATAGCCACTTTAAACAAATTACTAAAATAACTACTACACTATGTAATCAAATCCAAATGTTCAAGTATAAATGGCATTGAATAAGTAAACAAATCAATGACAAGGAACTAATTGTATATTTCTCTTCATCATCAACAAATAAGATGCTTCATCCAGCAACAGGGTGTCCGTGACACGGTTTAAATGCTGGCAGAGGACGCTGCAGCTGCAGTATATAGTGACTCGTTGCATTCTCCCTCAACCAAAAGTCCTCACGTCATGCATTTCAGCTAAAATGCTAATGTTAACTTACCTTGCACTGGCTGTAGAGACGTGGGTGATCGTCACACAGATGTGCCATTAGATTCGAAGTGTTACCTTTTGCAGACACTTGTTTCCTGCACGTTCTGCAAACGGGATAGCAGTCTTCTATTAACTGTCCCTCAGCATTTTTCAGAAATCCCAAATATGCCCATACTTCCGATTTAGTCTTCTTTGAGGGCTGATGGATGTCCTGGGCGCTGCCGTCTCCTCCTTCGGCCATTATTTCAGCTTCAAAGTTTTGGTGCCGTTGCAAACTAAAAAGTGCGTGTGCGCGCCGCGGGAACTTCAGCTGAAGCGACGGTGGCTGGTAAGGGTCATCGCGCCGAAACCGCGGCCACGGTAAACCCACCGAGATAATATAGTTTTTTAAAAACTGGACGGTTATTTTTATTGTCAACTTTTTTACCGGGGTTTACCGCTATACCGGTTACCGTGACAACCCTACCTGTAACGTCCACCAGTGATGACCTAAAAGAATCTGATGTTCTAATTAGATTCTGCTCTGTATTTATGATGTGCTGTGCTGTCAAGTAAACGTGGTCTGAAGTGTCAAAGGAAAGTCCCAACATACTGAACAAAACTCAAGAGTCACGTGTTCTGTTCAAAATAGTACTCTTTTGATCAAATCTCACGAGAAAAGTTAACAATAATGTCCTCATTACCTCGCAGAAAGAAGACCTCGCTCTTTGTCGCTCATCATCTTCAAAGGAGTGAACCCAACGTGATGCCATCATTCAACTTCGATGAAAATCCTCTCATCTGTGATCGCACACATTGAAAAGCTAGCTCCAGCAAGATACGAGAAAAAGAATCCTGCACTTTGATTTATGCATCCATTTTTGCAGGATTTGTTAGTCCATCTGTTAAAGAAACACATTACATTTTTAAGTGTTTAGTTTTATTAAAAGTTTAAGTTCCAGTAGTCATCATCACACAATCAGTGCGGTTACATGTGCACTGACCAACATCTACGTCGATCCAGGTTGATCTTATTGAAATAAACTGGGAGTCTTTGTCCTAGTTTACATGCGCATTAGAAAACCGGACTCTCAACTAAAGTTTGTTCCACTCCAGTACAGTAGGTGGCGACATGCCCCCTTTCATGTCGACATTCTTCCGGTTAGGTTATAGCAACACAAGCAGTAAACAAAGGCTGGCGGGAGTGAAGCAGACGGAATCGACACAGGATATGCACAATGGCTGAAGGAATGTACAACAACGCTACAGCACAGCTTATTTGGTGCATACTGTCCTGTTTTATGGTGTTACGTGTGTTGCGCCGTCTCGTCACTTGCAGAGTGCGAGCGTCCAACCTGCATTGAACCCCAACCTCCCAGTCACAGGGTTTGTGACTCTGGTTGTGAACCAAAAAATAAATTAATTAATTAAAAAAAATAACAATTTTTTGTTTCATTTTTGGACAGTTTCATTTTGGCTTGACCCAGTTTTTGAGGACATTTTACCACAAAACAGGAGATTAATTACCCATAAGGTTTCAGAATATGTAAAAGCGTTTCACTCATTGGGAAAAAAAATGTCATAAAGTACAGATAATTTTTTTTACCACATTAACAGCAATGCATCTTTATTTAACTAAACCGAAGCTGAGAAGGGCATAAGTAAATTACAAATTCATACTTTAATATCAAAACAAATACAAAACTGTAAAATTCAGATTTTTTAAAAATAATTTCATGACATGAATAATGTCATAAATAAAATAAGCATTATCATTAAGTGTAAGATACTTAATGACTTCAAAATGTGGCACATTTTTGAACAGTAATAAAGCTATTATCAATGTATTGACAAGTTGTGTTTACGTTTCTATTATTGAATATATTTTTGCAAATAGATGAATATTTCTGTTGTTATTATAAGTCTATTTTAATGTTGACAGTAAAAAATGAACTGAGGATTTAAGAATTTGGGAACAACAATATTTATAGCTGCTTCCGATTCCTTGCAAATGTAGATGTGAACTAGGCTTATAAATAAGGAGAAATGTACTAATCAAGTGGATTATGTTGGTAATTGCTAGACCTCACCATGTGATGTGTCTTTAGTTACTGACCTCATCACAAAGTAATCTAACCCAACGCCGCCACGCAGGTTATTGAGTATTGGCATTACCCAATTTTTAGGACATTTTACCACAAAACAGGAGATTATTTACCCATAAACAACACAACTTTGTTAAAGAGGAGACGTGGGCGCTCGGCTCCGAGTTATATGAATGAACAGCAACAAGTGGACTACGAGTTGCGTGTTTCTACATTTTATATTATAAAATAAAAGAGAAAATGCGTTTTTTTAGTTTTTACCAAGAACGAGTTGTTTTAAATCGTGACAATCTTGTGTTACAACAATAAACAAAACCTTATAGTAAGGTTTAATTCTGACTGCTGGTTTGAAATCGGTTACGAACACAAGAGCGGAGCCGAGCTGTTGTTCTCCACAGCGATCAACAAAAGAAGGTTTAGCCTTTGTTAATTTGTTAGTGATATCGAAATACTACCATGAAAAAGTCTGAAAGCCCATGTGGGACAACAACACCCCTCCCTCTACGTTACTTTAAGTAAATAGTACCTTTAATTTGCCAAAAACAGGAGCAAACGAAGCGGTAACAAGTTGCTAGCGGTTAGCATCCATGCTAACGACTGGAGTTTAACAAAGTTACCTGCGTTAGTTGAGGGGCGTCAATACCAGGCGACGGTAGGTATCCTCAAAAGCGAACAAACAAAGTAAATACATGGCGTAAAAGCTGGCATTTCTTGCGCTGTGATCATAGTTTCAGAAAGACTTCCCCGTGTTTTTCAAAACCCACTCACTCTGTCAGTGGAGGCGCATGGTGCAAAATTTTAAGCTGTATTTTTCCCCCATCTTTCCAGACTCTCGGGTAGTCCACCTTCGGTTCGGTCAATAGGGCATCGTCGACCAATCAGAAGCAGTGTTGCATTTGATCACACCAATCAGGTGCCGGTTTACATAAATTCACTGCTGCGCTTCTAAAGTTTGTTTTTAACTGTTCTTACAGTAGTCTAGTGCGCATTAGTCATGAATCCCAGAAGGATTAGGAGTTAACGCAAGTAAATACAGGAAATTCCGCGTTGTTGTTGTGTTTTTAACCACAAACCGCGCTGGTTTGTACAAAGAACTAGGGTGTAGGAGAAGTCACATGTTGTGGTTCAGAGTGAGGTCGAGCTCAGAATGCAGATAGATGTGGACTATGTGATCACATGCACCACTGGGCATATAATCTTATTTTCTCATGCCAGAGCCATTAACCCCAAAGCATACAATTGAGCAGCCACTTTATTTCTAAGGAAAAAAAGATTGTTGCTGTAGAGAATCAGTGCTCAGATTTTTAGGGCTCAGACAAACGCCTCTTTATGCCTCTCCAACATAAGGGGCCACCTGTTCTTGGATTTGGTAGCTTTTGTTGCAGAGGTTAGTTTAGGGAGGAGACTTTCACAAGGCTGTCTTGTCCTGCCAGTTCTTTTGGGGGGATCACTTCACAGCCCACCCACATAATTTACATTTGACAATGTTTTCAACTATCAATCAAAAGGGATTAAAACACTGTAAAACACACACAGAAAAATAAAAACTAATAGCTTTGTCTACATTTTTCTGTGAAACCTTTGAGTAAAAATGGACTTTTCTGCTTACTTTTAGCAGACCCTTGACTCAAAGGTACCAACTAAAACCTAAAGAATGCTAGTTAGTGAAGCCTGCAGAAGGATTTGGAGGTTAATTTCACCAAAAGGTCAGAGTCAATTTACTGTAATCCCTTAACGATCCTGAAAGCCAAGAAAAGGGGAAAAAAACAAAAAAAAAAAACAATTTTGTCTTCACAGCACTTCGTGTTCCCAGACTGAAATCCAGGAGTCATGTGTCAGGCGCTGATCTCTTTTGGTTCTTTTAGTTAGTCCATATGCTGGTGATCTATTTTTAACTAAAGAATGAAAGCTTGATGCTACGTGTCATAGCTAACCATACTTGGAGTCCCTATTAAACACCAATTAAAAACATATAAAGGCCTTTTTTATCATAGGGGACAAAATCATGTAAAACCACCAAAATAACAAGGACACAATTACGGTGTTGCGACTAATATCGAAAACACAGAGATTTGTTAAACAACTTTATTAAATGTTGAAAAAGTCGAAAGTATCCCAAATCAAAAACTGGAAAATAGAGGTAGTTAGCAGCACATAGTTAATACTAAACAGTTTGACCCTGAGCCTTAATTGTAACAGAAGAGTTCCCAAATAAAACTTAAAAAAGTAACAGTGAAGAAAAATAAACAATTATTTTATGCTATAAAAAGCTGAAAACTGCCTTTCAAATTGCTCCTATGCTGTCATTTAAAGTAAAACAATGGGTCATAAACTTTTAATACTGACTATAAAGCAAATATTTTAAAAATGCATTATTTTCTATCACAAAAAATATTGTGATGGTAAACATTTCATTTTGATAAATCTTTTTTATTTTGCTGAAATGATCAGATCATTGTTTTATTGAAAGATGTTGACAGGAGAAATGCTGCAGGCCCACAGGAGATGCGATGTTATTTATGAATGGCCTCTTGAAGGACATGTGGATTTGCTGTAGGACGTGCGATGATCCCTTCTCTTTAAATTTTATATTTCTTCTTTCCACTTTCACTGATCACACATATGTGCTGAAAGAAAAGATGAAGAACACAGATTTTAAGCATGCTTCATAACATTTAAGTCTATTTTAAAAGTCTTTGTTCTGTTAAACGAAGACGACACAGACTTACGTTTAGGTCTCTAAAATACTCATTGTAGTCCAAGGCGTAGCCGACGACAAAACGATTGGGTATCTCAAAGCCGACAACTGAAGGTGTGACATTAAAAGGTGAATATTAGCTTTAGTCCATTGTTTGGTGTTCTAACTGAATGGAGTCATGATTTGTGGTTGCTAAGGTGCTTACAGTCAGGCACACATGTAGATCTATTCTGCACCCTCTTCACCAGCAGTCTGCAAAGACAAAAGCAAGATTTTATCTGTTGACATCACCAGGTTCTCAACTATTAATCAAGCGCCGGTGTTGTTGTAGGATTTTGTATCAGTCCAGCTCAGATTTATGCGTCTAGACAAGACAGTAGAAACCGAGTGAGGTCCTCACCCTGCTACTTTGATCATTTTGGGCCTGAAGGCTTCAACATGCTTCAGGAGGGTTTCCATCGTCTTTCCTGTACCAACGATGCCCTGTAAGGGAGGGGTTGAGCATGCTGGTGAATGGCAATGAGTACTGACTAAAAAATAGGTTTCACATTGTAGCGAGAAGTTTTATTCTTACTTAGCAGCAGCATCTTAAATGTTTTCTGTAGAGAAAAACAATAATTTACAACTCTTTGCTATGAAGGAGTTGGATTGGAGCCATAATTGGGCAATGCTAAATAACCAATCTTTAATAAAAATAAATAAATAAATGAACCAAAATAGGAAGTTTTAATTTTAGAGCATTCACACTGAAATACTGTTCAGCAAAATCAACGGAGGTTTCTGTAAGCAGGACATTTTTGTTTCCTATAATGGAGATGACAATAAAAGTCAAGGCAGATTTATTTATAAAGCACATTTCATACACAGAGACAGTTAAATGTGCTCTCCAGGAGAAAGAACAGCAAAAACATTAAATCACAAAACAGCTGATTTGAAATACATTCAAATACACAAATGCAATTAGTTGTAAGAATAAGATAAAAAGGTAAAGTTAAAGACTTGAGTTGTTACAGAAGGTGTAGCATTAGAGACATTCATTCAAAGGCTGATGAACACATGAAAGTTTTCACTTTTGATTTAAAAGTTAGAGCTGATTCCATCTGTGTGCAGCATAGTAGCTAAAAGCTACTGGTTGGTTCTGACCCGGGTTCTGCCAGCTGACTGCTTTCTAAGGATCTCAGAGCCCTGCTGGGTGTATATACTGGAAGGAGATCTGCCATGTATTTTGGCCCCCTGCCACTGAGTGATTTATAAACTAGTAGAATCACTTTGAAATAGATCACGTAGTTCACTAGTGACCAGTGTAGAGATTTAAGAACAGGAGTGATGTGCTCGGTTCTCTTGGTTCTTCTGAAGACTCCAAAAAAGCCACGACCATAGCTTTAATGGGCACCCAACAAGTATGACATCTTAGAAGAGGAAGCTTTGAGAGCAGTTTTACTGAAAGTAGTGCATATATTACAGTAAAAGTAGAATATCATTAAGCCAAATTAATAAATCAACATCAGCTATTAAAAGTCTGAAAACATAAACTGAAGGATTTAAAAAAAAAGTCTTATTAACTCAACTCTGTTTACAGTAAGTAATCATCATGAGTGCTCACTTTAGTTCCTGTAACTGAGATGTTTTTTTATATAACCAGTGCTATTCCTCATTTTTGACTGAGTTTTTGAGCTTAAAGACCAAAGTTAGCGATGATTGAAAAGGAGCTCCCTGTTTTCTTGAATTTAGGTCAGAAAATTAGGTTTCTTCATGTTGAACTCAGGTCCTGCAGCAGCAAACAAACTTTAAATGGCTCCTCTTGACCTGGATCATGATGTTAGATACACAATGGGCTCATTTTAAGAAGAGTAAAACAAGACTGACTCACCTCCACAATCAGTACGTTCTAATGAGTGCACGGCGAGGAGGGAAGAAAGGGAAGGAAACAAACAATGAGAATGAGAAACAAATATTTCAATCCAATCTTATCCAAACACACACGTAATGACACAAATATTAAAAGCTATAAAAGTGAACAGAATATAATTATGCATTAAAAAAGCATTATGCAGAAACAGAAAGCAAACAAAGCAAATTATTTTTCTTAAGTCATCTTTAAATCTATGGTAAAGCGCACTCCACCAAGTTCTGAACTATTGTGCTGAAAGGGATCTGTAACAACTAGTCCTAAGAAAATTGTTAAAAATCGAGCTACACCCAAGCTACACCATCATTTTTATTTTTTTATGCAACAAAATGAATCACACAAATCTAAAGCCAATGTTCCAGCAGTGAATGCCACACTAGAATAGCAGAAATTCTACAAATGTCAGTCTAGTTGACATGAAAAAGCCACTAAAAGCCACATTTTAAACTCCACTTCAACTTATCTAGGCCAAGACACAAACTCAAACCTCTCAGATGCCAGTTTGTTCTACTTTTAAAGCTAAGGATTCACCTGAGAACATTTCTGTGCTTTGTTTAGCCCTCATTATCCTACAGACGTATTCAGATCCCAGAAAACCCAGAAGTAATATGAAAATGAAATTGAAAGGGAATGCAATTTTCCGTACAAGAACACAAGCGGCACAAATGTAACTGTGTGTCACAGTGAGTTCAGGAACTTCACACAAACACATGAAATACTGTCAGGAAAGCACACAGCATTTTCTACTCATGTTTTACCACACCTTGTTGTTCTAAGGCACACATGACTGAGACTGTCTAGATAACGGCTTTATTATTAGACCTAAAACCTAACCTAATGCTGAGTAATTCACCACACACATGGGCTGATTTGTCAAGAAAGGGTTTGTTAAAAAAAAAAAAGAATTCTCTGAGTCTCCACATAACAAGTAGAAACACTAAATGGACAAAACTACTACAATTAGATAAATATTTATTTTGTTCAATTCATTTGCAAATAGCAAAATTTTCTAACTTAAAAAGAGAAATTCCAAACTAAATCAGATGTTATGGGAATTTTTGCTTCTAAAATCCCAGTGGAGGCAGTGGTGAACACATTCTTTGCTGTTTGTTTGAAAACATATGTATAGATGTGTGATTCACTGAAAAAAAAATTAAAATTTTTAATGATTATAGGGAGCCTAAGTCACGCCCGTCTACTTCCGGACCACGGGTCCCTGGTAGAGCGAAAAAACGAATGCAAGTCAATGAGGCTAAAAACGCTATTTTCTAATTCCGCTTGTTTTGTGACATGGATTTCACATATGATGTCTGTGAATTTTAAAGACACTTTCTGATACCAAGAAAGCACTTATTTGCGAATGGGGGGAAAAACTATTTTAGGTTTTGTGTGAAAATAAGTCCAGGACTACAAATGTGCTTCATGAAAATGACGTCATCGAACTAGACACGAAGAAAACTGAGGGAAAAGGGCTGTAAGTTTAGCAAACTTCCCACAGGAGGAAAAACCACCTTGAACCTGGCCATGTGGTAAGTAGCAGCTACACTAGGGGGGAGGAGATTACGTGGTGACATCACATATGCGACATGCCTATGTCTGATTTGTAGTCATGCTTATTACAAACTTTTATAAGCTGATAAATCTCAAAGTACGTGACTGGCATGGTCGAAACACCCATCATTCCTTTTCATTTAAATTGCAGTACAGGCCTAAGGCAAAGCGGATTAGAAAATAGCGTTTTTAGCCCCGTTGACTTGCATTCATTTTTTCGTTCTTCCGGGGACCCATATGCCGACCGGAAAGGGAGGAGACTTAGGCTCTCTATTGCTGATTATAATCAGTCACTCTGAGTTTTTAATGCAGACTGAACATGAAAATAGTCTCCTACAGCTATCTCCTGCTTTAGCTTCTGATAGAAAACAGAAGGTGAACCTAGGATTAGAAAATCCTGACAGATCTAGGTCACACTGTCGCTTAACATTCATGGACTCACTCACCTTGACCCACGACGGGGAAGGCTGGTGTTTGTTTAGCGTCCAGGAAACTGCAGAGAACGTCTCGACTAGTAGAGGCTAACTGTTAGCATTACCAACTCCACCACATGGCAGAACTCCTCCAGGCTTGTGTTATTTGTGGAATTAAAACACTGATGTTACAAAGTAAACGGCGTCATCGGTAGACTTGTGTTGCTGTCAGCCAATCAGATGTGAGATGTCAAAATTTTAGGAAGGTCTGAAGCTCTCCTCTGATCTGGCCACCATCTAGATCCTGAAACAGGCTCGTCAGGTCTTTTTATTCCCAGAGCGTGACTTACAAGGCATTTATTCCTACTAGAGACCACTGCAAATGTATTAATTAATTGAGTGAACCACACCTTTAAATTAATGCTCTATTGCTGTTTTTAATGGGAAGTTTCTGCAAGTTTTGTATTTTGGTGGCCTTCCATGTTATTGCTCCAAATTAAAGTGACAACAATTAGGAAAAACATCATACTGGTTGTTTTGTGTGGAACCTATTTCAAGGACAGTTTAGCTTCACTTTGAGCCCCTAACCCAAGTGTGTCCAAAGTGTGGCCTGGGGGGCCAGAACAACGCTGTGAGGCCTCCACTTACTTTTCTAGAATATTGGACTTTTTTTCCCTCTCCAACATGCTGTTGATGTGAATCGACACATTTGAACTGTTTAAACTTTCATTTTACTGATTGGTCAGATTACCTGGGGACAGGGCTGCCAAAAGTTAACTCCAAGTTAGCTGAAAGCAGTCTTAACGTCCTCTCTATGAGTCATTTGTGGACTCTACAGAGTTTTTAGGAGTCAGAGGTGACAAATCCAGTTATTTACCCAAATATCTGGAAGGCAACGTATCTTGTTGATTGTCCACGTGAGTCTTCAATCCATTTTCATCTAGCTAGGTGTACTGCTCGGTTGCTAACGATATTCGCTTCCCATAATGCACAGCAAACCTGGTTATGGGACCCTCCTTCTACAACATGTCATGTCTGGTCACTGGAAGACTGACCTCTGAGTTCCTAGTCTATAAAAATGAATTGTGTTTTCCCTGTATACTCCATAATGTGGCTCAACTAAATAAACAAGTCAATCAATTGGATTTTTAAGGTTGGGATTTTGTAAGCACCTTTAAAAATACTCATCCTGCTCTAATGGGGTGTTTAGCAAACGTAAACCCAATAAAATAGATTTTAAAAATAATCAGAGGAATGTGCTAAGCTTAGGAGTGTTTCCAAATATCAGTTTGAGGCCTTAAATGTGTTAAACGACGAAAATATGAAAAGTTTTTAAAAAATCTGGATAGTTTAATGAACAGATTTGCTTTTCTTTCATGTTTAGCTGAAGAACTATCTTGCAGCTACTCAGTTTAAACTTATGATCAGCCCCTTTGTTCTGCACTATTAAATGAGATACCTTCAGGAGATAACATACTCCCTATCAGTGTTTGGTAAACAGCCAGCGTGTGCGCCAGCTTACGGAGCCACTAACAGTGATTACGCGATAACAACCCAAGCAGCTGAGGAGTGAAGAGTCTAAACTCGTCCTTATCCAGGCTCTCGCTGTGTCGTCACTGTTGCACCAACGCCACACTTTGCTTCCACTGAGATAAAGAGGGACAAACCTTTAAACAACTACATTAGAACAGCTGGTATCTCATTAGTGCTGTCAGTAACCTGCCATCTTTGATCTGCTTTACAGAGCCCATCAGGTTGCAGGAGGCAGCAAATCAGAGGAGATGCTGCACTCTAGAGGTTGAAGTGAGATTCATCAAATAAAATGAGTGGTGATTGGGTTCATTTAATGTGTCGTCGTTTGTTTATGAGAAAATAAAATCATGGAGGAAATACCTTTCCAGCTAAAAACGACAGATCATCCGCTCCAACTATGTGAAGATCCTCTGTCGATTGGTCATTCTGTAGAAATAAATGTGTGTTTTCATGAAATTAAGCAGTCATTTTGCACATTTATCATCTAAAATTGACACTGCATCATTTGCCTTCAGATCAGTTTTGTAGACAAGTTATTTCTGTACATAAAATCAAACACCTTCCCTCTGTTCTCCTTTTTTTTTATCCCCCCACACATTAAAAACACATTCCAGACAAAGCTGCAAAAAGATCCCGCTGTCACAATGCTGTATAAAATAAAACACACAGAAATCTTCTGACCGAGTCACAAGACTCGCAGCCTTCACGGCAGATCATCTCATGTAGCAGAACAGCCTCAGCGTTCCTGCACACGAGCATCATCTGGTCAGGCCCCAAGTGCCGCTCACCAGGTAGCTCTTGAGCCGGATGAAGTGAACCCTCATGGGGATGGTTTGGTTGGAGTTGCAGCTCAGAACCTTGATCCGGTCAACCAGGTCGGCACAGAACTGGTAGCCTCCTTTCAGCACGCACAGAACCACGATGTCGTGGTCCCCCAGATCGTCCATGATGTTTCGAGCAAGGCGTTCCGTCCTGCAAAAGAGCCCCTCTATACTGTTAGATAATAAACAGAATTGTGTCAAATTTGCAACAGATTATCTATTTTAGACTGTCTTTCCAAAACACCTCATGAGACACATTATCACTTAAAGGTATAGCAGATGATTTTTTTGTTCCAGGTGGATCATCTGAACCATTGGTCCGCTTAACTGTCTTATCATTCACTCAAGTCCGTATGTGCCCATAGCTGGGTAGTTTTCACTTTCTGTGCATGCACAAAGTGAAGGTAAGACTCCCCACAGACGCCTCTGTCGCTGGTTTTCTGTTCGACAGATAAACTAAAGTTCCGCATGCTAGAGAAATTCATTTCAGATGAAGTTAGCTGCAAGGGCGGCAGCTACTTGTAAACAGAACGTGCACGAGGATAACTGGGCTTTCTCTCTCATGTGCATTTTTTTCAAAACGTGGAGAGGGCGGTTCTTTCCGGAAATTCAGAAACATTTTCCGCCATATCTTTTAAAACTTTCTTTAGATTTTTCTTTCATTTCTGCAGCTATCTGTCAAAAACAGGAAGTAGAAATAAAATGTTTACCAGATTGTCTAGTCCATTGTCCATATTGTCCAACAATATATCTAAATTTTGTAAAAATGCTAAAAGTTGGGCAGCAGATAATAGAAATCAAATCTGGATCTCTATACTGAACATTTTAACGATACGCACCTTCCAATTCTTTATTTCTGTAAAATTATGTTATAGTTAAATATTTTATGATCTTTTTTATTCTGACAGAGATAAAGATTCAAAGTAAGCAGGAAACATTCAATGAATAACTTAATTACATAGACTGATTTAACACAGAATGTGCTACTAGTAGTTCATCTGTTACATTGATTAGATTCACTCAAAGACAATAGTTTATTTCTTACTAAATAAAACATCTAAGAAATCACAATGCAGCCATAGAAACACTAAATGGTTAAAAGGGGGTTTTCCTTTCCACTGTCGCTACATGCTTGCTAGAATGAGGATTGCTGTGAAGACTCTGACACTAGTCAGTGACTCAATGCCATTTTCTGGGTTCCTTATAAAGGAAAATTTTTACTGATTAGCTTAATGAACTGAACTCTATTGGAATGTTTACTTCGTGAAGTGCCTTGAGACGACTCTTGTTATGACTCGGTACTAAATAAATAAACTAAACTGAATTGTTTGTTTTAAATAATGTGCAGCTCTTTTGATTACGCAGTTATGACATTAATTATATGGTACATTAATTAAGGTAATATGATTTCCTCATTCAAAGGAAAAAATGTGTAACTCACTTTTGCACTTTTATATAGTTACAGTTTAAAGAGCAAGTCACCCCCTACCAGAGTCTTACTCCACTCCCACTTCCTGTTTGAAAAATGCAACACACACAGGCTCACAACAACATTGTGACATCATACTGTACCAGCTAACGCCATAGTGTATCTCTTGGCCATAAGCGATAGCAGATTAAATTTAAATGCAGTGCAGAGTTTTACATGAAGACAGCGCAAAACTGACTGTTTTAGGCAGACTATTTGAATTTTAACTAAGATGCACTAAAGTGCTAAATTATTGTCTATGTGTGTACAGTATGGTTAGACACTCATTTATATAGTTTATCAGCAAAAAAATATAAAATAAAAAGAGTTGATTTGGGGTGACTTGATCTTTAGGATAATTTAACATCATTCTAACCTTTGTCTTGTTGAACTTTCTTGACACACAATGTTTGTATTCTTAAATCCGTTTTAAAACTTTTCTCAAGGTATAAAGTAATGAAAAAAATAAAAAATATGTTGCCTATTCCATGGCTCTTTCTTTTTAAAAAATCACAATAAATCAAGAGTATGCATTATATTTTCAATAACAAATGTGTGTCTGATGTAAAATAACATTCTAAGTCTTTAATCAGTTTGAATGTCCGCATGCTGTGGTTTCATTTAAGTCAAACAGCTACTGTTTTAAAACACAAAGTCCAAACCACTGGAGATGTCTCCCTGATCTTCCTAAAATCCGATTTTCAGTGAAGGAAGCCACGTCAAGCTTCTTGTGCAACCTCAGAAGAACAAGATGAGTCAGGCCGCAGGAGGCTCCGTTTATGTCTACCTGTCCATAATCACGCCATGCGGGACGATGACACAGTCTAGGTCTCCGGAGTAGTGGGCTGGGTAGCTGAAGAGGTCTAAACTGTAACCTGGCCACTCGTCGTTGATCTGGGAGGAGAGAATCAAACATCATGACTCCTTCAAAAACGCCCAACTCCTCTAAAGTTCTGCGCATGTAGAGAAAAAGCGTCTACAACTAGGCGCTAAGTTTGACTGCGCACGATATGCGCAAATCCATGAATGAACAAACTGATTTTCCTGACTGGACACTTGTTCTTTCCCCGTCGGATCCTCCTTTTTAATTAAATTACCACAATTCCCTCGTTTCTTCTTCTTTTCTCGGCCTGCACGCCAAACTCTGCCATGTTGCCTCCAAGCTGACACGCTGAACAAGGCTTTGTCTCGGGGAAAGTTGGTGCAAGCCTGCAGAGGGCTTCGGCACGGCGGCGAGAGGAGGAGCGTCTGCAGCGCAGGTCCGCGGCCGCTAGGGGCGCTGCAACACCACGTTCAGATTCCAGTTTCACCCAAAACCAGGGGTGAGCCCTTAGAGAGGCTCCACATGGCTTTACACATGGAAGTGAGGGAAAATCAAACTACAAAGATGGATTTCATGGGAAAAGCAGTGTTATAAAAGTGGCTTTTTAAGTGAAAAACAAAAACAAAACTTAGTTTATCATTTCTTTCTTTCTTTCTTTCTTTCTTTCTTTCTTTCTTTCAGTAGAAATGTATTCATCCAAGTAGTCTCTGTTTACAAAGACTTGCTGTTGCTTAGGTTTCTGGTTGTATATCTTAACTTCCTGTAACAATTATTTATGTTAATTCATTTTTTTTAATTTACCTTGGTTGTTCTTTTGACTGTTCATACTGTAGCATTTTGAGGTCAAATATAATTTTAATTATTTTAATTTAGTTGTTTTAGTCACACACATTTAGTGTCACAGTTTAAATCTCTGCTATGGTTTTTGTAAAGATTAATTTTCGGAATAAATCCTGTTTTAAAAGTTTTAGTGCTAATTCTCATTATTCTGTGTAATCAGGATATTTTGAGTCTCTGTTGCGGTTTTAAATCTATTTCTGGTTGTGTTAGAGTCTCAGTGTTGCCTTCAATGTTTCTGAGCCTTTTCTGTGAAAGTGGTTTTGGGCCCTTTTGAGTCTCTGGAGCTATATGATCCTATTTCTGACCCCTGTTTCAGCTTGCTGATGTTGTTGTGCATCATTGTTGTACCTGGATCTCATATTTTTAAAGATCTTGAAACAATAACTTTAATCTTTTGGTTTGATGGATTTGACTACTCAATACATTTGCACACACAGATACGCACACTCACTATCTCTCACATATACATCCACAAATCTGTATAAAAATACATTTAAATCCAAGTTTATGTTTAAATTTTTATTAATGAACTCAGTTTAACATGTAAAAGACAGATTTATAAGCTATGACAGCGCGTGAAAGAGTGTATTTTGGACGGAACACCCAGGGAACGGTGTGGGCAGCATGTCCAGCAGCAGCAGGGTCTGAGCTGTTGTGTCACCACACATTAGAGCCGTCCGCTGGCTGCTACTGAACAGGGGAGACAAGGTGTCTGGGCCGCCCACCCTTGCACCTCTACAGCAATTTAAACAGCGCTGCATTGCCAGCCAGACGGGCAAATATCAACAGCTACATTAGACTTCATTCAGCCTGCACAGCCTCACCTCCTCAGAGGAGCGAGGAGGTGTGACAACAACTCTGTGTGACAAAATTCCTCAAAAAGAAGATAAAACACTCACTATCTGCGTGTGACTTCACTTTATTTTAACTTGTTTGTTTCAGATGTTGAGCTGCAGGCTTCATGCTGGAATAATCAGGCTCATCTGCAGCACTGTGGCACAGACCGCTGCTGCGCAAGCCAGGAGATGTTTCTGGGTGAAGTCTTGTCAGATTGTTTTTGATGCCCTCTCTGCCAGCGAAAGCCAAGCGGCTCCTTCGGTGCCCTCAGGGTGCAGGGGAGCAGTCTGGCTTTGGTATTTCACACTCGCTCAGCAGTCAAGGCCTGTGACCTTCCGCAGACTTTACCGCCAACTGCTCCCTTACACCCTCATCCCTGTTGTTTGGCCAATTATGAATATTCAGTTGCCATGAAAGTAATTCTGACAGACATGCCACTGTCCTGCCAGATAATGTCAGTCAGGCGCTGCTGTTTGCAGCATCTGAACAGATGATATCGCCCGTCTCCTGTTAGCTATCTAGAGTTTGATAGCTTTATAACCAGCAAAAGCAAATATTAAGATAACCTAAATGTGGTCAGTATGTCATCTTATTTTCATGCTGTCAAACTCTGATGAGTATTATTATTTTTCCATGCAGAAACACCTTTTATTTCCAAAGCTGGTTAAAGTTAGAGGTGCTAGTTAGTAGTAATAAAATTTATTTAAACAAGAAATATATTTGGATAATAAGAACATTTCATCCAAAACATGCATTTTGTGTGTACACTGAGAGATGTTTGTTGTGGAATACAAAGATTTAAAGAGACAATGTGTAGTTTTTACCATTAAATTCTGGAAATATCCATCAAAATGTTGTTGAAAATGAAGGAAATGATGCCCAGTTATTGAAAAATGTTGGTGGCTTAGTAACATATAACCATAAAAATCAGGTCTAAAATAAATGGAAGCAGGTCTATGTCTCTGGACGTCACCTTATTTGCATTCCCCGGGGCTTTCTGACCCTAATGGTCATCCACTGGTAAGGTTTTACTCCAACACAAAAATACCGCTTGCTTGCAACGATAGATATCTACTGCCCCCTATTGTCAGGAAAAATACAAACTGTCACTTTAAAGGGGAACTAGGCATTTTTGGCTTGCTTTTAGCACCCCCTAGTGTCCGCTTGTAGAACCGAAAGCAAAACCTATCTCCTCCCTATGCGTTCCTCTTTTTAACACTTTCATCTAACAGCTGAAATGTCTACCCAGCCTTCCTTAGTGTCTACAGGAGTGGTTACTAAAATTAAACTAAATTAAACAAATCAGCTGTGTTCATGATCTAAAACCTAACCAGACAGCAGCGCCAGGTATGTCAGCTCAAAGTCCCAACAGAGAGGCGCCAGGCTGTAGTCTGGCCTACCAGACTCATCCTCTTGTCTACACAGAAATCTAGTCTGGTTACTCACAGGCAGAGGCACATGAGGGGCGGGACTAGCCAGGTCAAAAATAACCAATCAGAAAAAAGGCACAAATGCCAACTGTACCGTGCAACGGTGTAGTTTATTAGCTGTAGTCAAAAATGGCGTCTGGCGACAGCACAGACATCTTTCTTTAGAAGAAAAACTTTTGGTGCTTCTACTTGTTGTAGTTTTAAAGACATATCCAACTGATTTAGAACAGAGGAAAGAGCCGCAGTGACCTCCGCTTCAGATGCTATGTTAATGATAAAATCAGCATTGCGGTGTGTGTGTGAGACGTATGCTGCTCAGCACTGATTGGCTGAATTATAATTCTCAGGGGGTGGGGTTATTTGAATAAAAGAGTTCCCAGACCCACTGCTTCCCATAAGGAAGCATGGGGCTGGCTGGTCAGGCTAGCCAGGCTGAAGTTGCAAGTACAAAATTCTGGCCTCGGGGGCGAAAGGGGCTGGGTGGCCTTTCGTTAACCCTGTAATGGGTCATTTTAGCACATACTGGCTCAAGAAAATGATTTAAAAATATGAAAAAGTTGCAAAGTATCCCTTTAAAAGAAGCACAGATTCTCAGACCTACTTTTTTGGAATCAAAACAAAACACCAGTAAAGTTGATATAGGACTGTGTTGTAATACATATCAGTTTAATGTGTTGAAAACTCCTTTGCAACAAGCACAACAGGTGCACATAAACACAAATTCATGAGCTCAATCACTAGAGAACAGGAACAGCAAAGGAAAACAAAACATTAGGCATGCCAATAAAATAAAAAAAGCCACACAACTAAAAAAAAAAAGGAAGTGAGATCGGACTGCCTATGAAATACATTATTTGACATCTTTGTCAAACATCATAAATTGTTGACATCATAAATGTTTGACACCAGAAGAGGAGCAAAACCCTGTTTAGTTTTTGTTTTTCAGTGTCAGTGTTTAAATTTATGAAAATAAGACTCATTTTTTTAGATTTATGCGTTCATAAGTGCTCTCTGGAGGTTGGAATGGTCCCAAACACAATGGTTACACCAAACGCTCATCCAGCAGAGCAGCCGTTCAGATTTATATTTACTCTGTGACGACAATCAGCAGCTTCAAGCATCTCTGAACATCTTGGTTCAGGACAAAAAAAAATAATCCGCAAATATAATCTCTATTGTCAGAAAGACTTCTCCATTTAAGGTAATTGTGGCTTTAAAGGTGCACAAATGTAGGAATGTATGTAAGAATGACATCCTGTGGTCAAATTAGGTAACTGAAGTTAATTTTTCTAAGAAAAAAATCACTCTCTCGCTCCGGTTCCAACAGTTCATGGCGACTGCTAGTCACGGATCAGCATCAGAAAATTCTATGATAAGCAAAGACGAGTCATATAAAGTAAGTTGATAAGTAGATTAATACATTGTCACATCTAGTGTTCGCACTCTTGGGTGTTTTACGGTAGGGACCACTTAAATTTTTACGTTAATATGTCCTTGACGTTAGAGGAAGTGTGGTTGTTTGCCATCTTGCTACTAGCTTGTCCTTATAGTTCTGAGTGACTCATTAAAGGAAGTAAAACGCCACGATCGATTCATTATTCACTTCACACACACACATTTCACTTTAATATTGCATTGTTGGTAATTGAAAAAGTACCTTGACATATTTTTAGAGCCGACTATTAGCTTCTAATTCACTGTTAGCGTTGTTAGCATCTAGGCTGCTTCACCTGATATTAAAGCAAAACAAAAAGATGCGGTGGCTTCTTAGATGTATGAGAAATAACTTCTGGGTTGCTCCTGTTTTCTGGCTTCAGTTCTTTAAACAATTCTGGAGCTTTTTGTCTGCTGGTGTCATATTTCAATTGCTGATGCTGCAGCGTTAGCTTGCCAGAGACATAGTGACCTCAAACGCACAGATTGTAAACAGTAACTACGTCAATCTTTCGTTTTCATTTTTTTTTTGAAAGGACAAAACTGACAACTTCCCAGCCGGCTGAGAATTAAACCTGTTTCAATGTAACCTCCCTTCCAATATGATTGAGACATAAGACTGTTGTCTGATTTTTTTCACTGTAGAATTCTTACATATTTCTCCTTTAAGCAATAAAAATACGTTATCGCCTGCAAAATGAAATTATTTAACCCTTTAAAGCCAACTTGATCTTATATGCTACACATATCTCTACATTTCTTAAACATCTACCTCTTTTAACAGGATTAGCCTCAAACCTTTACAGCTATTTCTGCATCCTTGTGGAAATTTTAGTACTGCAGGGCACAAGTGCCAATTATATTTTTGCTATTTTTGTTGTAATATTGTATGTCTACATAATAAAATTGTCATTGATTTATTGACTTTAGCCTATAAACAAATCACTGTAAAAAATTTATAATTTTCAGCATTTTTTTTTTCATGCTTCGGGGTTTTAAAGTTTAAAGGAGTAGAGAAAGAAACAGTGTTGTTAAAATTCCTGTTTTTTGGCTTTGAATAATTCAACATTTTGGCAATGTGAAAAATTCATCTGTAGACATGATGAAAAACAACCCAGAACAAGTGAACAGAAACTTTAATTTGCAGAATTATGACAATAAATCAGGTGTATTTGTGTCAGACTATGCTGCAACACCATGATACAACATCTCCGGCACCTTAATGAAGGATGTCAAGCTTGTCTGATTTGATGACAAGTATTTATTTTATTGTTTTACAGATAACATACTTCACAGGGTTACCTTAGAGGTAAAAATCTCCTGACAGAACTCAGTTTTGACTCGTCGGAGACAGAAAGGGGAGGATGGACATACTTTAATCGAGCACACATTGTAAACAACTGAGCAATATTTAAGTCTAAAATGGCGTACCATAGAGTAGGTGAGAGACAACAAAATGTAAAGAAATGTGCCTCTTGCTTGCAAAGACAAAAAAGTTTCATTTTTACAAAAACAAAAAATGCTCACTGACAGTTTTTCTTGTCTTATTTCTTTTTTTTCAACTCTTCTTGGTGGCTGAGAGGTAGAATGAAGTATTTTCAGGTAAGCCAATGAATTTATTTATCTACTTTATCTTATTTCATCATATTGAGTGAAAACTATGAGTGGATAAGTAAACCCCAGCCCTCTGATTATAATGTGAAATCTGTACAAACTCTCTTTCAGCATTGATGTTTTTTATTTTATTGTGAAACTTCTCGTTTGTATCCCAAAAGTCCAAAGTTAGAAGCTGAGAAACATCGTTATCTTAATTTTAGATTAGGATTTCACAGGAAACCTTAGAAAAGTGAATTCCTTTGTTTTAATACTGCGAAGAACAACATCAGTCCATGTGTTTCTTTACATTTTTTGTTGTTTTGTTTTCTTCTTCTGTTGTGGATGAGGTGTAGAGATGGATGTGTTCAGTTGGAAGTATCTGAATGAACACTTCCAGGTCCTTCTGTGGGCGATGTCACTGACGAAGGAGTAGGAGCATCTTGCCAGCCGCCGTTTGTCTGTAAAAAAATTTTGAGCAAAATTTTAAACACAGAACAAGTTTCTAAGTCAAGATAACAACAGACTGGAATATTTTATTCACTATATTTCTTGTTAGGTTTAAAAAAAAGGCAATTAATTTATCTTTGGATTAACTTCTAAATGCACGAAATGCAAAAAACACTAGTGCACTATTATAGAAGTGAGCTTCAGATGGCAGGTTTTGGAAACATATTTCTTGATATTTGGACATCTCTCCTCAGACTGGATAACAGCAACACGACTCTACCACTGACTTGCAACATTGGTGTTTTATCTCCACAAGTAACTCAAGTCTGGAGGAGTTCTGCCGTGTGGTGGAGTTGCTAATATTAACAGTTAGTGTCTACTAGCCAAGACATTTTCTGCTGTTTCCTGGATGCTAAAACAACAACAGCCTTCTCTGCTGTGAGTCAAGATGGGTGTGTCCATGGAGGTGAAGTGACTGTGTGACATAGATCTGTCAGGTTTTCAAGTCCTTTCATCTCACCATCTACTTTCTATCAGAAGCTAATGCAGAAGATTGGTGTAGGAGACTATTTTCATGTTCAGCCTGCATAAAAACTTAGAGTGACTGATTAAAATCAGAAATAAGATTTTAAAATAGTTGTTCAGTGTTACTTTGAACATGTTAAAAACATGAACTTTAACCTTTTAAATTGTTTAATGCATCTTAAGCATCAAATATCCTCCCAAACAAAACTAGGTTCTCAGTTTGGTAACAAAACAGGTAAAACACACTTAGAAATTGACTGTAATTATTATTTTTATTCTAATTTATAAACCACGTTTACCATTTTAAACTGCTCTCACATACGGCTGTAAATACCCGATGGAAAACAACGTGAGAATTGTTCAGCAACAGGAGCATTTAATTGAAATAAATGAAAGGTGGCATACTAGCACGGTTGTGGATGCTGTTTTAATAGATTAAGAACAATTTTTTTTTAGTTCAGATAAAAAGGTAAATCCTTAACTTTAAAGTAAACATGAAAGATTTTCTCAACAGCACACGTGTGTGCAACAAACCCCCTTAAAGACAAATCAGCTGCAAAGCTGTGAGACTTTAAAAGGGTCTTCTGGTGCCACTTCTCTCACTTTCCCTCCGCACGACTGACATCAACAAGAGATAAACAGAGGAGATGAAACACAGACTACACAGAGCTTTCATGTATCTCGGAATATACCCCTGAGATGGTTGATAAAAGAATAAATTACCACAATAAAATGAAGCCCTTTAAAATGGAAGCCATCTCAAATGGTGATAAAAGGTCGACTAAAGACCATTTAGGACATTAATTGCAATTTTCACGCTATTAGCGAGCGGTGGGAATGTGCTTTGGCAGCCTCTTATTTCCAAACCCTGTTATTTGCCGTAAAGACCGTCTGTCATCTCATTCAGAGGCAAAAAGAATGAAAAAAATAAAAAAATAAAAAAAACATTTCCAGGCTCTGAGAGAGGCGACACCCACGAGCAATTTAAGGGGTGTAATTGCTGTTCAAGGATAAAGATGGAGAGGTGAACCACAAGATTTCAGTCAGTAAATCTTAGAGAGGAAAGAAAAAACATAATATGGGCTCTATAAATACCAGAAGTTATTCATGAGATTTACTAAAACACACATCTTTATGACGAGTGTGTTTTATATATTTTATTATTAAAGAACAATGAAAGCTCCATTTTGTTTCCTAAAATATAAAAAGAATTTTTTTCATATATTCAAATGCATAATGCTTAAATTTGAATATGTAGCTCATTTTAAATATTTTTTTCTAACTTGTTATCTGTTGATGCAAGTACTATTATTCACATTAACAGGGAAAAAAGAACATTTGACAGTAAATCAGCTCAGATTTTATTTTCCGTTTATTAATCGTGATGCATTTCATTAAACGACTCCAAGACGAACGTGTTTGCAGAAAGTCTGCTGCTTTCATGCTCCTGTTTTAGCAACAAAGGGGTGTTGCAGGCCTGGCTGTCAGTGCTGCTGTTCCTGTGGATGACTGATCTGGCCAATGTGCTTGGACTGTTAGCCCACAGCCCCGCTCCTTCTGTCCCTGTGACTGTCGTATTGATTCTGCTCAGCCCCGCGCAGCCTGTCGCTATGGATCTACATGCTAACACGCTGCCTCCAGTGTTGCCTGCCCCGCCCTGAAAGTAGATCTGGACGACTGTTTTTGGCCTTGGACGAGTGAGGCAGAAAAGTTTTTTTTTTTTTTAAACAACGATTAGAAAAATTTGCTTTATTTTGGACATCGGGTTTGAAAGTTACTATTTTCATGAATTATCCTGTGAGGCCAATAAGGGATTAGACACAGGTGCATTTGATTCTGTCAGCTGCAGGTGCCACTCTAGTGCTAATGCCTTGCGACGTGCGAGGAGCATGTCCAGCTCAGGCTCAGCAGCACACACACACACATCTGCACTTATACCGAATCATCCACATGCTGCAACTGAGTGAACAGTTGCAAAAGAGCACATCAAACAGAAATGTTAGGGAGAAGAGAAGGAGATTGTTTACAGGTCTTACGTTGATGCCCTGTGGACTGTACATCTGGCTGGCTGCAAGGCTGTCACTGTATCCTCCGGTCTGGCTGATAACATGGCGAAGGGTATCCACCTGGAACAGCGGGGACAAAGACAAAAGGCTCGGTCAGACAAAAGCTCTGAGTAACAAAGACAGAAATGCACAGAAAAAGGTCACCATGATAACAAAAGGGCATCATAAACAGGAAAAGGGTACAAACAATGAATTTGGCTGCTAATACAAGCTAGACAATGGGTTAAGCAAAAGGACAAAAGGATGAAAATTAAGCAAATGTTAAAGTTTTGTATTGAATTGAGATTAGTTTCAATTATTGTTTGGTTTCAATGAAAAGTCACATAAAAAATGTAATCAAAACATACCAAATAAAAGAATTTTGCGCCTTCTAGGGTTCTACAACCCCCCAAGATGCTTCACAACACAATCAGTCATTCACTCATTCACACACTCATTCACACAAGTGGGGATGAACTACGATGTAGCCACAGCTGCCCTGGGGTGCAATGACAGAGGCGAGGCCTGCCAAACACAGGTGCCACATCCCTCCAATCATCACCAGATGGCAAGGCGGGCTAAGTGTCTTGCCCAAGGACACAACAGCAGCATTCTCTGGTCAGACCCGGGATCAAACCTGCAACCTTCCATTACTGGATAACGCCCCTCACCTCCAGAGCTACTGCTGTCCCACATTTACGCTTCATGCCTTGCTTGCAGCTGATCTACTTATGTTAGTAAAATATCAGTTGTAGTGTGATGTTAAACAGCTTCAGGAGCTTTAACAGAAATACAAGTTTTTACCAAAGAGGCACCAATTATAGTTATTAGGATGATACCAATTTTTGCTGATTCAGATTTCTCTTAAACAACTACAAATAACAGGATAGATGGTTTTTAAGTTTCTGATTGACTTAAAAGTTACGATTCTGGATGCAAGGCAAGACCACAGTCACTAGGTGATAGAGCTAGGTAGATCTGGGTGTCCTCTGCATAACTATGATAGGAAATATTTTTATTTTAGGGGGGGGTTGACGACATGTAGCGATTGAAGAGCAGTGGCCCAAGAGCCTTGGGGGACCTCGCATGTCATGGTAAAAACTCCAATTAAGAGATCTGTTAATACTAGTGATGGTTGGTTCATAAACCAGGAAATGTTTTATATTATAACAATAATGCACATATTTTTATGCATTCATGGAACACGTTGAGATGCAGATTATCCCGATGCTGCTGAATATCGGTTTTTGTGCATGCCTGGTTATCCTTTACAAACGTTAATGGTTCAACAATATTTACATGTTTAGAGAATGATGAAGAAGAAACAGTTTTTTTCTGTTTTGAGTTTCTATTATGTTCAAATAAAACCTCATTAAGTATTTTAATTGAAAGTATGCATCAAAATTAGACTAAATGTCATGAAAGGATGGTTTAATATCAGAAGTCACATTATTCAAATGTTTCTTGCCAGAGTTTATAAATGTAAACCTCTGAGGGATTCACTTCCAGCAAGTTTAACTTTTTTTTCATTATTTATTTAAAAGCAAACCCCCCAAAGACATCTTTACCTAATATAAGCGCTGTCCCTGCTGCATATTCATGAACGTCCTAAAGCATCCGCAGAGCTGATCTGAATTGAAAAGGAGGGACGGTGGGATAAAGAAATGATGCTAAAAGCATTAAAACTGGAGGAGAATTTCACCATGGGTGGTGATTTCCTAATCTCTGGTGAAAGTTGCAACACCGAGGTGGTCGTAGCCGTCTGCTGGGGCAAGGTCGGAGAGCCACAGTACACCGGTGGCTATGTGAACTCATGTCAGGGGTGCTGATGAGCATTGCAACGTTTCCAAAACTGTCTGCCGTCGTCTATTCAACCGTGGCTTGACAATGATATCTACATTAGTGGGAAGCTTCAGGCTATGAGTAACCTCCGTTTTCAGCGTGTAGGCCAAGCTAGTCCCTCGTACTGGTCAGCAGCCAAATAATGTCTCGGACTGTCTCAAGACTTTTGTCAGCGTTCGCTCCTGTGTGGTGCTAAGCTTGGAGAGGCGCCTACCTGGGATTGTATGTTGGCCCCAACCTGCCCCCCTTGGTACGAGTCCCCATTGAGGGACTGCACACTCATGAACAAGTCTCCGGAGTTTGACATGTTAAAAGAGCCAGCAGAACCTGAGAATGCATAGAGAGGCGGAGAAGAAGAAAGAGAAGAGACAAGCAGAAGGACAGAGAAAGGGGTTAAAGTGATCATGCACCAGCGAAAGAGCCTTGAGAGGGTTAGCTTGAGAAGTTGGCAACATTTCCTAAAATCAATCGCATGAAACATGAAAGAAGCAATTTTTTCACCCAAAAGTTGCATAAGATGATCAACATTATTCTATTTGTAGATGCAAAATGAAAAAAATGCACCAACATGGCTGAAGAGACAGATTCTCATTACTAAGCTGCTTAAGTCAAACAAGGCTCATAGATTATATTACTGTTAAATGTCTATGCAGCTAGTGTTTCATTAAGGAAGTCATAATTGATGTGCAGGAAGACCCAAAGAATCGTCTTCGTCCTTTAATGGACCCCAGCTCCCCAGATGTAAAGAGACCATGGCGTAACTTGATTTCAACACCCGGTCCTAATCCAATACAGTTGCAAAGTCTCTATATGACAAAAGACTCCGCTTGCCCTCTGAGCGGCTTAATGGCATACACGAGGTCAACCGGACAAGAAGCAGGAAAAATTAACGTCCACAAGACCAAAGAGGTCAATAAGACAGAGAGGGAGAGAGAAGGTAAGAGAGACAAAGGAGAACAAGGGGAGAAAATCACCAGAGACTGCGGTCTTCTGAGAGTATAACTGTACATGTTAGTCTAGGATTAAAGGAAAGAAAATCAAAATAATCCAGAGTCCAAATCTCACCTGCTGAGTTGGGGGTTGATGGGGAGTTAGCTTGACTGCCGTGAGCCGACACGCTGGTTGCGTTGACTGCGGTCCTCGCTGCATACATGTTCGCCTCTTCCTGGAACTTCCCGATGTTTTTCTTGTATCGGATTCTTTTATTCCCAAACCAGTTTGATACCTGTAACAACAGCAGCAATCTCAGTGAAATTAAACCAGATCAAGCCATGATTAAAGTCTTTTAGAACAGATGCTTTTCAAAGTCAGTTTCAAAAATACTTCATTGATCCCAGAGGGATTAAATGTGTTTTGTGGCTATGGAGACATTTCTAAGCAGTAGTCTGGCCATTTGTAGGGCTTCGAATTATAGATCTACAACATTCCTCTAAAAACAATTAACACTTGATTTTCAAACTATGAAACATTCAAAATGAATAGAGCCTCATGGATGGTCCATGTGCTGCATTTCCTACGGATTAGCAAATAATCTGAAAAACTGACCACATCCACAAGTCTTTTGTCTCATATAAGATTGGGTCACACTTTAAAAACAGGTCCATTTATTAACGTTACTCAATCCATTATTAAGCATTGATGAAGTATTAAATAAGGTATTAACAACTGCTTAACCATATTATGTAATGCATAGCTAAGCAGACTCCTGGCCCATTGCCCCAACCTTAAGTACACTTACTAGTTAACGATAATGGTGATGTTAATAAAAGGATCCTGTGTTTATTACTGCTTAATAATGCACTAATATTAATTAAGGGACCCTTATTGTAAATTGTTACCAAGACATTTGTAGCAGATTAGTCCCATCATTCTAAACATGCAGCTGATCAAATTAAATCAAATGATAAAGTACGTTTCATAGGCTTAGAACATCTAAAAGGGAATAATTTGGGCTTCTTAAAAAATAATGGTAAAATAAAGTTAGGCAATTATTTTAACGTAGCAAAATCTACGAGCACATCTCATTTGTAATCTGAAGTCTTGTTACTTATTTTCATTAAGTTATAACTTAATTGTAAATAAACTGAATCATTTGCAATAAAATCAAGATGGTCAACACATAACTTGACTTCTTATAAGTTTCTTTTGCTGTTTTCTTTCCTTTTTTTTTTTGTAAGTGAATAAAAATTTGAGAAATGGAAAAGCTGGAAAAAAATATCACCAATACTTTATTTTTGCTTGGACTTGGCTTATTGAGACATTTGTATGTATTAAATGTTTTGGAGATTTACATGAAAAATTGTAATGTGGCATTATGGCTGATGTAGACATGAGTGTTGCCACAGGAAACCAGTGAAGGTGGATCGGTTTTTTGGTTACCTGGGACACCGTGATGCCACATTTCTTGGCCAGCTCTTCTTTGGCCTCCTCACTTGGATAAGGGTTACTGAGATGAGAGTAAAAATACTCATTCAAGATCTCCGTTGCCTGTTTGTTGAAGTTCCTTCTCTTCCGTCTGAATAGAAAGAGACAAAAAACCCTTAACTTCCACTTTTATAAAAAAATATATATAAGGATTGTTAAATCACATAAAGTCGGGCTTAAATGTTATGAGTTAACCCCTTAGCATTCCAGCATCCCGCCCATGGGACAAAACCCCATTGCGTTCATTAAACCTGGAAATTTAAGGGATTAATCTGAGTGACTGGTGGCGGGAACAGACCTGGCATCGAGAAAGCGTGAGCGCAGGATCATGACGGCCTCACAAGTGCTCTGCTTCAGCTGCATCTGGATGGAGCTGAACTTGCGGTGGATGATGCTGACCATGCGCTCAATCTCTTTGGGCGAGATGGGTCGTGTTCGAGACTGCTCCCTCAGCAGGTTCATCACATGGGTGGTGAACTCATTGCACGCCTGGGTGCACAGACAGACAGGATTCATAAGTAGAAAAACTATCGCCGAGGCTCGACAGCTTCAGACAGAACAAAAGGGTGAAATTGGATTCTGTGGATGCTGCAGCTTCGCTGGTGGGCCTTGACTTCACGCGGGCGGCGCTGACGTGTGTAACAGCGGTGGTGTTAGAGGTAATAAGAATAGTTTGAATTAAAGCAGCAGATGCAGCCCACTGTTTCAAGCCAAACAAATGCGGCAAGCGGAGGAGGCAGCGATACTTGCGGTGGTCTGAATATTAAAAAGACTTCTCTTCAATGGGAGAGAAAATGTGACAAGTGAAGAGAAATCTAAAATGACAGCAGGCTTTCAGTCCCGTTCACGTTCAAGAGGTTTAAACTGTCTCCTTCTCTTTTCACTCCATCTTTTCCGTCTACCTCTTTCTGCGTCGGAATCAGTCACTGGATATGACTGCATTCAGAGTCAAGGTGTCTGTTGCTTGTCAACACCGGGGTTACGTCAGTCAAAGTGATCCAGCGAGCAGCCGTTCTGCTCGCACGCACACGCCAGACACTGCTCACTCAGACTCACGCAGGGGTGTACATAGTGTGGTGACACAAAAATGCTCAGGTGTATATCGACTGTGACAGTTAGCGATGACTAGCCTTCCTCGGAGAAGATGACAAACCCGGAACGCTTTGACTTCCGAGGGAATGACAAGATGTTACAGTCTTTGGAAGAGAGCTGGGGTGTGACTGATATAATGGCTGCTTGGCTGCTAAAGGAGTCTCTGATAGCTCGCGTTGTCAGGCGTCGACCTGTACGTGCAGTTTTTAGGAAAGTCAGACCGTCATACTCACAATTAAGTTCCATGTAATTCACAGTTTACATATATTTCCTCAGTTTTTAAGATGTTATTTCCAAATATGTGATATAAATTAAAAAAAAGGGCTGTTGGGAAACAATAGCATCACCCTTTGACCATCAGCAGATAATTGGGAAATATTTTTCAAATATTAATCAAAAATTACCTCATTAGAAGCTTTGTCTTTACCCAGATTTCGTATCCACTGAGATAAAAACCACATTTTGGGGTTATTTTAACACTTAACAGCATGTATTATATCAAACAAAGACATTTTTTTGTTTTTATAATTAAAGGTGTGGATCACTTGCTTAATCAGTACATTTGCAGTGGTCCCTAGTAGAAACAAATGCCTTGTAAGTGGTTCTCGGGAGGGAAAAATATACTAGTGCACTATTTCCAGGAACTACCAGTAACCCACATCACAGCTGAGCTTCAGACAACAGAATTTGGAGTCTTATTTCCTGATATTTGGACATCTCGCCTCAGAACAAATAACAGCAACATGAATACCACTGACTTGTTTTACTCTCACAAATAACACATGCCTGGAGGAGCTTCTCCCGTCCGCTGGAGAAGTTGCTAAGGCGGTTAGCTTAAACTAGCCGAGATGTTTGTTGCTGATTACGTGGGCGTTACTACAACAGCCTTTCCCGTAGTGAGTCAAGATGGGTGAGTCCATGAATGTTAAGTGACGGTGTGAAATAGATCTGTCAGGATTTTTAAATCCTAGAGTTTCACGTCTATGCTAACTGTTAGCTTCTACTAATAGGGACGTTTGCTGCTGTTTCTTGAACACTAAACCAACAACAGCCTCCCTTGTCATGAGTCAAGATGGAAGGGTAAGTGACAAAAGCTATGTTTACATGCGCCAAAGTTCCCCCAAATCCAATTCAAATCTCTGTTTCATGGACGCTAACTGAAAAGATCCAATCATGCCGTGAATATAATAAGATGAGCATGTACTGAGTTGTCTTTGCCGAAAAAAAATTGTAAACAAATGTCATCTTGTTTGCACGTCTTTCTCCTTGCATTTTATTTCCTTGTTCTCTGGCTTTGTCCATTGACTTATGTTTTTCCCCTCTATTACGGACCTTGTTCGCATTTTTACCTGTATTCTTTTGTTTTAACTGATCACTTTAACTAAGCTACAGGCTCATACGTAACACTACTGCTTCTCCTCCACAGGAGAGGAGAGCAGGATAACTTCTGTTTACCTCCCGCCATGTTTTCGACTTGTCCTGAGCATCTGCAAAGTCGGAAAGACGTCACGCTGAAGTTGCAGACATGAGCGGTGAGCTTTATTTTGCTCCACCAATCCAAATGGGTGTGTACATAGACGTCAATCGGAATGATAATCAAACAAATCCACCTCTCTCAATTGGAGTAAAATTTCATTCCAGTCGGGCCGTATCGGATCAGAATATTCCGAATGACATGTTTGCATTAAGAATTTTTTATCTGATGGGGCATTCATTCTGATTACTTGTGTCCATGTAAACGTAGCTTGTGTGGCACAGCTCTGCTTTTCAAATAACAGATTTTTACTCAGAAGATAATGCAAGAGATAGGTGTAGGAGATTATTTTCATGTTCAGCCTGCATGAAAAACTCTGAGTGACTGATTATAATCAGAAATAATCATTAAAAATGGGTTTTCAGCGAACCACACCTTTAATAAATCAAAAATAAATACAATAAATGGGGCAAAAACATTATATTCTGTCAAGAAATAATGAAAAAAGTTGCTTTTAGGAGGGTAAATGAAGCTCATTGGACTTGCCTACATGTGGACTTTAAAATAAAACTCAAAAAATAAATATATGGGGTTTATTCAATAAGAAATTAAGGCAGCTTATTTGTGTTTATCCACCTCAGACTGGGAGCAACATCGTTCCCGTTCAGACATGATGCAACACGTGTGCCTTTTATATCATGTCATTAATTCTGAGACATCTGACAGTTGATCTTTTAGAGAAAATGTTTATGAACAACAGCCAAAGGCGATATTTTACTTATTTTGATGGATGTGAGAAGTTCAACTCTGAAAAAGAGAATTACTTTACATTTCTGTCTGCTTTGGAGGCTGAGGGATAAATAACAGCCTGAGGTTTTTAGGATGACGTTGTTTAAACACTCATATAAGAATGAAACTTTAGGGTTTAACAGGTTAAACTGACGCCTGGTTCATGAGCATCAAATAAAATGCAGGAGCTCACCCTCACCTGTTCGTACTTCTCCAGCTCCGTGTGGTAGATCTGTCGGATCTGAGACAGCTTGGCCCGGTAATCGGAGTGTTCTGCTGAGTTGTCGGCGCCAACGCCACCAGTGGCCGCTGCGGCGGCTGCAGCTGCCGCCGACCCGCCACCTTTCTCCGGCCCAGCCACGCCCTCTGCCAGTAGCATGTTGTCCAGTCTCATCAGCTGAGGATCCGGAGGCTCCTCCTCCTGGGCGCCGCGGATACTGAGCACTGCAGAGGACAAGCAGGACGACATAAACACGACGACTCTAGAGATACGTCTTTGAACTGACAAAGTACAAAGGTTAAAAAAATAAAAGACAGAAGAGTATTACCGCCTCTGCCTGCAACTTCTTAAAATATGACCGTCGTTATAAAAGTTCAAGCCTGTGTTGTAAAAATCTGCAGCTCTCATTGAGTCTGGCACCTCAGCAAGACCATAAAATGATAATTTCATCGATTCAAGCTATTAATTCACGAGAAAATTAACAAAGACCTCCAAAAGACTCTTTCTCTGCGCCCTGCATCCATAGCCGCTGTTTGCTTTTGAGCTGATGGCTTCTTTGATCCCAAAACACAAATACAACAGTTTTACTTACACAAAAAACATCTGGCTCAAAAAGAGTGAAACAAGGTTCCAGGTAAACAAAATGTGGCCATAAATAAAGTAGACAAGTAAAAAAAGTCAAATCTGGTCATTTACAGGCGCCTCTGTATTAAATAACAAACCCCTGCTTTCTCATATCAGACAGAACCACCTAAAAGTGAGTCCAGTGACCGCTTGAGGATGATTGTTCCTGCTCTGCCTCTTTCTGCCACCAGAAGGCTCCCTCTGGTAAAGAAGCAGATCGTCCTGATTTCCTCAGAGGTGCTGGAAACAGCCGATCAGGTGCAGCCCTCTGTTCCATCCACTGTCTTCAAGGACAAAGACAAACCTGGCTCTGCCTCCCTCTGCCTCACACATCCATCACAGAGCCACCCGTGTGCAGCTCCTCTCTTCTACTGCTAGACGGTGAGAGTAAACGACAGGGCGGGAAACCCGCCATGGCTTCTTTTGTAAGGACGATGTAAGGCTCAGTCGCCCTGTGACCTTTCTGTCGAGCAGGAGGTCTAGATGGATTCCAGGCACTGGGCGGCTCCCCCCTTCTTTCCAACACGTTCCCCTCCTCTAACCATTCCTCCTCCTTTTTTCCTCTTCCTCCAGCAACATCATCCATTCCCATCAGCTCCAAAACATGAGCAAGCTCCGCTCAAGAGGCAAATGTCAATGGCCATCAGACGGCTGGAAAAGGTCAGGAGTTCAGATGAGGCGCGTGTGTGCATGCGTGTGTGAGGGCGTGTGTGCATGTGGGCTAGTAGATGAATATGTGGAAAAATGTTTCCATGTGAATCACACCAGCGGGAAATTATAACACACGCCAATTTGATCCTGACAAAATAGTGGCACGTCCCGACCAGAGGGGGGAATCTAATGAGCCTAAGAGTGATTTATTCATTCCCTCTCCAGGTCCCCGAGTGCACAACTAAAAGCATGAAATGGATTAAATAAATACAATTAATAAGGAAAATCAAACAATTCACTGTGCTGTGGCATAATTACCCTAACCACAGCCATCAGCATTATTTATTTCTGTTCAGTAATAGCAACCAAATCGATTAGACCTCAATGCCAGTCAGAGTGCTCGTTGTGAACCTTGCAACCGTGGACTATACATTAACGTAATCACCTGACAGTGGGAAGTGCCCTCTATTACAATAAATCACACGCAGCACAATAACACCAAAAACCTTTTAAACACATTTTACAGTCTATTGCAGTAACAAAGGCTCCATGCCGCTCTCTGATTGTCTTTCTTCACTGACAGCCACAGATTAGTATCTATAAAAGGAAGACGGCCATCATCTCATCTTGATCATTACCGACAGACTTAATTGAACAATGAGAGGACACAATTCCCCCCCCCCCCCCCCCACACACACACACACTTCTTTCTCTCTGCTGCAGCAGCTTCCTCCCCCTTTCCTTCCTCTTTTCTCCTTCCTTTTGTGCCTGAGATGTGGTCCACTAAACCCGAAAAGGGAAGGAATTAAAAATGAATCATCAACAATTTCTGAATAATGAATGGGCTTCTCAGAATAGGCCTTTTGTTTTTATAAGTTCATTTCTGCTGTTTTACTTCCTGTGAGGCATTACTGAGCTGAGCCGGTTGGAGATGATTCTAGAGACACTAAATTGTGAGGACATTTTCAAGTTTTATTCATGTCTAGGTCTCGTGAAGGGTACAATAACTGTCTCAAGGACGTCTCATTTCATTCACATACCCACTGAGCCCTCCCAAAGTTGTCTCAAAATTGTTGCATTTTCCGAAACTGAATTGAGAACGAATGGAGACAGGTAGGCGCTTACGACAAGTCGATGGATATTTATATGGAGCTAGGATAGGGGCATTATTACATGTAACTTGTGCCAAGTTTTGTAACTGTAAGTTTTGTTTTTTAGCATATAATTTACATTTTCTAACACCTAACCTTTGTTTTGTAGCATGAAATTCCCATTTTGTAACCCAATACTCTCATTTTGTGGTAAGTAACTTTTGGTACGCAAGAAAAAGAGAATTATATGCTACAAAATGAAAGTTACATGTTACAAAACAAAAGGTATGTGCTACACAATGTGAATTACATGCTACAAAATGAAAGTTACATTTATAAAACATGTTACAAGTTACAAAACTTGGTACAAGTCACGTGTAATATTGTCCCAATCCTAGCTCCATATGTTTAGGGGCAAATTTTGTTTGCAAATCATGTATTCAAAATTCCCACGATAGGAGAGTGAGGCCCTGAGAGACTCACATGTGGAGATTGCAAATGTTTTTGAGACAGATCTGAAACAGTTTATTGAATGCTGTCACCAACCGCCACAACCCAGTGAGATATGAGTTTTGGAAATTTCCATCAGTACTCTGGAAAAAGCCGTCAAACCTGCACAAAAACATGAAGCTTCACGCTTTTGTGAACAATCCCAGACATCCAACGTATTGCCCTATGAGCGCTTTCAAATTAAAACATGTTTAATTAATGATGTTGGAGCGTTCTGTCACAATCTGGAAGATTTAAAATCAAACAAGGCAGGAGTGATGTGCCTGACAGTCATGATGAAAGTTTATCCCTTCTGCTTCTAACTGGCAGCAAGCAGCAAACACTGGACTGGATCCATTTCCCATCAATACAGTAATGCAATACACTCTGCAGCGCTGTAGTGTAGATATGTGTGCGTTTGCTTGTGTGTGTGTTCTTGCGTCCTTTTTTCCTTGTTCTCGTCCACATCACATGACCCCAGAGAGGACCAGGCAGTGGCTGTGCTCTCTATTGATTGTGTGGGCACACGTCATCTAGCGTTTCAGCAGTTAATAAATCAGGCCTGCTCCTGACACAAATGCGTGTGTGCGTGTGGGCCTGTCACAGAGCAGTCAGCAGGAGTGAAAGCGACAGCCGCATGATAATGTAACATCACCACCATTCATCCCTGCCACACAGCATTCTGAGACAAAACAACAACAACCTGGGAACTTGAAAAAAGCAGCGTGACTTACAGCAGACATGACAAGTATCACTAATACAAACTCCCTCCTCCCACCCCCTCCACCCCTCAACAATCCTTCCACGAGTTCAGCTCCTGCCTTCATCTGCATGTGATCCAACCCTGATAACGCAGTCTTCATCACATCACTTCACATAAACAAAGCGTATTTAATCTAGATGAAGGTTAGTTTCATCAGGACAGGAATGTAACATTCTGAGAATGCAGCAAAACACAAACGATGATTAAATCCATTTAAAATATTTCTATAACTCTTATTTAGCTGACAGCTGAACAAAGTTCTCATAAGTTGATGAAAAAGTTTCCCAAAGCTACATTTTCCTATGTTTTAAATACTCATGAACAAATGCTGTACTCCACTCCTTCAACACAATTCCAGACAATAAACAGTCAGTCAAATAAGTGTTGCTCCAATTCATTCATCTTTCTTTTTATTAGAGCTTGTTGCCTACAGCAGAAGGCGTGGCTATGAGTGCAACCAAGGGAGAAAAACGTCCAGAGGAGTCACTTTTTTTTTCTAATGTATAAAATTTGAACTCTGGTGTGAAAGCTGAAAGATATCTACTTAAATCTAGTCCAAACACAGACCATCATGTGGGAGGTTTGAAAGAAGAGCATACAGTTTAAAACAAACACAAACATACAGAAAAACAAACAAACAATAAATTCAAATATAATTGAATTTTATTCCAAAAATACTGGATAAACTTTTACTCAGTCTAAAAAAGTGTCTGTAATTTCACACACACACACACACACACACACACACACACACACACACACACACACACACACACACACACACACACACACACACACACACACACACACTTAGATATGCATCTTTGTATTATCATAGGTCCAACTTGTATTTATTTCTCCACACATTATAAATAAAACCTGAAATTCTTTACTATCTCAAACAGAAGTTGATGATTATTGAATGAATATTTCTTCTACAGTCTTTAACTACTTTTTAGTTTACAACAGTATCCTAACTTTTGGCTTTTTTCATATTAAAAGAACAAAAAAAGACAACAAAAATGCAGATTCTAGGCTTCATTTTTGTGCTTCTGGATAAAATTCTTCGTCACTTGTTTTGCATATATGTTGTGACACTAAGCAGTTTTTTTTTACACTTTAACCAATTCCTTTACAGGGTTTCCCCCAGAAAATGAGTTAAGCCTGGCTTCAACGGGGGTGGGGGTGGGGGGTGGGGGGGCTGTGCGTGCTCTTCACCAGTATCAGTTGATGGAGGGCTCTAGTTTTGTTGCGCCATTCATGTCAGCGGACGCAGTAGGATTGGGGAGGGGGGCGGGGCATGACGCTTAGCCTGGCAGGTGGCCAAGCAAAGCCTGGCGGGCTGCCAAGCTTATAAAGCGCTGAGGGAAACCCTGCTTTAAAAGTGGGATTCAGTGATTGTGCTGGCAGTAAACTTTAACAACTTCACAAGCTACACCGCTCTGCAGTCTTCTGCTGACCAGAAACAGCGCTTAACAGTTTTGTAGAGCGAGTAGGTGCCCTAGGGGGTGCTCTTTACCTGCTTAATGGCTGTTAGCTATTTTCTGTGCTGGTAGCTACTAACAGGCTAGCAGTTAGTTTTTTTTTCTTTCAGTTTGCCAACCTT